CCCAAGTGCTGGAATTACAGGTATGTGCCACCATACCCAGCTGTTTTTTGAATTTTTTGAATGAATGTTTATCATTTAACTCTGGCTAACTAGTAAGCACTTAGCAAATAGCTCATTACTAGTATCTTTCACAGTAAATAACAATATTTTTTTCTAATATGAATTCATAATATTGTTCTGTGGCATTTATGTAAGTTATAAAGACCCTCTCTGACCTCTTTTTAGAGCAGGGTTACTTTTTTTTTTTTTTTTTTTACCAGGGATTGAACTCGAGACCTTGCACTTGCAAAGCAGGCGGCAAAACCACTGAGCCAAATCCCCGGCCCTAGAGCAGGGTTACTTAACCACTGTGACACTTTACTTATATATATAACCACCACACAGCCACCATGCAGCTATTCTGTCTGAGGGCTTCAACTAGGGGTCATTCTAAAGGCTTTGGAAAGTGGCTGCTTGGTTCCTAATAAATAAAATTGATCATGGTGAAAAACAAAATGATTCAAAGACTTCTCTTATGTCCTTACGTTGTTAAGCTACCCCTACCTCATTACCACTTTCTGTCTGCTATCATTTTTTAAAAGTAGTACATGTTTTCAGTACATAATGATCATATTCATCATGGAGAGCCAGTACATGTGCATAACACATTGTAGTTCTTTTTATTTCCCCTCCTCTCCCTGCTGCCTCCCTCCATCTCTTGGTTACCTTCTCGTTTCTGACTCCTACCATAATGGATTTTTCTTACCTATTTCTTAAGTAATAAAAATGGAATTATTCTCAACATGTTTTCACTACTCATCCATGTTGCTTTGCATGTATGTGGTTCTTTTTATTGCTGAACAAATATTAAATGACTATATCACTTATAGATTCTTTTTTGGGGGGTACACAAGTAGATTGCTGCAGGGTTTTAAGTATGAGCAACACTGTTATGAACTCCCCCCATCTTCATTTTTATTGTGTTATAGTACGTTACAGAACGTTAAAGCTGCCATTTAAACCATTTTAAGTACAGCTCATTGGCACTAAGTACATTCACAGTGTTGTGTGTTTATCGCTATTCCCCCAATTTTTTATTACCCCAAACAGAAACTCTGTACTTCATTTCCTCTTTACCCCAGCATGAGGAAACCTCAAATCTCCTTTGTGTCTCAATGAGTTTGCCTATACTAGAAATTTCACTTAAGTGGAGCTCTACAATACTTGTCCTTTTGAATATAGCATCTTTGACTTAGCATAATGTTTGAGAGGGTCATCCATGGTGGTAGCGTATATCTAGGTTTCATTTACTTTTTATGGCTGAGAAATTGTTTATTTTATGCTTCTGCCATATTTTAATTATTGATGTATTGATAGACATTTGTTTAACTTTTTTAGTCTCATACCATGATTAATTTTTGCAGCAGCCCTGCTAAATTGCCATATTCCAGGTTTTTCTTTTTCTTTTCTGTTTTTGAAAATAATTAACTTTGTGTTAGAAGACCTTATTCTTACTCTTCTCTAGCTCACTGCTGTATGTATTTACATTTGTTTCTCTCCAGTAGTTTGTGATACCCTACCTTACTGTACTTAGTATCTAGCCATAATGTTAAAGATACTCATTTATTTACCACTTCTTGAGTTTTAGGCTCCATGGTAGCTTCTTTGACTCATTATCTTTAATCACCAGATAGATTTGCAGTGTGGATATAATATTGTTAAAGCCATTTTATAGCTAAAGAAATTGATTCTTAGATTGTAAATTGGGCAAAGAATATTGGATTTATCAGTAATTGCTTGTCTTTAAAATTCACTCTTTATCCATTTTAGCATTTTATGGCATGCTACCTAGTCCTGAAATATATTTAACATATAGACAGTGTTCTTGATTCCTCACTGGTGTTCATCCTAGATCATAGATTCTACATTTTTGGTATACTTCTGCTTCCTTCCAATAAACATGTGTTAGTACTGCTAAGGAGACAAAGCTATTCGTTGTTCCTCTTCCCTTCCTATGATCGGTCAAACCATTTCTCTTTCCTATAAATCTGTATGATAGTGTATGCCTAGTGAAAAGGTACCTGTCTTCATTTTCCTTCTCTAAGGGAAGATTAAGTATGTGAAGTATCTTTTCTCTGACCAGTGAGACTAGCCTACCCTCTCCTATTGGTAATCCTTTGTGAATCCAACTGCACTTTCCCTGATATTCAAAATTACTGATTATAAGTATTTCCACTGATATTTCAGATTGTCTGCAATTCTACCAGATTTTACTTATGACAGTAGAGGAAACATTTAGCTGTGTTCTATCTTAGGTACTTATTTGTAGTTTTGAAACTACTAACATAATTCAAATGTACAAGAATAAAGATTGAATTCTTACTTTTCTTTGTGAAGAATCAAATACATCCTGAACATGCATAAATATTTGAGCTATTTTATATATAATTTTATATTTTAGAATCAGCCTGCTAATTATTTCAAGCTGTTGCCTATGTTCAAGTTTCATATAACTCATGTTTTAATGGAATTAAAAAAATTTTTTTGAGACAGCATCTCACTATGTAGTTTAGGTTGGCCTTGAACTCATCATGTAGCCAGCCCATGCTGGCTTCAAATTCGCAAGAATCCTCCTGCCTCAGCCTCTGAAGTGCTGAAATTACAGCTGTGTGCCACCATACCTGGCTTTAAATTTTATATTTAATTAGGCACAGCATTTAAAATAAATCTTTTAAAGCATTCATTGATTTAGCTGCTATAAATGTATGTTCTGGGAGCCATGGGGAAGAAGATAAATAGACTTGTAAGTTTAATTTAGGCAGTGATATACTAAAACAAAACAAAACAAACCCTATCTGCCTTAAAACAATGTAAGGCAAAAATAAGAACCCACAAGAACTAAATCCGTTTCGTTACCTTTCAGGTGTCTGTATTAGTTGTCAAGGGGAAGGGCACAGATGTAAGTGCTGAAAGATTCAGAAAAGGAGACAGTTGCTGTATGGGTTGGATGTGTATTCTCTGGTGACAGTAGGTTATTATTCTGGGGAGGCGTAGATACTAACTATAATTGAAAGCTTTCCACAAGACTACCATACCTAACACAAAGTAATCTGCCTGTGTGCCTGTAATCGCAGTGCTAGGAGGCTGAGGCAAGAGGATGATGAGTTCAGGTCCATCCTGGCTACAAAGTGAGTTCAAAGACAACCTGAGCTACATGGTGAAACCCTGTCTCAAAAAAAAAAAAAAAAAAAGATGTTTCTGGATAGAGCTGATAGTAATAAAGGTTGAGAAATACTAGACTAGGGTAGTTAGGGAAGACTTGTAAAGAAAAAATACGTTTGGGCTCAGTATTGAAGCAGAAGTAGGTAAGTTTTAGATAAGCAAAGCAGGATGTTTTGCTGGATAATGTACTTTTTTTTTTATTAGAGAGAATATACTTTTTTTAGAGTCGAAGATTGGATGTATACCATGCCACATAATAGCCTTTAGTTAGTATCTTTAAAAAGTGAAGAATTCTGACACCTGCCTTGCAAGTGCAAGGTCCCAAGTTCAATCCCCGGTACCAAAAAAAAAAGGGTGAAGAAGAAGAAAATAAAATCTCAGAGTTTCTTTTAAATTTGTTCAAATTCAGAGTGCTGTGCCAAGGTTCCCTATTGCTTTTGCATGTTCATTCTTACCCATTTAGTTTTAGATCAGAGGTGAGGATCAGTTTCTTTATGCAGTCATGTTAACAGCACTGTTTATCTAGCAGATTCTTTGCTTAGATGTGGAATTACAGTTCTCTTGTGCTATCATTACTCATCGAGTTACAGAATTCGCAGAATTTTAGAGATGGAGACTGTAGAGATGGTTTAAATTTCTCTTTTAGATATAAGCGGTAAAATTGAGGGAGAATGAGAGAACTGCTTAAAAATTTATCAGTGTTAGTGGTAGAACCAAGGCCTGCTACCTGTATCTCCTGTTCATTGCCCTCATTACTATATCACTTTGCCTAAACTATTGTAAAGAGTGGTCTGGAAGCAGAAATCCTAATTTTAGTAATTTAATCCTTAAAATATTACCAGATTGTTACTTTTTGCTCCAGGTTTCTGGACAGATTATTTCCTTAGGGATGTGGAAGGACAGTACTTTTTGGATTTTTTTTTTTTAACATTTCTGCTTTTTTTTGGTAACAGGCATCGAACTCAGGTCCTTGCACTTGCAAGGCAGTGGTGGTGCCACTGAGCTAAATCCCTGGCCCATTAACATTTCTATGCTACTAGCTTTAACCTTGGGTGACTTAGTTAACCTTCTTACCAAATGTGCTTGTATGTTAAATGAGGATAAAGATACTTACTGAATAAGTGGTTGTCAGGATTAAGCTAGATGACCTCTGCAAAGCCCTTTCCGCTGTGCTTGGTGTTAAAAATTGAGTAAATGTTGGATGTGTGTGTAGCTCAGTGGTAAAGCACTTGCCTAGTGTGTGGATGGCCATGGGTTCTATCCAGCACCACCTTAAAAAAATGTTTTTTCATCTTCTTTTGTTCCTAGGACACTTACCACATTGTATTACAGCTATTTTATATGTACCAGGTGGGATTCTTAGAGATTTTCCCCTCAGTTAATTTCTCAGTTTTATATAATATTGTGTGTTCTGTGAAAATGATTCATAAAACCAAAAAGAAACCAATAAACCTACTCCAGCAATTTGCTACTGAAACAAACATAGGGGTACTGTTGTGGTAGATTGTTCATTCATCTGCCAGAAGAATTGAGCAACTATTGTTCTTTTTTTTTTGGTACTGAGGATTGAACTCAGAACTTTGCACTTGCCAGGCAGGCGCGGCACCACTGAGCTGAATCCCTAGCCCTATTGTTCAGTTTTAATACTGATAATTCTGTAATAAGCTGAGTTTATTTACTATAGTGTTGGTGCCTAATTTTGACCTTAAATTTTTTTCATTTTAATTCTGCAAGGAAAGTATGTTGATTCTGTCATTTGACTCCTTTCTGTTTTTGACTGTTTCTGTGGTTTCTTGCAGAGTTCTGAGGAACATGAACACAATGATGACACTTCTCAGGAGGATGAGGGCTTCATGGGCATGTCCCCCCTCTTACAAGCCCATCATGCTATGGAAAGAATGGAAGAGTTTGTTTGTAAGGTAAGAGTCAAGTGTTTTTGTTGTTTTGTTTTTTTCTTTTTATCATTTCCATGCTGCATCTATTTAGTCCTTCCCAAACAGAAACTATTAAAGGGAATGGAGATGCTTTGGCCGTTGCTTTGCTTTGGGAAAATTTATGGTAGGATGAGGACAGAAGTGGTTTCATGATTTCAACCCTGTTCAAGGTACAGTACATTTGTTTGCTTGCAGCAGCTTTGATAAAGTTCTCATAAACCTGGAATATCCAATTGGGAAATATACCTTTCCTGCTACAGGTTAGCAGCTTGAATGTCTTGTTGATGAAACAAAATTGGGGGTGGTTGTAATGGAGATACAAAATGCTGTCCCTAGCTGGGAATGTTGGAACATAGCTGCTGCTTGGGAGGCTGAGGCAGAAGGATTGCAAGTTTGAGTCCAGCCTGCACAACTTAGCAAGACCATGTCTCAGAATTTAAAAATATAAGTAGAAAAGGCTAGGGATGTAATTCAGTGGTAGAGTGCCTCTGAGTTTAATCCCCAGTACCGTGTGCGTGCGTGTGTGTGCACGCGCGCGCGCGCGCGTGTGTGTGTGTGTGTGTGTGTGTGTGTGTGTGTATGGGAGAGGTTGAGGGGTGGGAAGAGACACCCTTAGTCTTCGTGATATATTTTGCTGTTTGACTTGGATGTAAACCTGCTGTTCTTTTTAGGATTTTATGAATAGTCAAACTATGCTTGACATAGAAATTTCCCAGTTTTCATGAACACCTAGTATTTTCACTTTAGTTGGTATATTTTTTGTCTCTAAGGTTTTTCTTTCAGTTCACTTTCTGATTTCCTGGGATTTATTCTAGAATTTTGTTTTCTTTCTAAAATGAGAACTAGAGTTGCTTACTTGCTTAGAGAAAATAGGGACACTGGTAAATTTATAGGAACTTGATTAATCAGATCTGTAAGAGTTTTGCCTGATAGGATCTCAAATCAGTGTAAATCTTTATGTGTATATGTATATCAATTAATTTATTTAAAATTTCTAGAGAACTCTTGATTATTTAGAGAGAAATTTTTATGACATATAACTTCATGGATTTTATGAAACCAAAATTTTTTATGCTTACAGTTTTAGATCCTGAAAGGTAAATTTAGATTTTCCTTCACTCACAGTGATGCTGGAAATCACTGAGGCCAGTTAACTTAGAATGTTATACATTGGACCAAGGATGAGAAGCGAACATTATGATTTGTTTGTTTTTTTTTTTTGATACCGGGGATCAAACTTGGGTCCTTGTGCTTTCGAGGCAGGCGGCAGAACCACTGAGCTAAATCCCCGGCCCTAGAACATTATGATTTGAACATAGACACCCCTTCAAAACTAAGGGCAGGGTGGGGGACTAAGGAAGAAAATGTAAACATTTATACGGTCTGCATAGACCGTAGGATATCTTAATTAGTATTTGAAAATTGGTGATAGAAAAGTCAAGCAGCTGGGCATGGTGGTGCCCACCTGTAATTCCAGCACTTAGGAGGCTGAGACAGGAGGATTGCTGCAAATTCAAGGCCAGCCTGGACTAACTAGTGAGTTCAAGGCTGGCCTGAGCTACGTAGTGAGACCCTGTCTCAAAAAAACCAAAAAAGAAAAAACAAACAATAGATTCCTTTTCGTGATCCCTGTCTTAGGAGAATTAGCAGAGATATAGTAGACAACAATCATACCTTTCAAGAAACCTGTGAAGGAGTCAACGCTCTGGTACTAGTTGTTTGGCACTCCTTGAGCAAGCTAGAACTTGGTGTCAAGAACTTGGTATCGATTGCCTTGTGACTCCTATTCTTTCCAGCCATAACTGTTTGTTTGGTACTTTCCTTTGTGGTACTTGTTATGCCTCCTGGAACCAATTAATGACAAGTACCAAGGTCTTTGCTTTTCAGAAACAAATTTGATGTGAAGAAATCTCTTAAAAGAGGGCTGGGGATTTAGCTCAGTGGTTTCGCTGCCTGCTGCGCAAGCACAAGGACCTGAGTTCAATCCCCGGTACCCCCCCCCCCCCAAAAAAGAAATCTCTTAAAATTTTATACTTAATGTCTGGACCACTAGGGAAATTTAATATTTATAGATTAATGGGATAGTGTAGCTGACCCAACTACCTATTCATTTTCTCTTTCTGAACCGAGAGCTAAAAATACAGCACATAAAACTTTTAACAGCTAATGGGAGAATAGATAGGTTGGGCATTTACCTGCTACACACTGTCATTTACTGCAGAAGAGTGTCCCATCAGCCTGTCTGTGAGAGCAGAATGGAGAGGTACCCTGTTGCACATCTTCAGTGTTGTTCCACCTTGCAGTGGCAGTGCACCTGACTTTGCTTGAAAACGGGCCATGTCTATTGACACCATCATTTGGTTTCTTGGATTGGAAGCAAATAAACAGTTTAAAATGAGGTGTGCCATGGGTGTGCTGTTGTACCTTCTCTTTTGGGAAGCTTTTCTTACAGGAAGAGGGGCAATGAAAAAATAGGTTAGTTTTTAGAGTTTTCAGTTTGATCTTAGACTCTTTTCAGACTTTAGTTTTTGCTATTTTACCAGCATAGTCAGGCCCACGTAGGAATAAGGGTGGTAGTGAACAAATTTGGAGTGTGTGTGTGCGCACCTGTGTACACATTCAGGAGTCTAGTACAAACACAGTGGACCATTACTAAGATGTTTGATTTAGGCAGTGTATTTGTCAAATTTATTTATAAATAAGTCTAAGCTGTGATCCTAGTTTGTCCTGAGCAGAGAGGAGGATACCTATTTGTGTTGGCAGTTGACTGACAGCCTATGATTCCCAACTTGAAAGTGAGGATACAGTCTCTGCTTAATATGAAGTATAACTAGTAAAGCACAGCTCCCCAGTATTTAGATCATTAGAATGTTATAAACAGTGGGGAAAATTCCACTGACATTTAATGCATGTGTGGCTAGTAAGAAACTCAGTCTGTTCTTTCTGGCTATGAAAAAGGGTGCTTTTGACTGTTTTTGTTGATGTATAGCACAGTAGCACTTCTGATGCAGTCACAGCAGAGTAGTTGGGGTTTTTTTTGTTGGTTTTTTTTGATACTGGGGATCGAACTTGGGTCCTTGTGCTCATGGGGCGGGTGGCGGAACCACTAAGCTAAATCCCCGGCCCTACAGCAGAGTAGTTGTACATGGTGAACTGTCTTGAAGATACAAGGATTGAATTCTTTATTCCTCTTCCTCTTAGAAATAAAATTCATCCAGATAAAACAAGTAGCAACATTTTATAAGGTTAATCTCAGCAATAATGTGATCTTTCAAATTAAATGTAAGAACTTCAGGCTCTTTTGCTTTCTCCTCTTTCTCAATACAGTCCTATGGAAGATGGCATACAGCTGCTTTTACAAGTGATAGTGCATTGCAGTTGTCCCTCTGTAGATGGCCCTCTGTATCCATGGGTTTCACACTTTGCATTCAAACAGATATTCAGGAGAGCTGGTGTGCTTACTTGTTCCTGTAGTCCCAGCAACACTGGAGGCTGAGATGGGGAGGATCGCTTGAGCCCATGAATTAAAGATTAACCTGGGCAACGTACTGAGACCTTTCAAAAACAACAAAAAGCTATGTAAATACTTTTTTCCTTGTCATTATTTTTCATTTCCAAAGCCATACAGTGTAACAACTGTTTACACAGCATTTACGTTGTATTAGGTATTATATGTAATCTAGGGATGATTTGAAGGAGGATGTGCATAGGTTATATACAAATACTACACCATTTTATATAAGGACTGGGACATCTACCGAGTTTGGTATCTGCAGAGGATTTTGGAACCAGTCCCCCTTGCATGCTGTGGGGTGACTGAACCTTTAGCAGTAGATGTTAATGACCTAGGTTAGTCTTTCAGCATTGTTTTATTGTGTGTTAGAAACATATATGGATTGGCCAGGCGAGCACCAGTTTTGAGAGCCCCCCTGCCTGTGGTTTTTACTTGGCAGGTGAAGGAGAAAAGGAAGGCGAGGGGGTAGAGAGAGATTGATTTGATAATGTTAAAAGGGTCCGTCACTTCCTTTGGAGATAGAGGAGGTGTTACATGGAGGATCAGTTCTTTTACAAATGTCAGTAAGGACGCAGAAGAGCAGAGAACAGAAAGCAGGATGTGGGGGTGAAAGGATTGCACAGTAGCTGGCAAATAAGTGGCAGTCTTTCTGCATTGTAGAGAGAAGGGGAACCAGGTTTCTGTGGCTTAGCTGTTTTGTTTGTCAAAGACACTTTGGGGGGACAGGGATGGAAGTCTTTGTCAGTGAGCTCTGATGATTTGTAGTAGAGGTTCTTGCTTATAGGGTAATAGACTAGAAGCACTGTTGAGTCCACATTAACTGGAAGGTAGACCATGTGACAGACCATGCCTGGCATTTTCCTTGTACTTTCTGGCAAGCAGAAGCAAATCAGTTCTAAATGAAGTTGTCATTATGGTCTCAGCTTTCTGGGCTGAGAGACATTAAAAGAATCAGTACAGAGGTAGACAGATGTACACAGGAGGGAATTCCAAATCCTTGACTCTTTTTCCTCTAGAAGTCACTGAGGAGCTACAAAGGGAAAAAAGAAAGAGGGCTGAGGCACTTGAAGGTCTGTTGAGATGGAGTTTCTTTGCTGTCTGTCCAGAAAGAGAAGGAAGGGGAAGAGGTTGTTACTAATATTCATTCATTCATTCATTCATTCATTTTTTAAAGTTTTTTTTTTAAATGGTCTCACTCTGTAGTTCAGGCTGGCTTTGAATTCACGGTGTAACCCAGGCTGGCCTCACATTTACAGCAATCTTTCTTCCTCAGCTTCTGGAGTGCTCAGATTATAGGCGTGCATCACCACGCCCAGGTTCTGTCACTGACTTTTTTTAGACAGGTGATAGCCCCTGGGGACAGTTAAGATCACTTGTGCCTCCTTTGGGGTGGATCCTAGGGATTAACTCATTTATGGAGTCCTCATGCCGTTTTATTTGGTCCTCATAATTTCTTTATTAAATAAAGCACTATTATTTTCATTTTAAAAATGAAGAAATGAAAGCTTAGACATTTGTAACTGATGAAAACTCATACAATTTGTTAATGTCTGAGACCCAAGAATTTTCTGACCTCTTTGTTTTTCTTTTCTACTTCATATTTGCTGTGTTGGAAAGAGAAGAGGAAGTAAGGGGGAGGAGGGGAGTTTGGCAAAGGGCATGAAAGTATGATACTATATAGTTCTTTTTCTGCTAATATGAATATTAAATATAAAAATGGTCGTAGGGCCGGGGATTTAGCTCAATGGTTCTGCTGCCTGCCTCACAAGCCCAAGGTCCTAAGTTCAATCCCCAGTACCAAAAAAAAAAAACCCACTGAAAATGGTCATATTTAATAACAGAGATTTCTGCTGTGGAGGATGCAGGATGGTCTGTAATGGGTGAGACTTTGGGCCCTTCGCTCTTCTTTAGCCACACTCAAACAGAGCTCTTTTAGGGAATATTCTGTAAATTTGTCTACTCTTTCCTTCCCTGAAAGGATCCCCATTTAAAAGCTATGTATTTTTTATCAGTCTGTTTTGTAAGAACTTAGAATGAGACATTATACATTTTGAATATATTTGCTTTTAAAAATTATTTTTCCTAGTGAGAGAGAGTTGCTTGGGACAGTATTGTAAGTGAACACTTGAAATCAAAGCTTTTCCATAACACCCTTCTTCCAGGTATGGGAAGGTCGATGGCGAGTGATCCCTCACGATGTGCTGCCAGATTGGCTCAAGGATAATGACTTCCTTCTACATGGACACCGGCCACCTATGCCTTCTTTCCGGGCCTGCTTTAAGAGCATTTTCAGAATACACACAGAAACAGGCAACATTTGGACACATCTCTTAGGTATGTAATGTCAGTGGTATAATGAAGTGGTGATCTACTTTATTTTTTATTATTATTATTTTTTGGAGATAGAGTCTCACTTTGTAGTTCAGGCTGGCCTTGAACTCACGGTGATCCTCCTGCCTCCGTCTCCTGAGTGCTGGGATTACAGGTGTGTGGCATTATGCCTGGTCCCACTTTATTCTCTTATTTTCATATATTCGAGGATAAAGTTAGACTTTAAAAATGCACTGGGATTTTAGATTTTCCCCTTTGAATTTCTAATGATGAATCATCTCACTTAGTAACTCTTTGCTTATTCTAGTTTACACCGATTTTATTACAGTTAGTCAAATTTTTCTCTCCTAGATTATTAGACTGTGTCCTCAAACCACACAAAGGAAAAGTTGCTATACAAAATGTCGTAGAATATTATCATAATCAGTGAGAGGAAGGTATTTAATATAAATAAGCTGATTTTTTTCAAGTCGTTACTTAGAATATTACAGTTAAATTTCAGGTTGGTTTGAAATGGAATATGAAATGTAATATTTTCACATCATGGTTTTGTTCTTCTTTGTTTTTTGAGACAGGATCTTGCTATGTAGTCTAGGCTGGCCTTGAACTCACTATGTAGCCCATACTGGCCTTGAAATCACAGTGATCCTCCTGCCTCAGCCTCCCAAGTACTAGGATCACAGGCATGCACCACAACACCCTGACATGATTATGTATTAAAGAAAAAGAAAATACAATAGAGGAAAGAATAGTCTTTTCAATAAATGTTGCTGGGATAGTTGAGAATCAATATATAAAAGAATGAAGTTGAACTCTAGCCTCATGCCATATACAAAATTAGCAATGAGAAAATACAGATATAAATCTTGGCCTTGGATTAAGCAAGTTTCTTAGAATTGGTATCTAAGTCACAAGCAAAGAAAAAGTAGGTAAATTGGACTTTATCAAAATTAAAAGCTTGTATATGTCCACATTATCATGAAAGTGAAAAGACAACCCATAGAGTAGAAGGGAATATTTGCAAATTATTTTATTGGTAAGAGTCTAATAAAGAACTTTGATAACTCAAAAACACCCTAGTTTGTCCTATTTGCAAAACTTCTGAGTAGACATTTCCTCAGAGAAGATACATAAGTGAACAGTAAGCACATAAAAAGATGTTTATTATCATTTAAGGAAATACAAATCAGAAGCACTGAGAAATGCAGCTGAGAAATGCCACTTCACCCCTGCTATGATGGCTATAATCAAGAAAACGGAAGATAAGTCTCGGTATGGATGAAGAGAAATTGGAACTCTCATAGGGGTGTAAAATGGGGACGCCTCTATGGAAAATAGTTTGACAGTTCCAAAATGTTCAAAAGGGTTATCAGTTATCATCAGTTCCACAATGAGGTATATATCCAAGATAATTAAAATCATATTCACATAAAAACATGTACGTGAATATTTATAGCAACATTATTTGTAATAACAAAAAAGTAGAAACAAGCCAGATATCTACCAGTGGATGAAAGAATTAAGGAGCTCTGGCACAGCCTACAGTGGCCCTAAAAAGGGATGGGGTACTGATAATGTATTACAACATGGATGAACCCTGAGAACATGAGCTAAATGAAAGAAATCAGACAGCAGGCTACATGATTGTGTATTACATGTATGTGGAATACCCAGAAGAGGCAAATCCATATAGACAAAGCAGATGGTGGTGTCTAGGGCTGGGGGGAGTGGAGTGGGTGTGATAATAGGTCCTGGACTTGGGTTTGAGGGGATGATAACGTTTAGGGTTAGATGGTGGTGATAGTTGTGCAAACTTGAGAACGTAGTAAGTAGTTTCAAGCCTTACTCCATTTGACTTGTGTTTTTTATCACACATTTGATTGCTGTGTTTCCAGTTCCTGCTTGCTAGTTGTAGTGAGAATAGAAGAGAATCAAATGAAGTTTGTTGCTGGCCTCTTAAATCAAGAGTAGCTTTTTAATTAAAATGATAAAACAGAATCACTTAGCAAGTGTTTAATTTCTGAGTGCCTGTGCCATCCTCGTGTCAAATGGTACTTCCCGAGCAGTAAGAGATTGGTACCTCACTGTAGAGAACAGTTTAAGGACAGGTGCGAAGTGGTCTGAATGGGTACTTTACTAGTCCTCATTTTTGATCTGTGGGGCCACTGATGAGACCAGAGAAGCAGCACAGTGTTCCTTGACAGCTGTTGGTGGAGGAAAACTGTATTTCCTGTCAGAGTTTTTAAAGTATCGGAATTCATTGCAAAAATAAAAGTGAAAGCAAAATGGACTTTTGGAAGCAGCATATGTGCCGAAAACCTTATGAGTGGAATTTTATACTGAATCTAAGAGGTAGCACCACTGTCCCATTTCCTTTTGGATTATGCCCCTAGATAAATAACTTATATTCCGTATACTCAGTTTGTGAAGCTGAAGTCTATATCATTACCAAACATATTTGAAGTAAATAAATTTTGAATAAACCTCAGTTATTTGCAGAAATTTTTCTCATGGAACTTTTTTTTTCATAGAATGTCGACTTTATTTATTTTTAATTAGTACATGTTTGCCATACATAATGATCACATTCATCTTGGGGAATTTGTACCTGTTCATAATATATCTTAATTCTTTTTTTTTCCCCTCATGGAACTTTTGATTCACATTTCATCATTGCCACTGAGAAAGACTGAAAACATAATCAGTGTGTAACTGTCTCTTCAGGGCTGAGGATGTAGCTCAGTGGCACCAAGCGCAAGGTCCTAAGTTTGATCCCTGGTACCAAAAAAACAAAAAGAAAGAAACAACCCAAAAAAATGTCTGTTCAAAAGAATATTTTTCTCCTGTATTCTTTTCCTAGGTTGTGTATTCTTCCTGTGCCTGGGGATCTTTTATATGTTCCGCCCAAATATTTCCTTTGTGGCCCCTCTGCAAGAGAAAGTGGTCTTTGGATTATTTTTCTTGGGAGCCATTCTCTGCCTTTCGTTTTCGTGGCTCTTCCACACAGTCTACTGCCACTCAGAAGGAGTCTCTCGACTCTTCTCTAAGTAAGTATCTTTATAGTCCATATTTTGATCAGTGAGTTAGAGCCAGTGGTTTAGGGGAAAATATCCAGCAGAATTAACACTTCTTGATACCATCTTTTAGGAACTTTTAAAAATTAAAGCAAGCAGGGCTGGGGATTTAGCTCAGTAGTTCTGCCACCTGCCCCACAAGCACAAGGACCCGAATTTGATCCCTGGTATCAAAAAAAAAAAAAATTAAAGCAAGCAGCCTAGTTTGTCTTTTAGCTATTATTGATAGCTCATGTCATGGGAGATTAATTAAAATTTGTAAGGCAGTAATATTTATCGTTGGACTTATTCTTTTTTTTAATCCTAGACTGGATTACTCTGGTATTGCTCTTCTGATTATGGGAAGTTTTGTTCCTTGGCTTTATTATTCTTTCTACTGTAACCCACAACCTTGCTTCATTTACCTGATTGTCATCTGTGTGCTGGGCATTGCAGCCATTATAGTTTCCCAGTGGGACATGTTTGCCACCCCTCAGTATCGAGGAGTAAGAGCAGGTAAGTGCACATGGAGTTCTACATCGGACCTTCATTTATTCACCATTTATTAAAGGTCTACCATTTGTCAAGCATGCTATTTATCTGTGATGTGAAGAAGAGTAAGTTGTAGTTCCCTGTTGTTGAGGCTCTTTTAGCACAGTCACAGTAGTAAAGGGAGTCAAGTTCACTGGTTGTCTTAAAGCATAGGGTTGGGCCAGGGGTGAAGTGGTGAGGGCATGGATTTGTGGCAGTGTTTACTTTAGGCTGTACGCTGTCCCTAAGGTGGCAGCTCTACCACCATTATAAAATAATCATTTCACTTATTTTTTCAGCTTAGTGTGTTTTGTAGTGATTGATTCTTTTTGTATTTTTTATTTTTGTTTTATTTATATTTTTATTTTAAAATATTTTGTAAGCTCCTTAGGTAAATAAGACTTCACCCCATACTAATTGTGATCTATTAAAGTGCAGTAGGCACCATACATCTCTTCTGATTTAGGTTAAAGGTGTTTTGTTATTTGTTTGTTTATTTATTTAATTTAGGAGCTCTTACAGAAGGCCAGAAGCTTTGGCTTCTTGGAGTATGGAGTTAGAAGAGATGTTTTTCTCTTGAACTAGATTGGGATTCTGCTTAGTCAGTGCTATCTTCAGTTTTCTATTGCTAGTGTAAAGCCCAGTGCCTCTTGAGATTGAGTAAGCAGTATTACAATTAGTGTTTTTCTTTTAACCTTTAAAAAAATAATAAAATTCAAATTCTGGTTCATCTCCAGTTACTAATGCTTGAAGTAGAATTAACCTGACGCTAATGTACACTTTTGTAACACTCTTCCCTCTCCCCCTTTTTTGAGTGTTCATCTGGACAAATAAACAGTGGGCGAGGCTGGCTGTTGGTAGTCTTTCAGTAATTCTGTGCTGTTAAGCCTACTCAAGCACCTGAGATAAGAACATCTTTGCTGAGTAGAGCTGAGGTTCTGCTATTTATATACATCAGAAGAACCATCCAAGTTCCTGTGCCTTTGATTTAGAGAATGAGAAAGGCAAGACCATTAGCAGACTTTGCTTACCATACAGAGGAAAATAACAAGAACAGGATTATGGTGATGTCTTTAGAGAAGAGTAGAGGTGGGATAAAGTTTTTATTTAGGCCTGTTTGGTTCTTGTCTTCTGTGAATTGAGCATTGTTATTTTCTTCCTCTCTTTTAAATGCTTATTTTGAATATGTATCCTGTGCCTGTGTATAGTGTTGGATGCTCCAACTTATTTGGTAATGCACAGAGCAAGAAATAGGCTACTGGTCTATTGAGAAAGCTTATCAAGTGACAGTTTGTGTTATAAGGGTCATTCTTATCTCTGCCTGTCAAAATGTAGGAGCACTTACAGCTGAAACAGATACTTGTTTGGGTTGACATATCAGAGTGGTGTTTAGAACCCTAAGCATGTGTAACTCGTGTACATATAAATGACAAAATTTTTATGAAATACTGCTTTACCATTCATTTAACTTTTATTGTATTCTAGTTCTTCACTTTAGTTGATCTTAGAACCTAGGGCAGTGGTGTCAAACCTATGGCACGCATGCTGCAGTGGGCTGTTTGTATCATCGAAAGCTCTAAAAGGCTCGTCATCACTGACCTAGGTCATATCCAGAAATTTGAAAAATACTGCTTCATATGATTTTGAAGGCAGCTAGCTATGCCAGCTGATGCTGATCGTGTTCTGTGCACATGCTAACCCATACTCTACCACTGCTAACCCATACTCTAACCCATACTTGCACATGCTAACCCATGCTCTAACACTGAGCGGTACCCCAGCCCCATTTTTATAGGTTGTCTAATTGATTGCTGTTTGGGGGCCTGGGAGCTTTCAGAAGCACATGCTTCTTTGTCAGTTTATTTAGGTGACAAGTTAGGCCATTTTTTGAGAGTATTTAAATTTTTTCAGTACCCATTTTTAGGTCATAGATTTAGATTGCAGTACTATTAGAAATATTTTAGCTTTATGTATTGCTTACCTCCCCTAGTTATCTGATCATTTATTGCTTTCTCCATGCCAGTAATTTCTGTTACTTCAAAGAGAAAATACAAATACATAAGTTTTCTCTGTTTTGTAATCTGCATTAAAGGCAGCTTGTAGAGAAGTTTAAACAAACTCCCAGAGTTGTCCTTCCTTAAAGAACTAAAAATAATTCAAAACCAATGGTGACAAACCTATGGCATGCCTGCCACAGTGGGCTGTTTGTATCATTGAAAGCTCTAAAAGGTTCCCTATCATTGTACCCTTGGTTCCTTGGATTTTTAAGTAGATCTTTAGAATATTAGCTGTTTTGTCTTGTGTGACAGTGTCTCAGAGTTTGAAGAACCTTCTTTTTAAAACAAAAAGCTAATGTTGCAACCTGCTTTGGAATTTTCCATTTACAGAATTAATAGTGCTGTTCTGTAATACTGACTTCTTTCTTCTTCTGTGTTTTTACTTTATTCCCCTCTCACGATTTCTAGGAGTGTTTGTGGGTTTGGGCCTGAGTGGAATCATCCCCACCTTGCACTATGTCATTGCGGAGGGCTTCCTGAAGGCTGCCACCATAGGACAGATAGGCTGGCTGATGCTCATGGCCAGCCTCTATATCACTGGAGCGGCCCTCTATGCTGCCCGGATCCCTGAGCGCTTCTTTCCTGGCAAATGTGATATCTGGGTAAGTGTGATCAGGGCTGAGTAAGCATGTGTACCTATCTATTAGTGGATTGTGGGAAGACTGGGAAGTGATATAATCAAAAGTTTCAGACTCAAAATTGAGAGAAGTGATATAATCAAAAGTTTCAGACTCAAAATTGAGAGGAGTGTCTTAACTGTCCTTCAGTAGCTGTGTTTTTCTCTGCCCAGTGAGCACAGTAATAACTCACATTTATTGAGCACTTGGTGCCCTGCACAATACTGTGTGCTACACATAGACAGCCTCATTTAATTCATTAACCCTGTAAGTCTAACTAATTAATATTTTCATTTTACGTATAAGGAAACTAAAACTTAGTGAGGTTAGGCAACTTGTCTGGGCACATGACCATCCACCACTCAACACTTCACCTGGAGCGTCACTCATATGGTACGTTTCAGTACTGACTCTCCTGAGCATTGCTTGGGCAGGTGTCATTTCAGTCAATTCTTATATTGAGTAAATTTAATAAAACTGACATTTTTATATTTCTTATAAAAATTAACCGAAAAATGCAGTTTTAAAAAATCCTGTATTTAAATAATTGGACTGATACATGGTTAAGTGGTAGACTTAAAATTGGAGTCAGGAAGTCTTTCTTCTTCCCCTTTTTTTCCTGGGGATTGAACTCGAGTCATTTGCTCTGGGCTATATCTCCACCCCTTTAAAAAAAAATGTGTTTTGGAGCCAGGATCCTAAGTAGCTGATTTGTCCCGGCTGGGATCAAATTTGGTATTTTCTTGCTTTGACCTCCCAGAGTGCTGGAATTATAAGTGTGCACCACCATGCCCAGCTGTCAGGCTAGTCATAATATCAGAGAGTGTGTGCACCTGTTCCTACACCATAATGGAAAGCCATAGTCATACTTTGTCTCAGTTTCTTCATTGATGAGGGTGATGGACAGATGTTTGCCAAAGACCTTTTTGGGACCAGATTCCTACCTAAGGTTTTTTGATATCAAAACTTAGTGATTTATAGGGAGAGAGTGGATGTGTATATGTCTGGTTGGGGTAGGAAAGAAAAATATCTGGACTGTGGTTAATGGTAAAATGATAGGAAAGAGAAAAGGGGAAAATATAAGGGACTGATATAGATGTAAATTTTCTTTTTTTAAGACAAGAGTCTCACTTTGTAGTTTAGACTGGCCTCGGATTGACTACATAGCCCAGGCTGGCTTCAAATTTACAGTGATCCTCTTGCCTTGGCCTCCCAAGTACTGGACTTAACATGTGTGCCCTACCATCCCTGGATCATAGATATAAATTATACAACTAAAGAGGACCTGAAATATTTTCAACAGTGTAGAATTGGAGTGTTGTTGCTAAGAAACCTGACCTTTGAGCTGGGTGTGGTGGCACACACTGTTAGCCCACTTACTAGGGAGGCTAAGGCAGGAAGAGCACAAGTTCAAGCTTAGCCTGGGCAACCTAACTCAGCAAGACCTTTTCTCAAAATAAAAATAAATTTTTAAAGGGCTGGGGATAAGTACTGTGGTAGAGTGCCTAACATGTGCAAGGATCTGGATTGAATCCCTAGTACCACAGAAAAATAAAAAAGAAATCTTAACTTCTGCAGTCCTTTTCCTTAAGTATTGTTGATTATTGTAGACTGAACTATTCTCTTTGAAGTTTAGTTTAGCTCTGTGTGAAATGAAGATAATCATGAATGTAAGCAGTCCTTTGAATTTCAAATTAACCAAATTATCTTTCTGGGATTGCCTCATCATAATTTTGACATTGATATGGGGGAATTTTTATACCTTCCTTTCCTTTTTGGGAAAATTAATCCCCTTTGGTTTCCTAGGAAATATCTCTTGGAATGTAACTTTTAGTTTCTTGTTCACATTTCTGAAATCAGTCCTTCCCTTGATAAGTACTGCTTGCCACAGTATATTTTTATTTTGAGACTATTTGAGGAAAAAAATGTAATTTTTGTAATGATGGTTGATATAATGAATAGTGATTGCCTTCCTTAATGTGATAGCATTCAACAGAACAGATAAAGTCAGAAAGAATATCACACGCTTGTAGACCAGGTTCTGATTTGAGAAGGAGAAGGTTCCATTTACCTAATCTTTTTATACAATATGTTGTTCATGTAATTCCAGAATCTTAATGCTGAAGGAAATTCCAGAGACCCTTTGTTGTGACTGCCCACTTGATCTTGGAAACCTCTTTAGTTTTTCTAACAGAGAGCAGCATTTAAATTGCCCTAGCTCTGGTATTTTTACTGGCAGAAGTGTCTGCCAGTAAGTCAGAGCCCACTTCTGGGTGTCAAGCCCTCTTTAGGAACTTGTGTCCTAACAGCAAGAGAGTTTGTAGGTTGTTTGTCCCTGAGTTCACCAGATACTCCAGTGTTAATGTGCAGATTTTCATGTTTAGAGTTTAATAGCCATACTTAAATTTCTTTGGGGACAGCTGGTTTGACTCAGCAAAATGTGATATCCTTAATGGATGTCCTATGATCTGTGGACACCTTGAATTTGAGCTCTGTCACATCCATTCCTTGCCCTCTGGTCAGTGTAAGCTGGATGAAATGATCTTAAGAATCTTTATCTGACTTAATAATGTATGGATTTCTCCCCTCTCCCCCAGTTTCACTCTCATCAGCTGTTTCACATCTTTGTGGTTGCTGGAGCTTTTGTTCACTTCCACGGTGTCTCAAACCTGCAAGAGTTCCGTTTCATGATTGGTGGGGGCTGCACTGAAGAGGATGCACTGTGATACCTACAGGTAGCCAGGGACTATGACCCTGTACCTGGGCCTGCAGCAGCAGCAACAGGACTCCCTACTGGCCGCTGATGGCAGTAGCAGGAGCCCCAAAACGTTGACAGCCTCATGGGCTTTGTGACGGCCCAGGGGTTCCACGTGGTACATGACCAAGAAGAGAAAAACAAAAATAAATCATACCTCAAAGGATGGAGTGCATCAATGTGGAGAAAAGGAGTGACCCATACCCTGACTTATTCTTGAGATCTGCTCACTGAGGGCTCTGCAAAACCCTTGGCAAACTGGCTTCTGATCCATATCGTATTTATTTGTAGAAGATGAGGAAACAGTTTAGCTGGTTGTTCTTTCTTCTCCCTTTCTCCTAAAACAACAATACAAACCAATTTAGGTGAACATTTATATCCAATTAAGGGGCGGGATTGTGATTTTAGATGTTCTTTTAAGGAGAACGAAGAAATTAATGTAAATAAGATTTCTAACTGTTTAAATAAAAATTTATATAAATGTTTAAAACATAGGGGTAGGGGAGGGAGGGAGAATTTTTGTATAGAATGAAACATGCAAGTACCACACACTGTTTCAATTTTGCACAAAGTGTGACTGGAAGAGGGTCAGGTAGCAGCCCCAGAATGTACAGTGTCTTGGTGCACCAAGGTGCCTTCCGAAGGCCGACACACATACCTTGGACCCTAGCAGGGCAGAGGTTGTAGCCCCAGCCTAGTGATCACATGGCATCTCTCAAGCATCCTGAGGCAGAGGTGGAGGGAAGTGGTGCGTGTTTCCTCAGTGACTGGTAAGAGGTACTAGGTGAAGGCTGTAGGTAAAGTGTTACTTCAGAGTGTCTTGTAGGCTGATAGTGACCTTCTCTAAGGTAGAGCCACTTAGTCCTGTCATTAATGTTGGAAACGAGCAGTGGAAATGTGGAGGAGCTCTGGGGACATTAGGACAGGGACTGGTCTGATCACTTCCTGAGATCTTGGTGGTGGTGGCACATATGTGATTAGAGAGGTTTGAGCAGTTTTCTGTGTCCTTGCTGTGGAGCTCTGGACCACCCTGTCAATTTCTATTAAAAATCACTGCCCTGACTACCTTTTTCCTTCTGGAACTGAAAATTACCTTTCCTGTACATCATAGTTCCTGGCAGAGCCAGCCAGTTGAGATTCTGACTTGTATGGGTTCCTCATAAGGTCACTTTCCTAGATTGGGGGAGAGCCCTGCCTTTGCACAAGGAAAGATGAGTATCACCCCTGGTGCCCTGTCTTGGTAAGCCTAATGTGACAGACACCTCTGTTCTTGCACAAAAAAGTCAGAACTCCCTAGGCCCCACCTCAGACCCTCACCACAGCACTGCAGCCCCACTGAGCCTCATCAGGCAGAGATAGCCTGGAGCAGAGTTTAAAGGGAAACGACATTATTGCCAGGCAGTCTGGTAGAACCCTTAAGTCCATGGTTTTGAATTGCTACTAGAAGTGAAAAATGATTGCCCTTGTCCCGGGGCTACCTTGTTTTGGTATCAGGGAGAATGGTGGGAGCAGGATCTGGTTTGTAGAATCCTGATCTTGGCTCACTGGTGAGCCCCCGAAATAGTACTGGACCCTGGGCTACTGCCTACCACTTCAGGTGGTTGTGTTACATCCTGGGATGGTGGGTGCTAGAACTAGGCAGGGGGCTCGGCATCCTCAAAGGGGTGTTAAGGGATATGGGAAGAGTCCCATTCAGTAGAGTTTTCTGTTTTCTCTGCCCTTCAACTCTTCAGCCACAGCTGAGGTATAGACCTCAATGTAGAACTTGGGAAGAATTTAGGAGTATTTTGGTTCTAGTTAAGGTCACTGCTGTAAGCAGACCAAGCAGAAGTCAGTTTGGTGCAGTGCCTGACAGAATGAAGAACAGTATTAACTCAGTGAGAAAACAGTCTGGCAGTAGAGTGGACACCCGGAAGGAAGCGCTTACAGTTTCATGGGAGCAACAGCACATATCAGAAGCCAGACTTGATCTTTGGTCACACACTTTGGTGTACAGGGTGTGAGGTGCAGTTCTCCAACACCCACAGAAATGGTAGTCTTTGGGTCCAGTCACCCCACACCACAAAGCAGGAAGAATCTGGTTCAACAGAGCACAAACCCTTGGGGAACGTGAAACCAACACCACCAGTGCGTAATCCAGTTAACTCCCCCTCCCCTTTTGTGTATGTGTGTGGGCACGTGTGCCCATTTCTGTGTCTCTCTGCAGCTCACTACCAACAGCCTCAATATGCACTTGACCTTACAGTGCTTGCTGAGAATCTCACCAGGTTGGCGCCTGAATGCCTTACTCTCAGCAGCCCGAGGCTTGCTTGCTCTGTGCAGATTTTTAATTTTCTTTTTTAGCCCTAGGCTGGTTAGGACCTCTACAGCTTCATTCTTTCACCAGTAAATAGTGGCCTTTTTCAGTATTCTCCCCCTCCCTTCCCCTTTATAAATTGCTGAAGCCACAAAGCACATTTTAGGGGATCATAGAAAGCTGGGGTACCAGAACGGCATCTGTGTGATGGTTCCATTCACCATGGGATTTCCCTATTTGCTGTATTCTCAATTTCTCTAATAAAAAGAGCCAAATGCAATATGAACTTTGGTTATGTTTTTATTGCCCTTTAACTTCTGGCACATCCTGGAAGCCCTAATTTAGACAGTAAAGTTTAAGAAATTTTTAAAACTCCCCATTCTGAATGCACAAATCACCATGCCTTTACCCTGCTCACTGTTCTCATCCCTTGGACTTTCACTGTAACCTGGACCAGGTTTAAGGTGGAAAGGAGAGCTAATGATAAGGGACAATTCTTCGTTTATAAAAATAAAGTTTAGGGGCTGGGGTATGTCTCAGTGGTAGACTGCTCACCTAGCATGCGTGAGGTTCTAGGTTCCGTCCCCTGCACTGGAAAAATTAAAATTTTAACAAAAACCTAATACAGTGAATACCTTATGTTGAGTTGTGTTAAGAGAACCAGTTAATCACTCGTACTGATAATTCCATGGCCAGTGAGTATTATTTTTATTCATTTTATAGATGAGGAAATTGAAACTTAGTATGTCTGATTCTAGTGGCCCAATTTCATTGGAGAAGTGTGAAAACCATTTAAAGAGGAAACTGCGTCCTTTCTACTTGATTTTATGGTTTTAAGTAGTCATATATATATATACTTTGTTTTGTTTTTTGAGACAGAGTCTCCCTATGTAGTTGAGGCTGGCCTTGAATTCACTATGGAGCCCAGGAAGACCTTGAACTTGGAGTGATTCTCCTGCCTCAGCCTTCCAAGTGCTGGGATTATAGGTATTCGCCACCACACTGGCTATAGTCTTGTATATATTGACCTTAGTTTGGGGGGGCGGGGCTTGTTAACCTGGTCTTTTCTGTCATTTTTTTTTCAGTTTCAAAGGGGAAATATTTTAGTAATTAAAAAGGTAAATGTAGGTGTTCTTACAAAGCATTAAACTGTACAGAAATAGACAAAGAAAATTAAAGACTCCATAATCCCACTCTTACATAACCAACCACAGAATTACAGAAAGATTTACTCATAAATACAAAGAAACATAATAAATACATGAAAAACTTAACACGATCATTTACAAAAACCAAACTAAATATGGATTTAACTGAAATTTTATCATAGCCGCCTTTGGGAGGTGGAGGAAGGCAATGGGGGCAATGTGATGGGTTCGAAAATCCTCCTTTGGCCTTTTTATCAGTTGACAGAAATTTAGGCATCTTACTGCAGTGCATATATATAACACAGCAATGGAAAGTAGTTGCTTATGGGAACAGAATTTGCTATTACAGGCAAAGTAGATAGGTATGTCCCGTTTGGCTTTAAGCCTTTTAGAGCTACTTCATACTTTTATGTATTTTTTTTCTCTTTTTTGTTTTTTTGAGGCAGGGTTTTGCTTTGTAATTCAGGCTGGCCTTGATCTCTATGTGTAGGCCAAGCTGGCCTGGAATTCATGGCACCCTCCTGTCTCAGCCTCCCAGTGCTGGGATTACAGATGTGCATCCCCACGCTGGCTATTTTATGGATATTTATAACTGCATGTAGACTGGGAGAAAGCTAAAAGATGATGATGAAGCACCCATATTTACATCTTTTTGAAGTTTATTAACAGGACTATTAAACCCCTTATTTTTTCAGTTCATATGAAGTTTTTGTTTTAAAGATTGAATTTATTTCAGAAGTACTTACAAACCAGTGAGACATGACTAAAGCATTTACAGTAAAGTTTTCAAATCATTTTAATACCTACCTTTTTATGATATTAAAAATAGTACCATTGTAGTATTTGTTTTGTTTTTATTAAAATTAGTTCTTTTCAAGTTTGATTATTACTAACAAATCCTGAGTTTTAGTACAGGCAGAGTATCCCTTATCCCAAATACTTGGGACCAGCCACGTGCAGTGGTACTCTCCTTCTAATCCCAGCACTTTGGAGGCTGAAGCAGAAGGATCGCCTTAAGTTTGAGGCTAGCCTAGGTTACTACGTAGCAAGTTCAAGGCCAGCCTGAACTACATAGGAAGACCCTGCCTCATAACCAAACCAAACAAAAAACATTGGTACCACAAGTATTTTGGAATATGTACATATACAGAACGTGATATGTTTTGGATGGAACCTCAGTCTAAGCAAGAATTTCACTTATGCTTTATAAATGCCTTCCATGCATAACCTGAAGGCAGTTGGATACAGTAGTTTTCATAATGTTGCCCATGAATCATGGTTGCATGGTGTGGAATTTTCCACTTGAGCATTCTGGATTTTTGGTTTAGAGATGTTAAGTCTATAGTATGGCAAGCCAAGGTACAAATATGATCTTTTTTCTGTATGGGAAATTGAACCTAGGGTCTTCACACTGAGCTATGTCCTCAGTGTAACTTTTAAAATTATCTTTTATTTTGAGGCAGGGCCTGGCTAACTAGCTAAGTTGCCTAGGCTGGACTTGAACCTTCAGTCCTCCTGCCTCAGCCTCCCAGAATGCTGGGATTACAGGAGTATGTCATCGCACCCAGGTCAAAACATGATAATTAAAAAAATTATTTTTCATCTTCTAAGCACTGTTTCATGGTAAAAAATTACTATTTGGTCGTAAGTATTCTTATATGCAAATAGTTTTACTGCGGATGGTTTTTATTTTCCTGACATTTACATTATACAACTCTAATCACTAAATTCTTCCTCATCACTGAAGTATGTGCTCTTTATCCTCGGGCGCCGGGAATCCTCTGACGTTGAGGGGCCCCTGCACTGGGTTTCCATTTGTTCTGTTCTTCAATCTTGGCTTGCTGGGACGCTATGGCTTGGCTGAGATTGTGGAGAGCGGGGTCTTCACTTTCTGCTACATCCTCAATTTCTTCCGGTTCGGCAATGTTCTTTATCTTCTTCTTTTCTTTCTTCTTTGGAGGCTCACGTTCACCGAGCATGTTTTTTTGGACAGGCATAACTTAAGTGTCCACTTTCCCCACATTCATAACACTTCGATTTATCAAAGTAGCTTCGCCTTTGGATGAATTCAGCTGCTCTCCCATTGTCAATAGCAACGCTTGCCTTGATCGCTCTACCAAACAACTGTTTGTTGTTTATGGCTCTGGTGCAGTTTTGTGCAGAAATAAATAAATAAATAAATCCAAAATAAATGCAACCCCTTTACTCCTCCTCGTATCTTTGTCTTTCACTATAGTAACCTTTACAAAGTTGCTACACTTGGAAAATATCCGGTATAAGTCGTTGTTTGTTACGGAGAAGGGCAAGTTGGACACATACACTGTGCTCTTACTTGGAGCCAAGCCACCACTCATTCCTGCAGGGACGGCGGACCCGGCTCAGCGGCCTGGGCATCCCGCGCCCGCCCGGAGGGACCCTGCTCGGCTCCCCTAGGTCGGGCCACACTGGCGGGTGTGTCTGTGACGTCACCGCCCTTTTCTGTATCATTTAATGAGAGGAAATCTCAACCCTTTTCCTTAGGTAGATATACTTTTGGCAGGGAATTTCCAGCATTGGGTTATGTCTATTTTACATTCTTTTTTTTTGTACAGGGGCTCGGACTCAGGACCTTGTGCTTGCGAGACAGGCGCGGGGCCACTGAGCTAGATCCCCGGCCCTGCGTTCTCATTTTTAAGTACAGGTCACGGTTTCCGATACATTATATGGGTGTGGGACACTGGACTACCTTAGAGAAGTAAGCCGAAGTTCACAGATAACACACTTTGGTTTTTCCTGGTCTTTCTCCAGCAGCTGTCTGCGCTTCCTATTTCTCGGGTGACATCCGCGGCTATTTTAGATAAAGCAGATGACACATTTAAATCTTGACTATGGAATGCAAGGGTCTGGGTGCCTTAAGAGGAGCCTCTGGACAATGTTGCTTTAAAGTTACCCTAGAAACAACACCCTTGAGTACTGTGCTTCAGTTGTAGTGTCTGAAGGCCAGTCTGGCTCTCATAAGTGCTACTTAGGATGGTGTGGATCAAGGGTCAGGGAGAACACGGGGTGCAGATTAAACTACACCTCATGCAGCCTCTTGTCACCGTGTCCCACCACCCCTCCCTTCCCCCATTAGCTCAGGGATGAGGAGAGGCAGGCTCACACCCCAGTTCTGCCATTTGCCATGTAACATGGGCAGGAAGTCATTCACTTCCCTGGCCTGTGTGTCCTCACTTGCCCAAAACAAAAGGGCTAATGGCATATTCTTTGCATCCTTAACACACACTCTGGCCCCTACAGGTAACGTTTCTCAGACTTCCCATACTGATTAGCTGGTGTTTTTGCCAAAGCCTTGCTCTGATTCCTTCCTTTGGTAGTTTTTGAGCCCTTGCCACTCCCACATGCACTTTTCTGACCTTAAGTTATAGCCACTCCTTTGCCCTCCTGAACTGAAACTTAGCGTCCTGAAGTGGTTCCTTTTACCTGAAAGCACTTCTATTAAAACGTACACATTTATTAAGTGGATTTAGTAGTTACGTGTGTCTCTGGTTCTGAGGAAGGATCTGATGTCATTCTCGAGCTCTCGGTCATCCAAACGTGCGATGCTAGTAAGAAAAGAGATGTCAGAATTCTGCATCCCCGTTTACTAAATGACTTAAGAGGTCCCAACATTTTCTCCCCCTCAGTCAATGTGAGCTAGTCTGCCACCTGCTGTCCTTTTGTCGTTTAAAAGTGGGAAGAATCATGCTGACCTTCAGAGGCAAACCTTTAAGAGAATAGCCGTTCTGCAAGGTAGAGAAGAGCAGTGTTAGTTTTCAGAAATGGACTTCCCGGGTCTTGTAGTCCTCTCTTGCCAGTGTGGCGGGACCTTGAGAAAGCTGCCTGGCACTTACTACACTTGACCTTTTCATTGTATGGCTGGGATAGTTAAGTTTGTTCACAAAATGCTCTCCTTAGTTGGGGTGTGAGGAGGAACCTTACAAGACAGCACTGGACTATCATCCTAGAGAGACGTGAGTAGGTGGCATTTGGGTGAGCAGTTGAGACCAAGTGCTGTTGGAGGTGAGAACATTTATTAATGCCAAAGACAGGCAGGTGACAGTGCACTGCAGTGAGGAGTGGCTGGAACCAGGACACACACCCTACCCTGGCCGTCACAATCAGGTCTTTATGACATAAAAGGGGAAAGTGAGCCACTTCAGCTGAGCCGGCTGGAGAAAGGGCTCTCTGCTGCTTCCTAACCCACTGGACTCCGGTGGCCACCTCTGAACTTCGCCTATTGTTCCTGGCTTCCCGTCTATAATTTCTTTGACTCCACCTCCACAAAACAAGGTATTATAGTAGTAGCAGTGTGTTTAGTGCTTACAGTGTGCTAGGCAGTTCTAGGCACATTATATGAATATATCACATTGAGTCTTCACAATACTCTTGCAATAATTTGGAGCCAATTTTCAACTCTAAGCTTCAGTTTCCTCATCTCTAAAACGGGACAAGTCATGGTATAGGCTCCAGAGGGTTGTGAGGATTAAATGAGCTAACATTTTTAATGCATATTATTTTCCTGTTACATGTGAATTTTTTCAAACTTCAGTTTCTTCAGTCGTGTATGGGGATCAATCTCTACCTCACAGGATGGTCGTGAGGCTTATATGACAGTAAGGTGAACATCTATAATGTAAGGCAACTTTCAAATATAATAAATGTGTTTTATAGGGTTGGCTCACTGTAGAGGAAAATTGGGGCTGTTTTCTGTGTGGATCTTGGACAGCTAGTACTTCTAATGTGGAGGCTGAGGGCTGGTGAGGGGGAAGAAGGATTCTTGAAGGTCATGCCAATCCTGGGGCTGGGCTGCCTAAACTCAAAGACTAGAGGCCATTCTGGAACTTTTACATGGTTCTGCTCTTATTGTTGCTCTCACAGTGGAGTCTACTGCCTCTTGGGATCCAGGTTTGAAGGGAAGGAAGCCCAGAAGTTGGGATCCTGGGAGAGGGGTGTGTGTGTGTGTGTGTGTGTGTGTGTGTGTTTAGTCTCTAATAGTAGTTCCAGCTGGAGTCAGGGCTCAGATGTCCCTTGTCATGTCACCGAGAAGGACGCCTTGCATCCACCTGGCTTTAGCGCTTGGCTGCTGCTACTCCTGTTACCTCCCCTGGGTGCACTGTTGCCCCATGCAGCAACTGTAGAGATCAACCTGCTGTTTCTAAATTTACCTTTAAGCTGGGCTTTGTAAAAAATTTTTCAGAAGACTCTTTAGCAGTAACAATCTGGATTTAATACCTATTTCTATCCTATCCTATTCTTGTTCTTTCCTTTTACTATTTACTCCCTTGCTTCTCTCTGACTCTGTCTCTCTCTCTGTCACAAACACACACACACACACACACACACACACACACACACACACACGGCCGCACTCTTATGTTTTAGGCAGAGCATGTTTTCATCCCAGTCTCCTCTGCCTTTAGCTTCATTCTGCTCCTCAGCATCTCCACATCCTTGGGTTCTGCTCAAGACCAGCCTGGTTCATTAGTGACAGTTCACTCTCTCCTTTGATGGGTTCTGATCTGGAGAAAGGTGAACTAAATTCTTTTCTTCGTTGGTGTTGAGCTTGTGTGGACTCCTAAAGAGGAGAAGGGAGACACAGGAGACTTGTGATGAATGGAACCAGGCACCCTGGAGGGTCTCTGGGACATTGGTTTCTTGTTCCTTCCAGCAGTCTTCCGCCTCACAGGAAGGGCACTCGGTGGTCCTTCCAGCAGGGACCATTAGTTCAGGGCTGAGATGAGGCACGGGCCTGGGAGACAACCTGACTGCAGTGAGCCACCCGCTGACTTTCCAAACTGTCTCTGGAAGAAGCCCCTTCCACAGCGGGGTCACAGTGAGTGGTGTTATGGCAGAAGCTAAGGCAGAAGCATGCAGGCGCCCAGAGGCAACAGGAGCAGGAGGAGAGAGGCCGGCGTGTCCGAGGCACCACCACAGTCCTGGGCAGTCTCCTGCAAACCAGAGCGGGGTGAGAGGTGCCACCCACAGTGGAGGCCACCCTCCGGCCAGAGGGGTGAGGACAGCAGGGGTCTCTGGGAAATGTGGAGGCCAACAGCCTGGAGACAGGGCAGCTTCCACCTTTCCTAGACCTCCCGGGGAAGAAACCGAAGCCACACACAGAGTAGGCTGGGCTTGAGCGCTCTGCCTGCTCCAGTCTTGGGGTGGGTGTGGGGTCTTCCTCTCAGAATGGTTTCTGGGAAGTCCTCATCTCCAAGAGCATCTCTAAGGCAGATTATCTGTGGCAACCACACTCAGGAAAGACTACTGTGCATAAAGACCCAGCTTGGGGCCTGGCACTATGGACATCAGAGGCTCAATAAGTACCAGTCACTATTAATATCATCCACATAATAGTTTCTTCCCATGTGCATAGGTTATTAGTGCTAAGGGTGGCAGGCATGAGGACAATACAGGGAAATTGTGTTTTAAGTCTGGGGTCCAGACCTTAGGAAATGGGGTTCTTTATAGAAGTACCCTTGGATTCTGGTTGACATATTTTAATGACATGTAGGCTCTGATGTGTTTTTACAACATAACTTCTGACCACACACGTGACGCGTTTCCTCATACCAACTAATTCCCCAACTGGGTATCCTGAAATTCAATTCTGACACCATCTGCCTGGAATTAGCATCAGACCCCACAAGTTGAAGGGCTCAGTCTCACATACTACCCCTCCTTGGACATCATCACGAGTTCTGGGTCTTCAACACTTCCGACAGACTGGCTCTAAATCAAGGGTTCCCATCACACTCTGCTCAGGCTTGAGGACTTGTTAGAATAACTCACAGACCTCAGGAAGCTACTTTATTCACTGGCACCACTTAGTTGAGAGAGCTACAACTCAGGAAGAACTAGGTGCACAGAGCTTCCATGTCCTTTGTTGTCACACTGCCCTCTCAGTGCGTGGACTTGGGCCCTTTTACCAAGTTGGGACCTCTCTGAACTCCGTTGCTCAGGGGTTCACGGAGGATTCATTCTGCCAGCATGATTGATCAAATCATGGGGCTCTGGTGATGAACCCCAGCTCCAGCTCCCTTCCCCTCCCCGGAAGTCAGGGGCTGGGGGTGGAAGTTCCAACCCTCTGCCACACCTTTTTCTCTCAGGTGATCAGCCCCCATCCTGAAGCTACCTAGCAGCTCTGGCCGCCACTCATCTCATTGGCATACAAAAAAAAAAAAATCATTCTTATCATTCCAAGGGTCTTAAAAGCCCTGAGTCAAGATTCAAGGACTAAGACCCAATATAACAAAAGATGTTTCTCTCAGCTGTGTCACCCAGGAAGTCCCAAGGGTTTCAGACACTCTGTGCCAGGAGGGAGGACAAAGACTAAATACGTATTTCTCTTTTTTTGGTACTGGGGATGGAATTTGGGACCTTGCGCTTGCGAGGCAGGTGGTGGCACCACTGAGCTAAATCCCAGGCCCTAAATATGTATTTCTTATTGTATCACCACATCACACAACATAAATGCGAATGTGTGTGTTAATGTTTCCCAGGGAGGTGCACAGTGGCATAGCAAATTTGGGAATGAAGACCAGACTCCACTTCTCAGCCCACCCAGCCCCGAACCTCTGGGTGGAAGGCATGGCAGGAATCTGGTCGCCGGCGGGGCTTCTGGGACCGCATCCTGTCACACTTGACAGAGGCATTATGTACAGAACTCATAGTCAAGGTCCACCACTCCATCCCAGCTGGTTCTGGAGACCCAGGACCGGATGAACCTACCAAAGCTGCTTAACGAGCAGTTTCAGGGGCAGGAGGCAGCACCCCAGGGGTTCAGGGAGGGGGTGGAGAACAAATGTTCTGTCAGGGAGGCTGGCTCAGCACTCTAAACAGGAGCCTCCTCCCAGAGTCTGCAGCCTCCCCCTTGGAGGACAGTAAGGATATATTTGACTTCTGTCGCCTCCTGCAGGACTGGTGGGAAGACACTGCAGTCACAGGTGGAGTCTGTCACCAACAGGAGGAGGTTGCTGCTGGGAATCTGTTGCATCACAAACATCCTGCAACAAAGACAGGGGTGTTGTGGACTGTTCCGTGGCAGACGAGGCAGCTACAAGAAGGGCTCTAGGGAGAAAATCTCCTGAGACTTGTGGGGAACTAGGGTGGCAGAGGAGGGGACAGAATACAAAGCAGGTAAGATCCACGTGGTTCCAGGATCAGCTCGGGTAAAGGATCCCATCCTATTGGCTTCTTTTACCACAAGCCTTTACAGTTGCATTTCTCCGTTCCTAGCAGAGTAGGGAAGGCGAGGGCGGAGCTGTTATTAATATATGCAGGGACACCAGGCACAAATCAGGACTGTCACCAACAGGGATGCATGGTAGCCCTTGCTTTGGAAGGTGCGGTGTCAGTCGTGGCCACGAGGTGGCACTGTGCTCCTGCGCACGGCTCAGAGTGCTGCGGCGGGTGGCTGGGAGTGGGCCAGTGATGCGCCAGGTCGGGCGTTATGCAACAGTACTAGTTGCCGCTGAGAGAGCATTTCTTGTGGGATGGGTGGTATTTTGCGCACACACACACACACACACACACACACACACACACACAAATATGTTTAACCTTCACAGCACAGGTGATGCTGGTATTGTAGATGGGAAAACTAGGCTAGAAGAGGTTAGGTAATTTCCTCAAGGTTACACAGCTGTAGTGCAGCAAAGCCAGTTGTCAAGTCTGACCCCTCAAAAGCCCTTGCTTTACACCATCCCACTGACTCTGTCCTCCCACAAGCCTTAAAGACAAGTGTACAGTTAATACGAGTCCCAAGAAAGCAGTTTCAGTGGGGTTAAAAATCTCACCTAACATACTACCTGTGAAGAAGAGATAGAAACCCGAACCTGTCTGAAGCTAAAGTCTGAGGCTTTGTACTGTAACATATTTTGCTTGGTGTCTGGGAGATAAAAGGACGTCCCGGGTGGTTCCTGGTGAATGACAGGTCTGGCTGCGGAGCAGGGTGGGGGTGGGGTGCTCCTGAGGTCTGGAGGCAGGAAGGTGGCAGGGAGAACTTTCAGGCAGGCCTCCCTGGCTCAGGCTGGCTTAGGTCTGGGTCCTCGACCCAGGAGCAGGCCTGATAGGGTCCGTCCCGAGGCTCTAGGGCCGGTGTGGGTGGGGTACCCATGGGTCTGTCAGCTCCAGGAAGCCAGGTCTAGGATCCTCCTCCAGCCCCACCCTGCTGAAGGCACCTGGAAGCCTTCACACCTCTGCTCAGGACAGAGTCTAGGGAAGACCTGGCGGGCTTCTTAGATCCGTGGCACAGAGCCTGTGTGGCCTTCAAGGCAGCCTGCTGTGGTGTGAGGGAGACCAGCCTGCAGGGGTCATGGAGAGAGACCTGCAGCTGGGCATGACTCGCTCTGGACTGCCTGTCCCCATTCCCCCTAGTGCAGCCTGCCAGACTGCCCACTGTCCCCAGTGGTCCGCCCTCACCTCATTCTTTCTGCCTGAGCCCGAGTTTCCTGCGCGGAGCAAAGTGGGGGAGGAAAGCCCCGAAGGAGCGGGACCTTTCCCTTGCAGCTGTCGCCCCTCCTTTCTCAGCACTGCAGAATGTCCCTGAGGGTGACAAGCCCTTGTCTACACGGCTAGGGACAGGCCGAGAGGCTCTGGGGCCTTACTTCTGGCAGGGCCCACACGCAATGGCCCCGTCGGTCTCCTGGATGGCAGTCTGGTGCACAAACACAGGGTATTCAGTGTCGCAGGGGTGCAGCAGGTCCTGCTTCTTGTGCTTGTGGGCTGTGAGGAAGAGGCATACATGAAGAAGGGCAGAGGGCTGTCCCTGCCGGTACCAGCCAGCCTCTGCGCTGCCCCACCTCAGGACCTTCCCCATCAGGTCCACGGCAGATGTCACCGAGTAAGATTTCTCGGGGCTGTGTGCAGGGTGATGGCAGAGTAACGGAGGCAGCCTGGGCCTCAGGGCTGGAGAGCCCAAGTGGTGCAGAGCCACACTGGCTCCTGACCTGGGGGAAGCCACTTCCTCTTTTTGGAAGCCTGTGTCATTGTAAAATGAGGTTGGCACATGTCCCATCTCAAAGGCTCCTCCTAGCATGGACTTCCTGAGGGGCCAGGAGGGGAGTAGAGGTTATAGGGGTGGCTTGGTGGTGAGACTTCAGCCCCTCTGTCCTCCAACTTGAACTTCCTTGTGGACACTCTTGTGGCCTCCCTGTAGATAGCTAGAATTGCCATCCAAGCGCTGCTCCTGGGCCACCTTGGCCCTGTGGCCACCTTGAAGCCAGGTTGAGCCTTCTCACTGAGGAGCGATGGAGCTGAGCCATGGCTGCTGGCCTGGGAGGGCTGGACTGGAGGTCTCAGTGCCCAAGGCCGCCTAAGCCCACAGACACAGCGCCCAGCATCTGGGGCTCCGAGGGAGGCCATGTGATGCCCCTTAGTCCAACAAGGCAAGGGCAGGGGTGGAGCAAGCAGGACTCTACAAAACGTGCAGAAGAGTTAGAAGCTCTGCTGCGCAGGACCCGCTGGTCCCTGCTGGGGCCTCTGAGATGGGCACAGGCAGAACAGGCCTGCCCAAGGCCACAGGGCTGGGCACAGTGGTCCTGCTTGCTCAGAGCATGTGTACAGCATTCTTTGGCTGCTCACACCCAGATGTGAAATAGTCAGGGTGGCAGCCAAGCCCCTATGATCACTTGGGAGCAGAGGTTCCAGTGTGACTCTGCTGTTCAAGGGGCACAAGAGGAACTGGTGGGAGATCTGCCGGCCTTCTTCATTCCCAGGCCCACAAACCACCTTCCAGACCTTGAAGCCAAGAGCAGAGGCCAGTATGCAGGCAGAAAAGTCCTTAGGGACAGCAAAGGCTTCATAGCCTAGTGGAAGATGCGTTCTGGCCAAGCCGACCACCAAGGACAGAACTAGGTGTTCCCCAGCTCAGAGGACAGGCACCTGGGGAGAAGTCTCAGGATTGGCTCTTCTCCTTGGTGGGGGCTGACTCAGGGCTGGGTCTCTCTCCCTGTCACCTGGGGCACTTTGGTGGGTAAGTCCAGCTCAGCAATGATGCTGATCACAGCTACAGCAATGATAGGACTATGCGGCCTCCCCAAGGTCACAGCAAGACTTACGCTCCTGGCCAAGGCCTCAGACCCCTAGAAACTCCAGGGATCAGCTGCCTCAAAGAAGTAACTCTTTTTTTTTGGTACTGGGGATCGAACTCGGGTCCTTGCGCCTGCGCAGCAGGCAGCGAAACCACTGAGCTAAATCCCCGGCCCTAAAGAAGCAACTTTTGGAACAAGTAGACATGGGAGACCATCCTCAGTTTGACAGAAGACAAGGGGGTTGTGTGCCCAGCTTGTGGTCAGGGCCTGTGGTTCTGGGTAGAGGGAGAAGGGACCTGGAGGAGCGAGTTGCTCCTGAGTGGGCTGTGACACATGGCTCCTGACTGCTGCCAGCAGTACCAGGTGACTATGAATCACCCGAGAGTGGACCTGTCAGGACTGTGAGGGGTGATTTCCAAAAGCAGCCTGGAAACATGGCAGGGGATGGGCCACGTGAGCTGAGGGTCCTAGGCCTTTGTCTTAGCCAAAGGCCACAGGCCCCAGTGGGAAAGGGAGACAAGAGCAAGCAGGAGAGAGGAAGGACAGACATGGAGATGGTATCTTATCAGGAAGCCAAACACAGAAAAAGATGGGGAACAGGTGAGGAGCTGTCCAGTCAATGGAGAAGTTGCAGAGCCAGGCGGAAAAGGTTCTGTTAACATGGGTAAGTTGAATGAAATGGGCTGAAGCAAGGTGGCCTCGTGTGGTTTTAAGAGCTCCATGTCCCCAGGAAGTGACAGTGCATTCACTGTCACTCAAAGACCAGGCATCCTCATTCCCCAGGGCTGTGGACTAGTGTCACAGAAGCTGCGATGAAGCTATTGCTTTGTGTCAGGACCTTGTCACCATGTCACTGCCTTGGGGGGGGGCTCTGTCTTCAGACACAAGGTAGTGGATTGTCATCCTCAGGGGCTGTGGGACACCTGGGCTGGAGATGTGGCATCCTTTTTTTTCTCCAAGGTGTGATCTAGTGGCCGCTGACCTGCCCTTGACCACATTTCCTCCTGGATCCTTGTGTGCTCTTACCAAGGAGATGGCTGGGGTTCTTACGTTCTCTGGGGCAGGGCTGTGCTTGTGAGGAATCAGATCTGGGCTCCTCCCTGCCCCCCTAGATAAGGGGCTTGGGGTCTCCTGAGTCAGGGGTGTCCTGGGAGGAAGAAATATCTGCCCTTCTTGAGCTCATTCCTGGGATGTAGAGCTGAGGGGAGGTCCTTTGCAGCTCCCCAACCCGCCTTGGCCAACAGTGACCTCAGCTGATGCTACTTACAGTGATGGAAGACAGCTTTGGCTGCCCAGGACATGAGCCCAGCACAAGGTGGACATGGCACAGGATGGGCATGATGTCCCACGAAAGCAGGATGTCACAGGGTGGTGATGATGGCACATGGAGCGGTGGTGTCCCAAGGTGAGGAGGTGCCACACAGAGAGGCGAGGGAGCCAGGAGCGTGATGGTTAATGAGAGAAGGCCAGGCAGGAAGAGATTACAGGCAACGAGCACCTCAGGCCCCCATCCCATGGCTCCCCCTCCAGGTGAAAGTCCCCAAGATCCAGACCAAATGCCACCTGGCCGTGCAGTCTGAGTACTCACCCTCAGCCCCTCTGTCATGCCAGGAGCCCCAGGCACTCCATTCCAGCAGGAACCTGCTAGATACACAACTGAGTCTCCGGCACCCATACGCCCTCCCCACCTGGGCCCGAGAGCCCCGGGACCCCAGTTCCTCCATCTCCTCCCCTCCAAAACACCCTGGTTCTGCCTAGGCCCTCCTAGAAGTAGTGGGCAGGGAGGAGGGAGGAGACACTACGCCCTCAGGGCCCTGCCCTCCTCCCCTGGGGTCTGGGGTGGGGAGCAGATGTGGGGTTCAGAAGTCTCAGGCATCCTCCTGCTCAAAGGGCTCCTTCACAAGCCATACACCGGCACGGCCTCCTCCCTCAGTTTCCCCCTCAGCCCCCACTCACAGCAAGAGCTCCTTCACCAGCCACCTGGTCACCGTCAGGAAGGCTGAGACGGGCTGGGGAAGAGAGCAAGGCACACATTTTGAATGGGTCCAAGCGCCAGGGGGTTCCTTCACCACCACCCTCAGAGCAGAGAGGCAATAGCACAGGCCACCTCCTGCCTCCCTGAAGAGGAGCATCCTCTACTGAGTCATCCGGCTGTTGCATTTGTATGTCAGACGCACAGGAGGGTGAGACATGCTCTCCCGGAGCCTGGTCACATTCTCATCCTGGTGGCCCCAGCTGCTGAGAACCCCTGATTGTGTGTAGCACCAAGAGATGAGGTTTGGGACAGTCAGTTCTCGCTCCCTGAGGCTGTTATCTCATGAGCTGGGCTCCCAGGATGAAACCTACAGGGCTGAGTGGGGCTGAGCTGTACGCCAAGTGTAGGGTAGACACGGACAGAGTCAAGAGTGGCCCTGGGCCCTAAGGCTGGGTGAGAAAGGCACAGTGACCTCTCTGAAGCACAGAGGAAAGGATGTGCTTCTGGCGGGGGAAGGGCTGGGGGACACTCACGCTGACCAGGGGCTGGGCAGAGCTGGGGTGGTGATCCAGGGCTTTGCACATGGCCTGGTAGTCGTACACGATCACTCTGAAAACCAGAAGCAGGGTGTGAGAGGCTGTTGTCCAGAGACAGGGTCCCTCGCAGGACTGCATTCATGAGGCCCCAAGAGGATGCCTGAATTAGGACAGCAGGCCAGACCACAGGGCCTACTGAAAGGGACATCCCGCACTTTGGAATGGCGTAAAGAAACTGAGCAGTGTTCTGTCTGCTTCTTGCTGGGTGGTTTTCCCTCTGAGGGCTGAGGTGGGGCTAGGGATGTCCTCATGGCCATATGCTCCTCCCTCTTCATATCAAGCCTCCAATTCCAAGAAGGCCACTTTTGGGACTGTTTGGTGTGGGTTTCTGAGGTCAGACTCTGAGGTCCATCTGGACCCTATCATATCAGCTGTGTGTCTATTTAGACAGGGAGAATCGTGTCTCACTTACTGGCTGAATACCCCCATGCTGAGCAGCTGAGTCATGAGAGCACCGTCCACCTCACCGAGAAATCTTCCAGTCTGGGACAGAGGAAGAGAGAGCCAATGAAAACCAAGGAATCTGAGTTTGGATGTGAGGGCCCACAGGGCGTGCTCTGTAGATGCAGCCTGTGGAACCCTCTCCCCATGCTTGCAGCCTCCCTACGCGTCCTTCTCCACCTTAGAGCTTTCTACTCTAAATTGTAATCTGCTAGCTGGCTATGAAATCAGCCTAAGTGTTGCAACTGGATGTTTAAATGATACAAAATTCCTTAGAACAATTTAATGTGAATTGCTTACAGTAGAATGAAGGAAGTTTTTGTAAGACTCAATGTGTTGTATGTGTTGTGCGCCTGAATGTGTGCACGTGTGTGTGTGTGTGTGTGTGTGTGTGTGTGTGTGCTTGTCTGTGCACACTGACATCCTCATTGTCTAGCCAAAGAGGGCAGGGAGCTTGACACACTTGGGTTTGGTCCCACTCATCATTTCCAAAATATTAAAATAGGACCCTCCCTCCATTTTTCATTCCTCCTTTATGGATTCAATCAACCAACATTAAGGGGGCACCTAAGACTATGTGCTCAGCAGCATCCGCCATGGAAGCAAAGCCTGTCGCTTTCCTCCAAGCTGGCTCAGATCCAGCTCAACTGCTCTCCCAATCCTACCTCCCCCATGGGCTGGCCTGGCCTCTTAATTCTGCTGTTTTCTCAGCATGGCAGGATGGATTTGGGGTCTTTGGTGTCAGATATAGATATGCTGTAGGTTGTTTTAAAGATTAGGGGTAAGTTTGAGGCACACGATAAATGGCAGTCATTATTACGAGGAGGGGCCTGTGCCTGGCTGTGCTGCTTTCTCTGCCTCGACCACCCTTTCTCAGTCCTCACCCCAAGAACTTTGCATCTGAGAAGTCTTCCTATATGAACCACTCCAGGCAGAAATCATCCCTATTTCCTGCACACTCTGAGAGCACACGGCTGCACATCCCTTTGGCTCCTTTGCCTCCTTGCTTGATCACATATTTAGTTGTCTTGTGCCTTCATTGTATTGAAAACTGCCTGAGGAGAGAGATCATCTCTTACTCATCTCTGAATTCCCCAGAGTGCCTGGAGAGAGTGTAGAATGTGGGCTAAGCAGAGAGGTGAGAGTCTGACCTGCTGGCTACGGCAAATTCTCAGGAACTTGGTGAGGGGAGAACCTCCATGAGCCACAACCTCAGTTGCAGGTCAAGGAGAAAATCAGGTCCACAGAAGGAAGGAAAAAGAGTGATGAGGACAGGAGGACCCTGGTGCAAGGGGAGTGCCTCCTCTTGTGCACTTTGCTCCATGGACAATGCACTCTGAAACACCTAAACCAATGGCGTGCATTGCAACTGCCAATAAAAAGAAATGCCACCCTGGCACAGGGACAGACATCTGTGGATCTGACAGACCTCCAGGAGAGCCAGGTGTTTTCTTGGAACGCCCTCTTGGGGCCTTCTCTGGGCAGCTAAGTGGATGCTAGTGACTCTTAAGAGGGAAACATTAATTTCAGACAAGGGTCAGCCAGAATGCAGGGCTCCTGGACATAAGATCAACAATCAAAGAAATTTTCTTCCAAAAAAAGAGATGATGGTACGGTTTTGGGTAGTAACCCCAGTGTTATTCCATGTTCTATAATGCTATAATTTTAATCAACAAATGGGGCCAGAGGCCTCTAGATGGGCCCAATTTTGGATTCTTGGATGAAGTCAGGAAATGTCATTTTCCAAATCAATCAATTAATCAAGAAAATATTACCTTTTTATTTTATAGTATTGCTTCTTTGGAAATAGCTCATTTATGAAATTAAAACATCAGGATACAAGCCAGAATGCATGACAAAACTGTAATTTCAAGAGCTATAAATTAAAGACAAAAGTAAAGAGGAGAAAACCAAGAATTAGACCCAAAGTGGTAGTCATACTTGTCTGAGTTCTGTCTTTTTTTTTTTTTCCTGAATGCCCTGACCTCCAAAAATGAATGGTCAGTGTCCTTTATTCATAAGACACTTACTCACTAGGTGAGCATGATAAAAAATGAATGAAATGGACAATAATCAAGAGCTCAAACCAGTTTGGACAGAGGAGCACATTCTCCAGAACATAAGACAGTGTCGCTAACAATTGGTACTTTAATAATGGAGGTTCAACCCAGTGGGCCCAACTATTCTGACTAAGAGGCCCAACAGGGACAGGCCTCACTGAAGAAGTGGACAGGGGAGCAGACAACAGCAGGGAGGAGTCACGGGGATTCAAGGGAGGGACAGGCGAGCAGGTAGGAAGGTGAGAACCTTCCCAATCCTGTTCTCTTTCGAAGTCCAGTCCAAAGCCAAGGAAAAAGTCTCCCTGATTCCTGCAACTTGGGCAATCCTCTCAGCGGGCTCACTCTTTGCTATTCCAGTGACAGTGTGTGCATTGTTCCTCCAACACCAGACAGCGAGATCCTGGAGGGTGCAGACCCACCTCTGGCCCCCAAGACCACACAGTGTCCTGTTCAGGGTGGTTATGTATATTTGCTGAAGGAATGTGTGAGGGAATAAATGACTGACCTGCATCTTCTGCTTCCTAAAACAAGACAGCAGAGTGGAGACCAGGGCCCTGACCAGGCTGTTCCAATTTCTCTCTTTCCTAATTTTAGCCTTATTCACCAACAACACTGTTGTCAGCGAGTTGCTTCTGAGAAAGGAGGCTCCTGAGAGTAGTCAAGCATATCCTGGACACTGGAAAACTGTGTCCTCCTCTGCAAATAAAACAGCTCAATTTCCTAGAGTATGTTAACTCAGCAGAAAGGGTTCACTCTCCCCACTTCTTTAGTTAGACAGCCTAACAATGGTAGCAATGTGCTCCTTGCTAATATACAGCTAAAAGACTACATTTCCCAGAAGTCGTTGCACCAAGGTTTGGCCAATGAAACTCTCTACCTCATCTGGAAGGTGACTAGAAGGCAGGAAATCCCTTAGCTATGTTGTCACCTTGAGTGTGGTGATACTTGATGACTTCAGGAAGCAATTCAGGCCTGGGCTGCCCCCATTCTTCAATGGCAAAGTCAACCTGTAGTTTGTTTGCACCACTGTAGTGGGATCTCTACTCGTGGCAGGACAACACAGTTCCTAGCTGGTTTGGTTCCACGTGACCTCGGACAGAGTGAATGAATCAGTGGCTCAGATCAAAGCCAAGGTCCAGACTTTGGCTTTAGGTGCCTTGTCTGTTCGGGACTACAGACTGAAAGTTGGGCTGCACCTCAGGCCAGCACTGTAAAAGGGTCGACTGCTTTGTGGCTTCTTTCATGGGATAATTCATGCGTTACTAGAGGGCCTCAAGTGATCTCCCTGAGTTTAATCTCTAATGAGTCTGACAAGGAGCCTGGGAGGAGATGAGGTCCCGAGAGTTTCCACGAAGGAGCCTGAAGCAAGGACGCAGATGGGCTCCGGGCAGCAGTGAACTCAGAGCTAATTGCATTTCTGCTGGTCGGTGATCACCTCTGGGGGTAATCACTATGGCTTGTGAGGCTGCAGCTCCTAAGGCCCCTGTCCCCAGGGAGAAAGGCTTCTCGCAACTGTGGTGACCGAATGGAGTTACAAAGCCTCCTTACCTAGGGACAACCTCATTTTCTTCTCTAAAAAATGGGGACAAAAACCCTTTTAAAGGGTGAGCAGGTTTCACCACATGTGAAACTCAATTTCCTTCAGTTCCTTCCTCCTCGGGCTGAGTTGAGCTGAGTCCCTCTTAAGCGACTTTAGCCACATGGGAGTGGTGGGGGTTGGTGGGAAGGCTTAGGAAGAGTGTGGAGCCAGTGACAGCTCTACACAAGGCACCTGGAGAGCCTGCCTCTTTGGGGATGGGGCCTGGCCATGGGTCAGATTTCACTGCTGGCACTCATGGGGCAGGGGCGTTTGGGAAGCTGGAAAGCAGAAAGACAGCCGCGGTGGGGCACAGGGGAGCTGGAGATTTTCGGAATTGGCCGACTGCAAGGTGAGAAAGGAGAGGGGAACAGAGGCTCAGGACCAGATGCCTGGGCTGATAAGGGGCAGAAGGGAGTGCAGTATTGTGCCTCTCAGAGAGCCGTGGCCCCAGAGGAGGGCCCTGGGGTGGGGTGTCTGATTTTCTGGGCTGTGCTGTTTGGTGGGGCTGTTTTGAAGCTCCATGGGTAGGTGCTGCCCACAGGCAAATCACAGGAACTGGAGCCCCCAGCCCAGAGGGACAGACCCACGATACACACCACAAACCTCCGCAGAGATGCCCGTGCTCTCCTAGGCCCACACTGTCCACTTCCCTCTCTTTCTAATTCTTTATTAAAACAATGAGCCTGGAGCTGGAAGAGAGGTCGGGTGGGGCCCAATGTCTGACTAGCGGGTCTAGAGCACCACCAGGATCAGGAGAAAGCTACCAGCCACTTGCAGAGAGCTCCCTTGGGCTTCTGGGCAGGGGAAGAGGGCCTCAAGTGAGGAAGGACAGGGCAGGACTTTCTGGAGTAATCTTTGCATATGGAGAAGCCACAGACTTTCTACCCCACACTCTGAATGGGTCCTGGAAGGGATAAGGGCAGCCTGAACCTTCTCCACATCACTCAGCTAGGAAGGTGGGAGCAGTCAGCCGAAGTGTATCCAAACCCCAGCAACTGGCAGGAAGACCCAAGCAATGGTTCCGAAAATTTTATTGTGCACTGAATCATCCGGAAGTGTCATTAAAACACAGGCTGCCAGGCCACCCCGGAGTTTCTGAGTCCCCAGGTCTGCAGTGGGCCTTGAGACAAGCTGTCTGGCACTGGCGTTCTGTGCTCCATATACTCCTCGAGTTCTGGGGACAAGGGGAGGAGCAGTGAGGAATGGATTGAGGAGGGCCAGGCTGGGTGGGCCTTGATGGGCCTGAGGGTGTTTGGAGAAGGTGGCAGGTTGTGTTGGTGAGTAGGAGGGTGTGCCGGGCAGATTGGGAAATGGCTCACAGCCATCCCAGCCTCCTGGTAGCCATGCCCTCATGTAATTCCCTCCCTGGAGTGTGGGTTGCACTTGCCAACTGACTTCTAGAAGATGGAATATGGCAAAGCCATGGAATGTCACTTCTGAGATCAGCCTTCAAAAGACTGTGCGCCCCCTTGCTCCTGAGCAACCTGGCTCGTTCATGGCTTGCTGTTCATTCTGATGTAGCAGGTTGCCCCATGTGATAGGGAACTGAGATGTTTGCCACAGCATCCCACCAGCCACCAGGAGAGAGCTACAAAGTGGATCCTTCCCCAGTCAGCCTCAGGATGACTGCAGCCAGATAGGAGACCCTGAGGCACTCAGCTGTCCAGAACCAACCACATCCAGATTCCTCACCCACAGAAGTTCTGAGATGGAAAACCCTGTGGCCTTAGCCCCTACTTCTGGGGCACTCTGTTACAGAGCAATGGATAACTGCTACCGTTGAAAGGATGAGGTGTGTATTTTTTTTTTTTTTTAAGAAAAGCAGAACTGGACAGATGGGCAGACAGCTGAGGATGCAGCATTAACACCAGGCTTTCTACCACTCTGTCCTCCACTTTCCTTCCAGTCTCATGCCCGTAACTTCCACAGCAAGTTCAGCTTCCAACACAGTTATTAAGTGTCTGCCTCATGTCCGGGATTAAGCCAAGTGGCATCTCTGGTCTGGGTATTACTGTCCTGGTGCCTCTCATAATCCGACCCAGCTCAGTTAATGAGGGAAGAGCTGTCCAGAGTGAAGAAAGAGGAATTAAGCCCTGTGAAGCTACCACTACTGCAGACTCTTGGAGCCTAACCCCAGAATCAGGATTCCTGGAACCTTGTTTCTGGCACCATGAGTCCTAATTTTGCAAGACTCAGCCAGGTGCAGTGAAGTGAAGAACTGCTCTGAGCAGTGACCGAGCAACCCAGGGAGGATGACGGCCCAGGGAACGGGGACTTGCAGCCTGTCACATCCTCCAGGCCAGGCCCCTCTCCTGAGGTCACCGACTCTACTCCATAAATGCTCACAACCAGTAAAAGCCAGGGGCTCCCAGCTCGGTCTTGTCACCATGAGGTCTCTTCTAGAGCCTCCCTCCTCCTCTGCACCACTCCTCTTCGGTTGTATTTCCAGGCTCAAAGTCTGGCTTTCCTGTAGCTGTGAGTTTTGGGGTTAATAACTGAACCTCACACAGCCTGTTTTTTTCCTTTGGTGCAAAATGAGACTAATTATCATCACAGCAGATGGCTGTGGGGAGAGGAGGAAGAGCCAAGCACAAGAAGGTCATGTAATTTATACCCTGCTTCATTTCACAAGGATTTGGGATGGCTTGTAAGTCTACATGCTATGTAAGAAGATAGTATGAGAGTTGAGAAAATAGAAGCGCACAAGCTAAGCAACACTTTATAAAAGAAAATTTCGGAATAACTGACACATCCACAGTTGTTCCCAGTGATATCACCCACAAGTCATGAACACATGAGATGTTGTGGCCTGAATAGGACCAAAGTAGCCCAGTGGACTATGGGAAGGGTCCTGTGAGATTTCCACTGCAGAGGTGTCCCTGCCCTTGCCAGTTTCCCTTGAGGTAGGCCCTAGGCTGGGGCAGCACCTCCCCCCGCCACCGCCCGCGGGCCTGTCTCCCTGCAAGGCTGTCCTAGCTGTGTGGAGCACAGGTTTGCTGAAGTAATGCCCAAGGGCGAAATCTGGGTCAACGAAGAATTATGATCTAAGAATGGTTTTTCAATTTTCAATGGTTTTCAAAAATCAAAAAATTAATAAATTTCATGGCATATGAAAATGATATGAAATTTGAATTTCAGTGTCTGGAACAATGCCACACTCATTCGTTGTGTGTTGTCTGTGTGAGACTGACTCACAAAGCCTAAACCCTCAGTCTATGCTCTCTGGCCCTTTCTTTACAGTGCAACTCGGCCAACCCCTCTTGGGGCAGTTTCTTGAACTTGGTGACCCTTTCTTTGTCTAGCCACCTTGCCATCTGTCCAAGCTTCCTTGCTCTGTCTGAAACAGCTTAGCCCAGGGCCTATCTCCAGGCCCCTGTAAGCGATTACAAGAGACTAGGAGCTGCCACCTCCATTACTCAGGCAGCAGGGAGCACAGCATGAATGACTGAGGACATCAGGTCACCCCTGAGCCTCATCCTAACCATGGGTTTCAACTCCTGACATCAGCGTTTTTCTGCCAGAGCAACAGAAATACTAAGATGGGCAGGTGACAGTGGCCAAAAATGAAAGGGAACAGGGTGCAAGCTGAGGCGGGTGCCCAGGTGACCACAACCATCAGTGAGCTGTTGGGGTCCTACAAATCGTCATGACCATCAGCCCGGCCACGGAGCCTAGTGTAAGGAGCACAAGTGGACTGTCTTTCTCCCCACTCATCTGGCTGCATGCTTAGTGGGCCATTTAAAACGAGCTTCAAGGAGTCAGCCTCAGTGGTCCTTTGTGGCCCTCCCTCCCCAGTGGCTGTCTTTCCAGTGTCCTGATGTTCTGGCTCTAGTTTCTGCCATGTTCTCACAACTTCTTTGGACCCTAAGCCCTGTTCAAGTCAGGCCAGACCACACTTCCTTGATGGGGCACAAGGGATCTGAGACTTCCGGTGACCTTATGCCTTCATGTGGTCCAGATCCCTGATTTTTAACAGGAGGAAACTGAGGGACAAGTAACGGAAGGTGCCAGACCCTATGTCTACTGAGTGGCAAAGCTATGTTGAGCCATACTGTGTCCTTTCCCTGAAGTCCAGCCTGCAGGCTGTGTAGATGCCTTTGGCTTGTTTCAAAGAAATCATTCAGGTGAATATATTCAGGTTTGGTTCAGAATTCTTTTATACTTTGATTCTTGACTAATTAACTTTAGGGTCCAGTTTGTGGCTTAGGAAATACAAACTTAGTTTAGTGATATTCTCTAGCCTTTCTGAGCCCATGCTGGGCCCAGGGAGAAGCCACCTGCCAGAGGGAAGGGGAGGATGTTCATGGCCAATACTGGAGAGAAAGGGGTGCTCCACCTCCTCATCCTGAGGTAGCACACCTCAGGTCAGGTGTGATGGCTGGAAGAGGCTGTTCCACAAGGGAAGTCCAGGAAGGAAAAGAACACAGGCTTCTGAGCTCCAGCGCTAGGAAGGGGTGGAAGGAGGGAGGGAGAGGTGAGATGGCTAGCAGTAGGGGTGCTTAGGACTCGAAGGAGGCCTTCAAGGCCAGACCAGGGCACAGAAAATCTCGTACAGTGTGGTCAGGCAGCCTCCAGGGACGCTTTTTCTGTGTGTGTGGGGTGGTGGTGAAGACTTTTCTTCCAACCAAGGAAAGGGCCAGATTAGTTATAGATGAACTAGAGATATAATAGTCTCACTGACCACCTAAGCCGCCAAGTGCTCCAAATTTTGTAATCTTGGTGTGTTGAGGTCTTGACTCTTCCTTTCTCCCCAGTGGCTTACCTCCTGTGACCTCTCTGAGATCAGAATGAAGCCATTGTTGTCAATGACGAAGCAGTCCAGATCCTGAGGAGAGGCCCAGAAAGGAGGTCATGACTAAGCAGCCGAATGCAGGCCCCTAACCCTCCCACTCGATCTGTCAGTTTGGGAAGGAGGCCTTGAGGGGGTGGGGGAGGACACCCTTGGGGCCCAGGGCTGTGGGCCGGCCTTGGAACCGATGGGTGCCAGCTCACAGAAGAGATGTGTGAGGGTGCACAGGCCCCGCTTCCGCCTGGTTCACGTGGGGAGAACTTACACTGTCCTTGCAGCTCTGTGGGCACTGGGCATCCTCGGCGCTGCACTGGAGGAGAGAAGGGAGTGGTGAGTAGAACACCACCGTACGTGTATGTTGTATGTCTGGGGTGAATGTGCGTGTGTGTGTGTGTGTGTGTGTGTGTGTGTAGCGTGTGGCATGTGTGAACCCCATGGGGGCCTTCGTGGTGGGTATGGATGTGTGAGGAGTTGTGGGAGCATGCGTACAGCAGTGTACTTGTGGTGCTATCCAGGTGTGTGCTTGTGTGTGAATTACACAGTGTGTGTGGTGTGCACGTTGTGTGGGGGGCATATGGTGGTGTATGGTGTGGGAGTATGGAGCACAGTGTGTGCGTGTGTTTAGTGCGTATGGTGGCATGTGGTGTGTGTTGCATGTGGAGGGTCTGAGTGTGGGTTGTGTGACTGTGCTGTGTGGTAGGCATGTGGTGTACGGGTTGTCGCTCTAAGAAGCAGCAGGCTGGGCTTTTCTGAGGGGCCTCCTGTGCTCTGAGGATGGGGTGACCCAGGGGCTCAGGTGGTCCCCATTTGTCCTCCTGTCCCTTCTTTCCTCACTCTGTAGCTCTTCAAACATGGCCCAGGCAAGGACATGGCAGCAAGCAGCCAGGGAGGGGAGGAGCAGAGGCAGCAGGCTGTGTGTGGGGGGAAGCTTTGGCCTGGAGAAGGGGCGGGGGCCAGTGAGGACACCTGGGAGCCCAAGGACCAGGCTGAGGTCCTGCGAACAGAGAAGCAAAAGCAGGGGCACTGGGCAGGGTGGCAGGCATGGGTTGGCTTCTCAGGAGCCAGTCAGCAGCCAGGCTTGGGCCTGGGTGGTGGACAGGGCAGGGTGGCTCCTGGTTCTGCAGCAGGCAGGGTGGGAGTGGCTGTGGGGCAGCACCGAGGCTACAGCACAGGCCAGGCCCAAAGGGCTGCATGTCCTGCCCTTCGCCACTGGGTCTCTGGGGAGGAAGCTCGGGGTTGGGGTGGGTGGGGACCAGAACAGAGCCTGGCCTGCATGGCGGGGGGAGCCACTGGGGCAGGAAGGATGGATCTGTGGGGGCACCATGGTGGCTCCTGAAGGGCGAGAGACAAGGTGGGGTCCCTTTTGGCATAGAGGCCCTGTCACATCCTCACCCCTGACCTTGCCCAGCACTGTCACCCACCTGCTGCGTTGCTGCCCAGAACTGGCGCTGGAGGAATTCCCCCTTCATCTGGATGCCCACTGCTGCAGGGAGGCAGGAGAGGGAGGCCAACGCCAGGCGTGAGTTTGCGGGGAGGGGACCAGACAGTGAGAGAGAAAAATAGAATCAAGTTAAAGAGAGGAGGCACAGAGCAGGAACTGGGGGAGAGAGCACCCAGGCAGCAGGAACAGAATGGAGTGAGGGCGAGTCAGACCAGAGTATGAAGCTGAGGCTTCTGGGGAGGGGGGCCTGGGGGGAGAGGAGGGGCCAGGCTTTGCTCTACCTTCCCACAGCTGGAGAAACACACACAAGGCTGCTGTGCAAGATTCATGGCCAGTGTGGAGCTGGGAATGGGCCTCTGCGAGTTAGGTGACTTCTTGGGTCTTCGTCTTGGTGTAACAACCTCCTTACATCATCTTGCTTAGTGTCTTCCTCACATTGGAAGAAAGCTTTCTCCTCGCTGACCTGACAGCCATGATCAGATTCATCCAGCTTTGCAGGCAGTTTCTGGGCAACTTAGATGCCACCAGTGTGCAAATGTTGCTCCTTTGATGTTTCTGCTTACCTGGGCCACCCCTGCCTCTTTGATTCCCAAATAGGCTTGGAGAACCCAAGCAAGTGCTTATAGGTGAAGAGAAATCTGGGACAAAGAGCTCCAGGAAAAGTTGGGGCCAAAGGATAGAAAGAAAAGGCAGGTTATATTGAACAGGAAAAGAATTTTAAAAGTAGGCCAACGTCTTAGTGTTTGGTATAATAATATGAGAATGTGTTGGGTAATGCGTCAGACCCTTTACTATTATTATTCTGACTTTACAGTCTGAGGAAGGGAAGCTTTGTAGAGCTTACATGGCATAATCAAGTTGCCCAGCTAGTAAGCAGCAGAACCAGGGCTCTAACCTGGATCTCTCTGTCGCTAAGGTGTAAGTGCTTACATTCACCACTGGGCACCTGGATTAGAGACCTGGCAGTCAGGAAGGGGATGTGGTGCTGGGTAAGCCTCTCTCCCACTCTGGGCTTCAGTTTTCTCATTTATAAAATGCATACATGTCGGGTTCGCAACCATTATGCCATATGCAGGAGAGATTCTGAAGTCACCTCAGTGATCATCAGGAAGATTTCCCATTGCCCTCATTCTGACTTCGTGAGTACTCAGTACCCAGGGAGCTCTCCCGCAATGCACTGCAGTGCTATGGTGACCCAGAGATTCAGAATTGCATCATTTTCCCTTCAACCTGAAATGAGCCTAGAGAAATTGGATGGAGGAGGATGGGCGGGGGTCGGGGAGAGAACAGATAAGGGGCCAAGTTGCAGGGCTGGATATTCCAGGATTGTGGTCTCTGAATTTATTTGCTCAGTTGTAAAGTGAGTCATGATTACAGTTACTCTAGAAGGGTAGGAGAGTGTAGCATTGTGGACACTCCATGAGATGCATCGCGAGCCCATTAGTCCTGATGACAGCCTTGGGTTTCAGACTTTGGTGTGCATCAGAATCACCTGGAAGGAGGTTAAGACCCTGCTCTAGCATTGCTCACCCAGGAGGTCTGGGGTAGGGGCTGAGAATTTGCATTTCTAGAGGGTTCTCAAGCGGTGCTGTCTGCTGCAGATCCTGCAACTGTTCTAAAGCATCCCTGTCTGATTGGGCTTTCTAGCGTGATGGTGATGATCTATGGCAGTGCTACCCCACACCACAGCCGTGAGCACACATGGCTGCCAAGAACATGAAACATAGCTAGTGACCGAGCATTTGAATTTCTAAAATGTTATGTAATTTTTTTTTTTCCTTTTTGAGACAAGACTTGCTATGTTGTTTAGGCTGACCTTGAACTTGAGGTGATCCTCCTGCCTCAGCCTCACGAGTGCTGGGATTACAGGTGTATATCACCACGCTCAGCTTAAAATATGATTTAATTCTAATTAATGTAAATAACCACATATGCTTGGTGTGTTGGACAGAGTAGTGCTAGTGCTAATCTGAGTTTGAAGATGAAGAAACCGAGGTCCAAGAGGCCACGCCCATCCCTGGGAGACCCAGGCAATTCTGCAGGTGGTCCTGTCCAGTCCCCGGGAACAAACCTTATGATACGGGGTCATCGGAGTTCTTTGGGAGCTTTCCTGTTACTTCAAGGTCCAGATGGCCCAAAGCGGTGGGCAGAAAGGGAACAGGCGGTTCCATTTCTTGGCTCACCATGAGGATGAGAGACCCAAGTGTCACGGCCTCACCAAGCGCCTTGGTGCTGGTGGCGGTGCCCGCTCACATTTGTCCTTAAGGATGCAGGTGGCCCCGCCCTCTCCTAATTCCTAATAAGACCACTCTTGATACTCACTATACGCAGATGTCTTTCACCTGCAGAAATGGGCTGAACGGAAGAGGACAACCCTTCCCACCATCGTCAGAGGGGAATCGTGCTAATGCTAAGCATGATCGCATCTTTGGGATTTTAGGAAGTTATTTGACCCTGTCCTTGGCCTGGGTGGTCAGAGAAGTCTCAGATTATTCCTGGAATGAGAGACTTGCTTTTCCTCTCGGGTGATTCACGGTCACATCTCATGGAATCATGCAGCTTCCAAACTGGAAGAAGTTCTGTGATTCTAACACGGGGAATCTGGAGAAGGCAGAGCCAATTCTTCTGCCATGAAAGTCAGGTTTGGAGGCTCCTGAGGCAGAAATGAGGCAAGTGGGGGCACAGAGCAGCTTCTCTCCCACCAGGTCCATCTCGCTACTTGGATCATCATCTCCACCAAGGCAAGCGCCATGTCCTTTGCAGAATTTGGGACATTCCAACAGCCTACGGACATGTCATCTTCATTTGGGTCACTCATGGGCATTTCAACATATGTAACATGTTCAAAACCAGACTTGGCCCTTTCCTCCCAAACTCTGACCCTTCTTCAGACGTCCCCCTTTGGGGGCACATTTTCTACACAATGGCTGTCATTCCCCTCAGCCATCCAAGCTCTGCACATGCTGGTTCCAGAACTTCATCCACCTGTCCACATCTCTCCACTTCCATTGGCCAAGCCAATATCTCTCCTACTTGGATAAAAACAATAGGTCCCTAGGTGCTCCCCCTGCTTTCCAACCTGGACTCTGTATGACCCATTCTGCCCACAACCACAGGAGCAATCTTTCTGAAGATCAAATCACAGTGCTCCTTTGCTTAAAATTCCTCAATGCTCTCACAGTGCCCTTAGGACAAAATCTAAAATGTGGCCTTAGAAGACTCCACTAGAGCTAGCATTGCCGGTGTTTCTGATTTCAGTCTGAATCGCATTCTCCCTCAAACATATCACACTCATTCTCACCCCAGGGCATTTGCACAAGCTGTTGTCTTTTCCTAGAATTCTCTTCCCCTAGAGCACTGCATGGCAGGCTCCTTCTTTCTCATCATTTGATCTCAGCTCAAACATAATCTGTAGAAGCCTTCCCTAATCTCCCCAGATAAAGCATTCCTCCCCTTCATCATTCATTTTATATCTCATTGCTTTTATTTTCTAAGCAGCATGAGTTGTTTATTTGAGTTTTCACTGATTGTCTATCTTACCCAATTGGAATGGAGTAATAGCAGGCAAGGGGATTGAATTCTGATTCTTAGCACCTAGAATAATACTTATCACATAGTGGGGCTTAATAAATATTTCTTGGACTATATAGGTAAAATCAATTAAAGCCAGCCATTTGATCAGGAACCGAAATTCTGCAAGACCTTGCTATTCCTCAGCTTTGAGGCTCAGAACCTTTCTGAACTCCCACCTTCCCTGCTGAGCTCTGGCCTACTGATTCTGGATTTGCCATCTTGGAGATTTAGTTGTGCTCAGAGTCTCTCAAAGAGCTTGGAGATAATGCACTAAGCGATGGGAGACTGAAGTGAGATACAAAGAAGGACTTCCTCTGGGTGAGAACTGAGATGGTAAGAACAGGCCTTGGTAGAGAGAAGGGAAAGCAGCAAGAAGCATGGAAGTATCGTTAGCAATGGTTCAGGTGCGCTCTGCCATGCCCCTGGCCCACACCCCCCCAAATGGTTGAATCATTTCAAGTCCTTCTGTTCATTTCCTGCCTTCCTCATTTTGCTCTCCTACCCTAGGCACAGAGACAGCTCAGCCTTCTGGCTCAGGATCTCAGTTCTACTGGCACAGTTGGCCACTGTCAGAGGCCTTGCTGGGGCCTCCCTCTCCCTCCCCTAGGCCCTGGTGAGCTTGCAGGAGATGGGCTATGTTATGGGCTTTGCAGACAAGCTCTGAACTCTTGGTGAAGAGAAGTAGAGAAAGAGGCTAAGGGACTGCAAGGCCTCCATGGGAGGCTTCCCCAGGGGGTGGTTAAGAGTCCTTCTGCATGGCTGTGCCTGTGGGTCCCCACTTCAGACCTTGATCTTGGTTCCCAGGGGACCTGCCATGGACTGATAGAGGACAAGTCTCCTCCTGCTCCAGCCCACCTGGATCCCTCCCCGCCTTCCCATCTGTCCTCCCCTGAGCTGGCTTCTCACTGATCTCTCCATAGTGATCTTGTGCCTTCCTCTAAGTCAGCTTTTGTTTAAGATCACTGCAGCTTGGCTCGCAAACAGCCCCACAAAGCGCCTCACTCAGGCCACAGGCGACAGACAGCTTATCAAGACGTGAGCCTTTGCTCCTTGTCCCAACTGTCATCTTGGTGCTGCTTTGTCATCATGAATGACAAAACAAGACAGCTGTACTTGTGCATCCACGCATAACCACACAATGCTTGCATGCACGTGCACATGTGCACACACGCGCACAAAGGAATGACCCCTGTTGAGGGCCATGGTCTTCAGGAGTCAGACCTCACCCTTCCTTCCTTTGTCACCACGCGGTGTGGTTGACTGGACTGAGTCTGCAGAGGAGGCGGAGCCTCTTGCCTGTCTTCGATAACACAAGCCGGGACCTACCTGGGTCATAGAGGACCAGAGGGGACCAGAGATCTCAATCTACCTGCTCATTCTACTGGGCAGCTCCCAAGTGAAGCCCCAGGCTGGTGAGTTAAATATGAAGCCACTAGCTATTTGAAGAGCAGTAGAAGGCACTGGGGTGTGGGGGACTCAGAGCAGGTAAGGCAGGGTCCCTCTTATCAAACAGTTCACAATATAGGAAAGGAGAAAACCACACCACAGGAAGACACGATGCAACTTTTTCTGCGATGAGAACCACAAGGATGGCCCAGAAAAAAGCGCCATAGATCAGAGAAGGTCAAGACCTGTGGAATAAGCAGGGACACTTGATACAGAGGTGACATTCTGGTAGCTTTTATGGAAAGGGAGGCCAACCAGGGCTAGAGCGAGAACCCACCTCCAGGAGACAGGAAGGTGGGAACACCGAGGGGAAGTGACAGCCTGGCATGCTTGAAGGGCTGGATGCCCTGGGACATCTGTGCAGGGTAAGAGACAGTGACCTCACAGGAGGGCAGTGACACCACCCAGAGGTCTTTCCTCCTGGGATGGCAGGCCTGCCTCCTCCACTGCCCGGTTCACCTGGCAGGTTAGACAGGAGAGAGGGTGCAGGAGCTTCTGTCAGGGGCGCCCTGAGTCAAATGGGCTCTTCAGTCCCTACCCCAGCCCTAACACAGCCCCATCTGCCTGTATAATGCAGGCTTTCAGAGATGCAAGTCAAGGCTCCCAGCGGGGGTCCTTCTCCAAGCTGGGAGGTAGGACTCCTCTTCTGGCTTAGTGCCTGGCTTGCTCAGCCTTTGGATCAGCCACTTCATCTCTTGGAATATCAATTTCTCCGACTTGCTCAGTCCTGATTGGTTAGGAAAGAGGCCTCTGAATTCTTGAATGACAGTCTTTTCCCTTTGCACACCTCACCCATTGTAGATAAGATGAACTCCGGGAGCCAAGCTAGTGAGGCCAAGGCTGACCTTGGCCTTGGTTCTCTCAGGACTCCTCAGAGCTCACCAGGCAGCCCAGCTGCAGGCCTCCAAGTCTGCCTGCTCTGGTGTTTTGCTCCCCTAAATACTTCTAGCCTGGGGTGGTCACTCCTGAGGCTCAGTGAGTGTGTCTTCTGCATGACCATGTGACCTGACTTTGTGGGGTCAGGGCCCCTTTCTGGAGGGCCCTCAGGCATCTTGTGTCTCTGTGTGCCCTCACTGGTCCTCTTGCAAAATAAGTCAAGCCTTTGACTGAGAAGGGCTGGGCGCTTCCTTCTCCCACAGGTAGGATGGGAGGCACTGCCCTGGGTGCCTTTGAGAGAGGAGATAGACCAGCTTCCCAGGGAGGTTTTGGGACAGGAGTCAGTCCGTGGGCTGCCTGGGTCCTGCCCCCCTGTCCCCAAGCTGAAGGGGAAGAGGAGCAGCGAGCAGAGACAGAAGAAAGGAAGCAGCGCGGGGCCAGGGAGAACCTGGAGGAGCGCTGGGAAGGAAAATGGAGGTACCGGCAACACAGCTTTCCTCCCGCCTGGAGTTGGAAGCGATGAAGCCACAGGCGCTTCTGCCCACCGAAATGTGAGCGCCGCAAGGGCGAGGGCTGCCCTCGTGGCCGCGAGCCTCCGGCTGTGCGCGCGCCTGTGTGTGCTGCCGCCGCTGTCATCACAGATGTACCCCCGGCTGTCACTCCATCGCTGGCTCGGCTTGCTCGCGCACACGCACGCTCTCCTCCCTCGCCCTCTTACCTCTCCCCTATCTGGCTTCCTCCGCCCTCCCTCTTCCCTTCTCAGTTTGTTATTGACCCAGCAGCCCCATCCCCTCGTCCCCTGGCAGCGCAGTGCCGCGGGCTCTCCACCTCCTTCGCTGGGCGCTGTGTGCCAGCTCCCTGCTCCGGGTGAGTCCCACGCCGGCCGGCACCGAGCACCCTGCTCTCTGCTCAGTGGTGGAGTCTGCATTCGTAGCTACCTTATCTAAGGGGCTCAGCCCGAAGAAAGGTGAGTGTGAGCGGCTGGTGGGAGGATGGGGCGTGCTGGGTGGCTGGGGCACGGGAGCTGGGGACCACCTTTGCTGGGTCTTGGCCCTGTACAATCAGCAGCAGTGTCTCCTGGCTGGGCACTTGCTGGGGCTGGGAAAGCAGCTCGGGACCAGACACCTGGGCATCCCAAAGGTATAGAACATGGGAACTCGGACCCCACATAGTGCTGGGGACGTGAACTGTGCATTCCGCCAGGGAGGGGGCAGGGAGGCACGGAGAAGGGGAGGAGGGCAGTACTGGAGCCGGATGACAGCCCTGGGTGGCATAGAAACTGGTCCCTGCAGCATGAGGAGCAACAGCCTAGATGCTGTGCTCTCTACATGCCCTCTCTGCACAGGCAGCGGTGAGGAACTTGGGTGCTATGGGAAGGGTCCGGTACTGGAGACAGGGCTGGTAAGAAGAAGGCTTAGGGTGAGGACAGCAGCATGGAGGACCACACTGAGTGAGGCATGGGAGTAGATCTCAGACTCAGCCTTCCACACAGGTTGCCCAGAGGCTGGGTTGCTGTCCTTCAGGTGGCTGTCCTTGGACAAGGATGCAAGGGAGTCCTTTCCTGGCTAGACACAGGTTTACCCAGCTGTGGGTGAAGCCTCCCTGGTGGGTGTGTGACTGGAGGTGGATGAAGGAGCTGGGTCTTGCAGCAATTCCTTGCAAGCTCCAGGCCCTACTTCTAGCTAATCTGAGGGCCAGACAGGGAACCAGTTTCACAAGAACCCTCCCAGGGTGTCCCACTGCTACATACCCAGCCTTTTGCTGCAGGTGGCCGGATGCCTTGGTAGAGCTGTGCACTCAGCTTAATGGTCCATGGGCGGCCAGGCCACATCTACCTGGCTGCTTTACCCTTGGGGACACAGACCCCTGAGTTGGGCTAGGACAGTGGCTCTCTCAGTACCCCTGAGGCCCCTTTTGACAAGGCGGGATTCTGACCAAGAATGTGCAGTTCAAATTCCTGCAGGGCCAGGAAGGTCTAGGGCTAGGTTCCAATTGGCTCCCCACTACCCAGCTGTCTGCATTTCCAGAGGAGGGGAGTGATGTTGGCCCCAGGCTGTCCGGGCTTGTTGGCCACTGCCTCCTGTGACTCAGACTGACAGGCCGGCAGCTTAGATAACTACTGCGGGTGGGGGAGGGGAGGAAGCTGAGCACGTGGTGGTGGGCGGGGGAAGTCCAGCTGGCGGGGAAACCCAACAGTAGCTTCCAGGCGGCCAAGAGGAGCCCAGCACTTCCCACCCCCACCTCCCCACTAGCAGAAAGTCTCAGAGCTGCCAAAAGAGGGAGAGCAGGAAAGCCAGGCCCCGGGTGGCTGGGGAAGGAGGGAGGCTTCTTAATCAACCTATCTGATTTCTTTGGGGTGTGGCTGGAAGCAGGGTGTGGGACCCAGGGCTGACTGCTCCTGTTCCGATTCCCCAGACACAAGGGCTGAGGGGCCACAGCCGGGCCATAGGGCAGGGAGCAGGGGACCAGTGCACATGAAATGGCTGTGGCATCTGGGGAGCTCTGGGCGTGGGAACAGGAGGAGGGAGTGGGACAGAGGCGATGTGTACCCTCTCTGGGCCTTCTTCCTTCTGCCCCAGGTCAGGCCTCCCCATCCCTGCCCGAGGCCTCAGGAGCGAATGGTGGGAGCCAGTTCCACAGCCTCAGCAGACTTGCTCAGTTCACTCATGTGGGAGAGCAGCTCCTGAGAGGGGTGACTCAGGGGGCTTCCCTGCTCCGCTCCCATTCTGACAAGGGAATACAAGAGCAGGAAGTGGGAGTGAGAACGGGCAGGTGTTCTGAAGTGAGCCAGGAGGGCACATGTCTGTTCTAAGTACAAATATAGAGTGTTAGAACCCACTTCCTTGTTGCCTGGGCAGTGTGTGTTCTGGGGGAATGGGCAGGGAAGAGATTTGGAGTGTTTCCTAGAAGGGCCCATGGCCAGACAGGTGGCAGCAGCCTAGGGCACACGAGAAGCCTCCCTGCGGTCCTGTCCAACAGAATCCTGGGCCCCTTCTGCACAGGGCTCAGGCTGGCTTTCCCAGCTCTCTCAGCTCCCGGGGGGGGGGGGGCTATAGGCTTCACTGCTCTGCAGAAGGAAGGGCATGGTGGACAGTAGACTGTGAAGGCCCTTCTGCAACTCTGGACTCTGGGTCTGGAATGCTAGGGGAGCAGAGGCCTTGATGCAGGGTGAGGAGCACACGGTAGGCAGCCACCCTAGCCCAGGAGTCAGGAAGCCCAAGAGGCATGAATTGGCTGGCTGGCTTGCTTGGACGCTTGACTGGAGGAATGAAGACAGAGGGGCTTGGAGGAAGGGCACAGACCCCAGACATGGGGTGAGTTTGTTGGTTTCTAGCAGGAGTCTGAGCCAACTGTCTACAGGAGAGATGGAAGGGGCAGGTATACCCTGGCCACCCTAGCCCTGACCCTCCACAGCGAATGAGAACCGTCGGACTGTTCCAAACTAGAGGGCTGAGGCAGGCGCCCCAAAGGGGAGGCTCTAGCCATCCTCCCAAGTCCCCACTCAGCTAGGCAGGAGCATGTGGAGCCTTCTGCTCCTCCTGCTTCCTCCCGCTTCATTACTCCTTCCCCTGGTGCCAGTCCCTGAGCCTGCAGCCTGCCCTCTCTTACCTCAGCATCCAGCCCAGCTAGGGAGGTTTCCCTGGATTTGTCACCACCACACCCGTGTCGTTACTGGAAAGAGGGGAGGCTGGGAGTGGTGAGCTGGTGAGTTGTTCCTTCATGGATGGGGAAGGGGGAAGAATTGCTGTCCTCTCAGCTCCAGTAAGATAGTGGATGAGGGAACACTGTCAGCTGTAAAGGTCTGTTCCTGCCTCTGCCTTCCTCCACCAGGAGCGCTATATGTGAGCAGCTGAGGGAATAGGACAGACCCAGGAGCTTATAAGGGTAACTGAGTCAGTAGTTTTGTTGCCAGACAGCTTGAGATCAGATCTATATTCTTCCATTTACTAAGTTTAAGCACGTTGCTTGATTTCCTGTGCCTCAGTTTCCCCAGCTACAAAATGTTGTTAATAATACTACTAATCTTAGAGAGTTGTATGAGCATTAAAAACACTAGGTAGGTGTTCGTAGCCATTGTTTCTTCAGGAAACCAAGGTTTCCTGAAGGAGGTGCTAACATCAATGCCCTGGCCTCTGCCCAGGTCCCAGATAACAGGCCTATGGATCCTCCAGGCTCACCTGGGCCCATGCTTTGCCTCCTGGGTGACTGTCCCCATGTGGAAGGTACCAGTCTAGTACTCCTCAGACTTGAACATTGACCCAAATTGTCTGGGATCTTGAAATGGAGATTCTGACTCTGTAATCCTGGGTGGGACCCAAGATTGGGTATTTCTAAAAGACTCTCAGGGTAGATGGCTGCTGGTACAGGGACTACACTTTGAGTAGCAAGGGGCAAGGTCAAACCCCATGTTCCTGGTCCTCAGGGGCTCCCCAGTTGACTGTATTTAGCTCCTCAGCCCCATTCACTAACGAGGAACCCAGTGAGTGAGACCACTGGGACCCAGCTCCTTCTGGCTGATCTGTCTCTGAGACTAGGACAAGAACCCAGCAAGCATGAGTAACGGGTCTAGTACTCCAAACTGATGCTGCTGAGACGCTAGAGAGGGGGTTCTTCGGGCAGGCCCTCTATTCCCACCCTGCATAGGAACCCCCTACTGTTAATTTATGGCAAAAGCTGGCTAGCGCTGCTCCCCTAGCTGCTCTTCAGCTTCCCAATGTAGGTCACCCCTTTCCTGAGGATGCTCGGCTTCTCAGGGGCAGGAAGGCCCTTTGGTTGGAGGTGTGTGGGTGGACACAGGGCCGAAGGGCTAGGAAGTGCTGGTTACCCTCCATCCCCTTGAGGGTTGGAGGCTCTGGTGTCCAATAGGAAGCCTAGGGGCAGGAACCCAGAGAGCATAGGGGTCTCCTCATGGACCTGGGGCTTTCTTTGCTCACATTTCTCCAAAGCACTCCAGTTAACGGTGTCCAGCTGCCTCACTAGACCATGCCATGGGTCTGCCATAGGTCATAGGGTCTGGCCCATCCTATTTCATGCACAGGGCATCCTGTTCAAGGGTAGGGATGGGGTGTCAGGCCCTGCACTCAAGGCTACCTGCTCTGCTGACTGGCTGTTTGCTGGTGGAGACCTGGCCTCCTCAGAGGGACTGACATTGAGTAGGTGGGTTGGGAATGAAGAGCCTATTAGGGTAGGCAGGAGCCTCAGGAAGAAGTGGGGTCTGAGGATGTCTGGGAGGGTCACTCTGTGGCCTGTGCCCCTGTAGGGAGCCGGAAGGAGTAAGAGCCAAGGCTGGACTGGCTTTCTGCCTCCCCATGGCCTGAGCATAGTAAGTGTCCTGGGTGAGCATCTCTTTCTGCTGCACCTGAGAAGTCCCAGACTGCTGCCAGCAAGGCGTGAGTGTGTGCATGTGTGTGAGTGTGTGCTTGTGCTAGCACATGCCTAGTTGCGCAGCTCTCCATGAGGGTGTGTTTGCACTACATGCTGACTGTGGCACTTAGAGCGTGTGTCTGGAAGGCCAGTGGGTGTGAACTCCACTTCGTGCACACATTAGTATTTCCCCCATAAGGGCCACTTCTGGATAACAGGCGCTGGGGAGCGGAGGAGTAGCCTGACTCAGAAGCCTACTATCCAGTCCATGACTTTCCGTGTGACCTTGAGCAAACTGCCTGGCAACTCTGTTTCTTGGGTGGCAGCTGACCTGCCTACTCTTTCACAGATGCAATGAGCTCTCCATGTGGGGGCTTCTGATTGAGCCCTGAAGGTCAGGGCTCAGGGGACACAGAGACTGTGGACGCTGCTGTCTGTGAGGGTGGGTGGCAGCACATACTGAATGCAGTGAGCATGCAGTGCTGTGAGCACCATGTGACAGTCCCCAGCCTGAGGGTAGTGGGAACAGATAAGAAGATGTTGCATAATCTGCCACTGTTCCCTCCCCATGGGGGAGGCACTGGTGTTTGCTCACACTTACGAGTTCGGAGTCCAAAGTAGGAGCATTCACCTAAACTTTTAAGGTGATGTACACTCAGTGTATGTTAACTCTTAAATCCCACCATGAAGTATCAAGACCATCACTTTGAGAAATAAGAAAGCTGAAGCCCAGAAAGTTTAAGCAGCTTGTTTGAAGGAGTGGCCAGATGGATTTGAGCCCAGAGCCTCCCCACCTGCGAATCTGAGCCGGAGCACGCTGGTCCTGGCCCAGAGAGGACTGGAGATGGAGAACCAGCGGCCCTAACTGCTGAGTGCTCAGGATCCACTCAGAAGGCCGGGTGAGGACCAGGCCCCCCCATCTCACATCTGTGCCCAGTCCCAGGGATTTGCTCTCCCAGTTCCTGCTGGACACTTCCCAAACTGGCGTCCTCACTAAACAGAGGAAGTGGGAGGAAAGACAGAGCGCAGTCTGACATACAGAGGCCACCCTGCTCCTGAGCAAGCTCATCTTGAGGCGCCAGCGAACAGGACACCGTGGTGGCCTCCTGAGGACCACTAGAGGTGGAGGGAGGCTTCAGAGGAGCAGGGAAGAGAGGGAGGGTGACAGGGGACAGAGGCCACGGGAGCCTCAGCAGGAGCCTAGTGGCTGAGGGGAATCTGCACAGGTCGCAGCTGACTTCTTGTGCTGGCCACTCAGGTGTCCAGCAGTGCCATCTACCTCCTAGTGGCCAGTCCCACCCTGCCACTGGCTCCTCCACTCTCAGAATCAAACAGGCCTATGGGGAGCTGCAGAGGGAGATTGCAGCAGGAACTACCTTGGGACCATGAATTTGGTAACCAAGGAAGGCCAAACTCTGAGAGCCAAGCAGGGTTGAGGGAACCACAACCTCTGGCCCCAGGAGGGAGCCGAGCGACCAGCATGGTCTTTCCAACCCAGCTGGTGAGCCATAGTGGTGGCATTTGCTTCTCTGATGGGGTCGGCGGGGTGGAGCTCTTGCTTCCTATGTAACTCTTAATGATGTCTGGAAGGAAGTGGGATGCAGAGGAGGCCTGTGTCGCGTTTAGGGGACAGTGGAGTGGGACAGTACCTAGAAGGCCCTGTTTGACCCCAGGAGGAGCACACTGCTCTCTGCACCTGGGCCTGCTCCCAGCCCTCTGTGATCTCACCCTTTCCTCTGTGTCTGTCTTTCCTGTGCCAGCAGCTGCTGCAGCATGAACCCCTGAGCTGATGAGTCTTATTATAGACTGGCTGGTGGAAGACAGAGCATCGCGATTCACCTCCAAACGGCAGTAGGGGGCTGCTGGTGGCTCACACCCAACCAGCCTGCCAGCAGACACTGTGACGGGTCTGTTTTCCACCTCCCTGGGGCCATGGTGAGCAAGGAGGGGCTGGCAAAACTGGGTCTGGGTGTGACTGGGGAAGTGAGCAGCACAGGTGAGTGCTGTGGCCTGAGACCTCACTCTGCTCACCTAGGAGAGACACACCTCAATTTTCCCCTCTGGGAGGTGAGGAAGCCCAGACAAAGGTGATTGTATTGCAAAGCAAACATTTTAGAGGTCATCATTTCAGTGCGGCAACAAGCAGAGGCAGAAACAGGGAGGGTACAGTCAGGGGAGAGGGGTGGATGAGCTTAGCGGGCGATTCTTGCATCCTCCAGCTCCAAGCCTGGGCTAAGGACTCTTGGGAAGCCCGAGGCTGACCCCCATCACCCCAGGGAGGTGAGCAGTTTCCTGGTTTCTCTCTTTCTGCTCCCCTTATATCTCTCCTTCCCCTCACACAGAGAATCATAGCTGAGAGGAGCAGGAGAGGGAAGGAGGAGTGTAAAGAGACACCGGGCCCTCTCCTTAACCCCTGGGCTGGAACAGGGCCTCAGAGGCCTGCCTCCGCCCAGCTCTTCTCTCTCTCTCAGGACTGACAAGCAGCACACACCAAGGGGCACCTCTCTGCCCAGAGCCGTGGAGAGCTCCGAGTTCACCATGCTGGCGCTGGGCAATGGCCCTGAGCCCAGGACCCGGCGGATCTCCTGTGAGTACTTCTGGGCCCCTGTGAGTACACTGGGCTGGGGAGGGGGTTCCCATGGTGTGGAGTGGGGTTTCTTTAGGCTGTAGGGAGGCCGAATACTGAGTTTCCTGGGATGCCCAAGGCCTGGTTTCAGGAAATCAGATTCCTGCCCATAGTAAAGATGTTGAGGCAACCAAAGAAAACCACTGCCGAGCACTTTAGTGGTTAAACTGGGAGGTGTAGGCCATGACACTGGTTCTGTCTCCCTAGATGAGTCTCTTGTGCCTTCTCCCCAGCTTTGGGTGACCTGATAGTAAGAGAAGAGCTCTGCTGGAGAATGGCCAGGATTCCCGAGTTTTAAATAGAATCGATGCCACCTGAGTGTGTCCGGCGTATGTTTGTCAGGCCATGCGTGGAGCCTGGCAGGAAGTTGCCCCCCCGCCACCAACCCAGCTCTCTCACGGGTGGCTGCTCTCTTGCCTTGCCTTGAACCCGGAGACATCTCGTAGGCCCTTGATGTCTCTCTCCCCAACTCTTGCATCCCATGGGGTGTGCAGTTGGACCTCTCCCCACTCTGCACATGGGCACACGGAGGTACAAGTATTAATGCCAGACTCCCTGGTAAATTGACAGGTGACAGGAGCATTCTCTTCACCTGAGGCAAAGGGCCAATGCAAAGTGAGGGCCAGTTTGCCCAAGGCTACCTGGTAAGAGGTAACAGTGGCCTGAAGGGATGTTATTCTGCCTGACTTCTCCCTTGGCTGCACTCAGCCTGTGATCCCGCTGCCCCATGGCATGAGCAGCCTGAATTATTCACCACGTGAGAGTGGCTGCTCCCAGCAACCCAGATCCTTTTCAACCTCATTCTAGGATCACTCAACACCTCGCAATAGAAGATGATGTGTTTTTTTTTGTCACCAGAGCTTTCTTTTATGCTACCCTGAACTTCGGTGGGGGGGGGGGAGGAGGGACTGTGGTTTTCAAAATGTTCTCTCCTTGTCCTGATGCCAGTTCTTTCTCAGAGGGGCGGATAGTGGCTTCTAGTTAGGTTCATCCTTTTGAGAGGGAAGCTGGATAAATTGAACCCGTCTCCCCCAAGGTAAAGTCTGAGTAGTGTTGATGATCAAGTAGCTTGGGGGAGTGTATAGGGCAGGCTGACTGGCAGCAGATAGGCTCAGAGAAGTGAGAGGGTAGGAGGTCATGGAAGGTAACCCCAGGTGACCCCAGATAGCCCAGAGAGGTCTCCAGTTGGCTTCTGTGACTGAGCCAGTGTTCATTAGCCACTAAGAACAAACAGGCTCAGGTGTCAGGCTAGCAGTGTGTCTCTGGGCTGTTATTGGTCTTCCAGGCAGGGGTAGGGTAGAGTGCCTCTCTGCTCTGTCAAGTCCTGCCTTTTGGGACATCAGATGACTGGACACCTACCAGACAGAGATTTGAGACTGTCCCACCCAGTCACTCAAATATTCACGTACATCTGGAGGGGGCCAGCTGGGTGTGCACTGGGTCTGACCATCACCAGTTTCCCAACCAGGATCTTTCCTTGGCTTGGTGGAGTTGGCTTAGCAGTACAGAAGTGTTTTGAGCTCATCTTTACCCCCTTCACAATGAGCAGGGTTCCTGACATTAGGAGAACAGTTGGGGAGGGTTTTGAGATCACTCCTAGAGAGAGGGCTGCTTCACAATGGAAGGAGATGCTCTCTTCCACTGTCCTCTGAGGGTCACTTCACCCAGCTCTTCCAAGATTGGACCCCCTGTGTGCTACTCAGAAGGGTCTTGGGCAAAAGGTGGGACCATGAAAGGCATTCTGTTAATGGATCCATCATGCAGAAATGCTGCCCAGCAGCCCCCAGGAACAGAAGGCAGGGTAAGAGAGTGGGTGGTTTTAGTATAAGATTGGTGGAACCTCTCCTGGGGCCCGCGGCTTACCAATGTTGGGCTGGTGCTGTGCACCTTATCCTTGTCATTCCCACAGTGCTCTTCAGAGGGTGCCCAAGATGGGACTGGGCTCCCAAATTTCACACTAAGTTACTGCCCCTGCTTGGATGTGGGATTCAGGTAAATGGGACAGCATCTGGGAAGTTGTAGGGGACAGAGTGAATGGCACACTTCTGCGATCTCCCTCCTCCAAGCAGAGCATGGCTCAGCCCCCTACAGCTCCAGGGTGTAAGGAAGTGCAGTGAGGAAGCACCATCAGCATAGCCTTTGTCTTTTGGAAAGAGAGAATCTTTCAGTGGAGTAGGAATGTGGGGGCAGGCTTCTCTGACATCCCCTTGTCTTTTATTTTGCCAACATCTATGGTGTCAGAGGACCCAAGCTCCTATGGAAATCAACCATGAGTGGCCTGTGAGTAGGGAGTTCATTGTCACTGTGCACAGGAATGTCTTGTCCTCTGGGCTCAAGCCTGAGTGAGTCACTCTACTGAAGTGATTTCTTTGTCTGATGTGCAGTGAGGCAAGGACCTGCTGGCGCTGTGTGATGTCCATTAACATAGAAGTGTCTTTGGACTTGTTAATTACCTTTTTGTGTGGTTAATAAGTGAGCAGTGATTGTGGCTTGTGCCAAAGAAGATAAAGCCCACAGGCCATTATGATGTGGACTAGGAGGAGGGAGCAGAGGTGGGGGCGGTAAGTCCCAGCCTGTTGCTTTACCTTGCCTGTGGGCCTCTCCCCCAGGGATCACCTGCTGGATTGCTCTCTGTGCTGTGGAGGCCCTTCCCACTTGCCCTTTCTCCTGCACCTGTGACAGCCGAAGTCTGGAGGTGGACTGCAGCGGCCTAGGTCTCACCACAGTGCCCCCAGATGTGCCTGCAGCCACCCGAACCCTCTTGCTCTTGAACAATAAGCTGAGTGCCCTGCCAAGCTGGGCCTTTGCCAACCTGTCCAGCCTGCAGCGGTTGGACCTGTCCAACAACTTCCTGGACCAGCTGCCCAGCTCTGTTTTTGAGGACCTGGCCAATCTGACAGAGCTGCAACTGCGCAATAACAGCATCAGGACCCTGGACAGGGACCTGCTGCAGCACTCGCCCCGACTCCGCCACCTGGACCTGTCCATCAATGGCCTGGCCCAGCTGCCCCTGGGGCTGTTCGATGGACTCCCTGTTCTTCGCTCCCTTTCGCTTCGCTCCAACCGGCTGCAGAGTCTGGACCGGCTGACATTCGAGCCCCTGTCGAGTTTGCAGCTACTGCAGGTTGGGGACAATCCCTGGGAGTGCGACTGTAACCTTCGAGAGTTCAAGCACTGGATGGAGTGGTTCTCCTATCGAGGTGAGCTCAGGGGCCTTCTTAGACAGAAGGAGCCAGGGCTACCCTGGCTGGAGGCTTTATCCTGGGACGGGGATGAAGTCTGGGGAGAGAAAGGGTGACTACCTCGTTGTCAAGTAGGCAGGAGGAGTCACAGGTCTCTCTTGAGATGAGGAGCTGTTGTCCTTCCCACCATCAGGCAGAGAGGCTGTTCCGCTCTTCCCTTACTGCACCCCTTTCTGCTCTGTGTCCTCCTCACTGTTTTCAGCTTCTTCCTTTTCTCTTCAAGTCACTTTAAGGGTTCACTGTAATTTGATCTCACTTTTGTACGTTTAAAAAGGGAATTTAAAGATACAGTATGCTTTTCTTCTTCTTTTTTTTTTTCTAGACCTCTGAACCCTACCAGGTAGTATTTTTGCCTTTGGGCTTCCTTGGTACTTCTTCCAAACAAAACAGCCACCTTTTAAGTATCTACCCTTACAGGAGTGTGAACTGTAACTGAAATCAACAGATGCAACCAAATTTTCCTTTGGATGCTGCTGCTGACTTCTCCTTCAAAGAAGTTTGCTATCAAAACTATTAATAAGAAGCCAGATGGTTTCAGCTTTACTTTCTTTCCCTTACTCCCTTTTTTAAAACCTGGAAAAGTCCTGAAATGATCTGTGAAATGATCAAATGAAATGCAAAGAGGAGGAATAATTAAGCATAGTGGGTAAAAGTGCCAGAGATGGGTTTGAATTTTGTTCCTGTCACCCACTAGCCATGACCTTGAGAAAGTTGATAAACTTCTGTCTATGGCAGTGTGTCACTTGTAAAATGTGGAGAAAAGCAGTATGTAATGAGGTCATTAGGAAGATTAAATAAAGTAATGCATATAAGGTATCTTGTAAGGTACGAGCATAAAGTAAGTCCTCTATGAAACATTCATTTCCTTGCTCATTTGGTAGAATTACACATAAAATCAAGAGCACTTGATAAGCTACAATTTGGTGCCCAGCACAAAATGCATGTTTGATGAATGAATCAATATTAAAACTCTGGGAAAATAATGCAAACTCTTTTCATTAGTCTTACTATTTTCGTTTCCTATCCAGCCACTAACTCAACTATGTGCGTGTTATCCTAATGCTTTAATGAAAATATTTTACAAACTATAAAATGCATGAAATGTTAGTCACTACAATTTCTCTCGTTTTTGTGAGTAGGGAAATAATGATTAATACTGTTGTATAGTTTCCAGTGTACAAATATCTTTTCATGCATGTTATCTATTTTAATCTCTCTGGCAGCTAATTGAAGTAGGCATTCTTATTTTACAGCTAAGAAAAATAAGACTCAGAAGTAATTAAATAAGTAATTTTCACAGGATGATGCAGCCAGGTTTCAACCTTGGGTCTCCTGAGCAGGAAAATGAGGTCACTTCCCTCTCACTGCCAGCTCTTTGCTGTGTGCAGGGCCGTCGGCAAAGGTGGCCTGCATGCATGCCCACTGGGCCTCGCCTGGCTATAGCCCACCCAAGTGGTCAGTGGCACAGGGAGCTAGAAAGCAGGTGTGTGCAACCCAGACTGCTGTGTTACCCTTAGACGACATCCTTGCCCTTCACACCGTCATCAGGGACTGAATTCCTAGTGAAAAAGGCCGTGGGATGAGAATGTGTATTTTCCCGGCGTTTTCAATAGCAGATTTGTTTTCAACTTTGCACTCCTTTAAAAAAAATCCTGGGATGTTTTCATCAGCATCTTGGTAAGATTGATGTCTATTGTATGGGGAGACTTAGGGCGGCTGGCTTGGGAGAGGGAGGTGGCAGTGATGGAGTGGCTGGAGCCGGCTGTGCGGCAGGGTGTCTATTGCTTGTCTAGACTTCACTGGAAGCTGACAGAAGGCCAAAATCCAACTCTCACTTCCTAGAGGACTTCTCGGCAGATTATTGTTCTCAGCTGCTGTCTCTCTTGCCGCACTCCAGTCCTGCACTTATATTCCCTGAATGTGCCTGGCTTCACCATTGTTTTGAAGACTGCATGGCAAACCCGCGTCTCCTCACTGCTCACACAGCCTGCTCAGCGCAGCCTCCCCCTGCCCTCATGTGTCTCCCAGGTCCCTTCCCAAGATGCCTTTGCCTGAGTGTCTCTGGGTGGGGTCACTGACGATGAGCCCACAGATTGTTCCTGACAGGAACAGGAAAACACACTTGCCCAGATTTTCTCTCCCTACTCCAAGGTGGTATTTTCAGGCAGCCAAAAGTCCTGTATGGAGGAATGTGCCCTGAGGGCTTTGACTTTTGTCCTTTTTGTGAGAAGGAAGAACCCTGGAAGGATAAGAGACTGTGCTGAAAATACTGTCCTGGGTTCACAGACAGGCAACGAGCAGCTGGCAGAGAAGAAGCCAACTGTAGCCTAGGCAGGGATGTGACTCTGTGTTGCAGCCCTTTCCTGAGCATCTCCTCCACGTTGCCACCGTCATTCTCCATAGGTCAGGCAGGCTTTACTGAAATGGTCGTGTGTTTCTCTATGTAATGGAAATATGGATAATATCCATTTTCTATAGCTTCTCTAGGGAGCAAATGACAGGAGGTATGCAACCTGTCTACCGTAGTGCTTGGCTCTGCTGATTCCCCTCTACCCTTCCTGGTGTATAGACAGTAGTTGCAGGTTGACTGCCTTAGACTATACCTTCTGGGCCGTCTGTTTTGGGGGCCTGGGGATGAGGAAAGATAGCTCAGGTTCTTGATGTCTGCTCAACCCCTCCTTTTGTCTCCCCTGGATTCAGGGGGGCGCCTGGACCAGCTTGCCTGCACCCTACCCAAAGAGCTGAGGGGGAAGGATATGCGCGTGGTTCCCATGGAGATGTTCAACTACTGCTCCCGGCTGGAGGACGAGAACAGCTCATCTGGGCTGGATGCTCCTGGGCCACCCTGCACCAAGGCCAGCCCAGAACCTGCCAAGCCCAAGCCTGGGGCTGAGCCTGAGCCAGAGCCCAGCACAGCCTGCCCCCAGAAGCAGAGGTATAGGCCAGTGAGTGTGCGGCGAGCCATTGGCACAGTGATCATTGCAGGAGTTGTTTGCGGCATCGTGTGCATCATGATGGTGGTGGCTGCTGCCTACGGCTGCATCTATGCCTCCCTCATGGCCAAGTACCACCGCGAGCTCAAGAAGCGCCAGCCCCTGATGGGGGACCCTGAGGGTGAGCATGAAGACCAGAAGCAGATCTCTTCTGTGGCCTGAGAGCCCACCTGCCTGGCCAGGTAGGAGGGGTAGGGAGAGCACAACGGCGGTTGCTCTGGAGAGGCTGGTCCTTCCCCTCCATCATAGTCCCTGCCTTGGCTTGACACTGGCCACTGCCTCTCCCAATTCCCTGCAGCCCTCCAGCGGAGCAGCTGCAGTGTGGTCATCTCCATGAACTTCCGAGTCTCCGTGGAGGCCACCAAATCTCTGGAGCACCTGAGGACTCTCTCGGAACTTCTGGCCACAGGGAAGAAAAGATGTGTGTGCAAGAGGAGCCCTGTCACAGCCGGGTGACTCTTCCTTCCCCTCGCTCATTCCCACTGCCACTGCACTTAGGGTTTAGGGAGCAAGGGATATGGGAGCCAGGGATAGATTTTTGTGGCTTTTTTTTTTTTTTTTAAACTAGAGAGATATTCTTAAACTTCCTGCAGCGGAAAGCTGGGTCCAACTTTCAACAGTGTACTAATGTGCAAACTCCAAACAATAATCTCGACCCAGTACTTAGAAACACAATGCTGTGATTACAACATCCTCCCTTGGCAATGCCGTTAGGTCCCTGTGTCTGCTGTAGACCACACCGACCACACTGCTCCTGATTTCACTCACTCTCACACACGTGCTGGACACCTTCGGCACAGATGGGGTCTCCTTGGGTCTCTCGCCCCCAGGCCGCAGAACCTCCTGCTTGCTGACCGCAGTCTTCTCCAGTCAATTGGGCGGCGGGGAGGGGAGGGAGGATCCCAAATCAATAACTCGCTGGGTTCCTTTGAGATCCTCTAAAGTGGGCCACAGTGGTGCTGCTGGATAAGCCTGTCCATCACCATGGCAACCTGCTCACACCTCTCCTGCTGGGTTTTCCAGGGACCTGGCCCAGAGGCCTGGAGGCTGCTGCCTATGTAAATGGCAGCCTCTCCAGAGCTCAGCCACATATTATGGGTGTTTCCTCTGAGCTGCCGGTTCATCCTCATTGTCAGGCCCCAGGGAACACCCTCCACCTTCAGCTCTGTAGCCTGCAACCTCAGCTCTGCTCCTCTGCCCCCCCCCCCCGACTCCCTCCATCTCCAGTTTCCTCTGCCTGCAACCTCAGGGCTGGCACTGAACTGTGCTGTGGTCCTCCTTGGGGAAGCAGGTGGCAGACAGATGGCACAGTGGCCCTTGCAGAGGCTCAAGGCTTACCAATACATCGCTAACAGATACCAGGAGCAGGGACAGGACTGCCACATCCCGTGCAGAGGAGCCCTCAGCACTGAGGCCTCTTCCTGGGTGAAGATAGTGGTTTGTTTACTTAACAGGGCTTCTAATTGCAGCTGGACTGTGGTCTAAACCAGAGGGTGGGCCAGGGACAGAGACACCTGCCCGAGTCAGGTAGATTTCAGGGTATTTGCCTCCTGTTCTAGGCTGCCTCCTCCTTAGGAGTCTGATGTCTGGTGAGTACCTGGGTCTCCCTCTGCTGGACCCCACTTCCTCACGCTCAGAGAGGGTCAGGAGGTGCCAGGTTGGCTTCTGGCTCTAAGGCGGGGCTCTTTGGTGATAGCACAGGAAGAGGCCAGCTAGACTCTGAAGGTGTCAGAGCAGGACAGGGTAAGTCCAGCTGCCCCTCTCCCTCCAAGCCTCCCTACTCAAAGAGGAGAGTGATAGAAGAGGTGGGTGGAGAGCCTTCGAGAGGTCATCTCCATAGGTGAACAGAGGGCACCTCAGCAGGCTGCTTATCCAGATCACATGCCCCTTTGGCTGGGGCACAGTCTTCCTTTCTCTTCGGGCTTGTGGGCTGATACCAGATCTGGGAATTTTCTAAAGGGACTGGGGGGAGGGAAGGTTGTTGTCAGTGGTGGTATCTTTAGCCTGAGACAGAAGATTTTTAAAGGCAAAATTATATTTCTGGTTTGTTGTTTCAGAAGACCAATAAAGACTGTATTTTCCTATGTACTTCCTGGTTTCATTGGGTGGGAAGGGGACGTGGGTGTTGAGAAAATCACTTCCTGCTCCCTCACCTCCCCAGGCAGCAGATGAAGTGCTGAGGGACATCAGTGTGATACGCAGAGCTCCATGTGACAGGTGGGTGCCCCCTGCCTGGCACCCAGGGCCTCAGGTTGCTGATAGGAGAGCAGAGGAGGCAGCATCCTGGAGCAGGACAAGGCTTGGCAGCTGGGAGCATGGATATGCTGGAGTTTTAAATCTACCCACGCTCTGGCCTGACATCTGGTAGCATGGGCCTCTGGCTGGTTTCCCTGGGCGGCGCTGGGCCTTGTGAAGGTGAGCTGGAGACCCTGCTATGGCTCCATGCCCTGGGGTGCTTGTCCACCCTGGCTTGATGGAATGAATTCTGCCAGTCAAGGACAGATGGGTCAGTGTGGCGGGAGGCTTGCGTTTGCCCAGAGGATCTGCTGGATGCTGGGAGGGGAGAGAGGGCAGTTCAAGGGGCTTCTCTGCTGTCTGGGTCGTTAGCCCTGTTTGCTGGAGCCCCGTTTAACCCTTTCCATAGTGGCCTTACAAGGCTGAGTTTTGACACAAGCAGACCACACTTGGTGTTCACAGGTATGATGTCCCTGACAGGGCTCACTGTGTGGGGATTGGAATGAGGGACTGGCACGCAAGGTCCCTGGGACTAGTAGACCAAGACATGAAGGGCCGACATAGGTCTCTGTGATGAAGACACATGTTACTCAACCATCGTGGTTCCCAGAGGGAGCCCCTCAGAGGTCTGAAGACCAGACCTACATTTAGGTGGGGGCGACCTCCAGTATCTCTGGACAGCAGGACATGGCTCTCTGCTGGGGTGGGAATGTCTTGCAGGACATGCTGCAAGTCAAGTGGTTAGAGGAACATATTCTGCCTGTCCTGGAACCACCATCATTGTGCGGGACCATACTGTTCAACCAGGATCTAGAGGACATTGAGAGTTGGAAATGGATCCTGACCAGAAGCTGTATTTCTAGATATTTTACAGGAGCTCTTGAAAAACCACCTGCCTACAGATAGCAAGGATTCCATCTCATCCACCTGCCCTCTGTCTAAGTTGCGGACGCACACAGCATGTGGCTGCCCTGACACTGAGTCCCCTTCTCCTGCCTTCTCTTGCTCAGTGCACAGCACCACAATGCAGCCCCCACCACAGACCTTGTCCACTCCTGGAGCCTCCAGGGTCCACAAACAAACCACCTGCTTCTCCTTGGTTAATAGGCCCAGCTGGCCCCAGGGTCAGGGAGGCTGAGCCATACATAGACCAAAGAAGGAAATGACAAAATGAGATGAAAAAAAAAAAATTGCAATGTCAGGTCTCCAGCGCCTCATCCTTTTCCTACCACATCTGCACACCCTAGAGCAGCAGAGTGACTGTCTGCAGTGAGTTAAATTAGAGGCTCTGGGACATGGTTTCTATGGCAACCCCTCACGGCTCTAATTCAGCCCTGAGTTAAAAATGATATCGAATAATTGGAGAGTGCAGGAAAGCACAGGCAGCTCCTGGCCTGTATTTCTGCTCCTTCCCAGGCCTTCGGGTGCTCAGGGGAGCAGGGTAGACACAGGCCCAGCTGGGACCACAGGAGGGCCTTTAGCAAGATAAGTTTGGGATCACAGCTTGTCCTGGAGATGGGCCTGGGACTCGTGTGCTGTGGGCTAAAGAAGGAGGGTGCCGGGATGTCATGAGTCTCTGCTGAACGTTGTCAGCTGCACCTGGGATTCCTGGGGATGCCAGTATTTCCCACGGGGGCTGCCCATCAATGCCATGCTGAGCCATTCTCTTCCCACCTCTTAGCCTGGGATGCTGGCTCAGGAGAGCCTCAAGCCACCTCTGAGGCAGGAAGACAGAGCCTGTCCTGTTCCTTCCAACCCTCTGACCTGAACTTGGCATAAGGAAGTGGCATGTGGCTCCTGCCTGCCCAGCCCAGCCCAGCCCGGAGGCAGAGGCCTCCCACTGACCAGAGCCCTGGGACGTGAGACAGATACCACCTGCTAGCCATGATCCTGATGCCGTGATGGCTGAGTGACTAGTGGATCACACACCTTTTCAGAACACAGCTGGGCCAGGACATGGAAACTGAAACCAGGATAAGGAGGGCTTCCTCAGAGCCCTGAGAGTTCTCGCACAATAAGACAGAGATTCCAAGGACTTTTTAGGCATGAAGAAGCTACAAAGTCAGGGGAGACTTGTGAGGGTCATTGGATAGCTCATCCCATGACCTGGGGCAACCTGCAGTAAAAGATAGTGAACTTGGGCTTGAAAGAGATACAGTCTGAGTTCTAACCCTAGGTTCATTATTAGCTGTGGAATTTGGGGCCAGTAACTTTTCTGCGTCTCAGTTTTTTCACCTGTAAAATGGAGCCCAATACCATCACCTGCTTTGGGTCACCCGGAGGACAAGTTCAGATTGAATACACACATGGAGGTCTTGCTTTAGGGGTTTGAGTCACAAGTCCAGTTCTTGAACCCAAGGCCGTGAAAGAGGGCAGCTACAGGTAAGGGGAGGAAGAGGGTCTGGGTTGCAGTCCACGGCCTATGTGACATGGGATGATTTCTTAGCCTCTGTGGGCTTCCTTTTACTCATTTCACAAATTCTTTGAGCTCTAAGGTTTCACAAACAAAATGGCTTAGGAAGATTCCATTTTCCTTCTCCCCAGAGTTCACCTGGGACAACTTACAGCTGGAGACTGGTGCCCAGCACGTCACACGCAGGGGCCCTCCTGCTATGACCGTGGGCCTTATTCTTGCCATGGGCCCACAGCTTCCTGGCTCCAGTGGCACAGAGGGTGACTCCTACCTGCAGCAATGGCTGTCTTCTTCTCCTCTACTGTCACGGCTACTGCTGTGCTCGCTGTTACTGCCACTGGCTCACCTGCACCTTCTGGGGAAATGAAAATTTCAGAGTCACTTTCTCAGTTCCCTGGAAGGAGCAGTGGTTGGGACAGGCCGAGCCCTGGTCCCTTCTTGGAGTAGAAGATAAATGTCACTAGCAGGGTAGACATTCCTTGAGTGACTGTGTTTGGGTGCCTCTGTGTTGGATGGGCACTACCCTTCGGAGGCTCTCGCACTGCCCACCTGCCTGTGTAGGTACAAAAGTTCCAGTTGACATGGGGCCTCTGGCTGCCTGCTCAAAGTGACACTGCCAGTGTCAGTATGACACTGTGCTTTTTGCTCCATCTCAAGGTGGCACTCCTGTCTGCCTGCCCCTGTCTGCTTGAGGGGCCAGCATGTGTCAGAGCCAGAGGATTCATATTGTGTCAGGTGCTTCCTTGCGGGGAGGGACAGGATACACCACAGGGCTGGGTGCTGGGTGGTCCTGGATTGTCCCATGTGAATCCCGACAAGTCAGAGGTGATGCTGAGGCACCCAGGCAGTATGTGAGGCAGCTGCGTGCCAGTGGGGTGCTGATGGCAAGGGCAGCTCCCCGTGGGCAGTCTCAGCCCACCAGGCTCAGGCGAAGGGCAGGGGTGTCAGCCTGGACAGGAGCTCAACTCCTCCCTTCTCTTCTCTTTCTGTGTGCGAACACTCAGCGAGTGGGCGAGGATGTGACCAGGAGCAAGCTCTGCCCTGCCGCCCCCCACCCCCCACAGTCCCCTTTGCAGGTTGCCAGCTTTGCTCCGCCCCCTGCAGCTCAGGCTCAGCTTGCCACCCACCTGCCCTCCTACCTCACCAACACACAGAGCTCCCCCAGCAGCAGCAGCAGCAGCAGGCACAGCCTGGGTGACAATGCAGGCAGGAGGGCCTGTCTCCACAGCCTGGGGCAGGGCTTAGGGGCTCATCTGGAGAACCTTCCCAGGAGCCCTTTGTGCAGGCCAGGGAGGAAGAGCTGCCCTTCTGCCTTAGTGCAGGCAGCGTGGGAAGGGGACCTTTCCCTTGGCATTGAGAGCCTCCCTCTCAGTCTAGCGGGGGAGTGAAAACACCTCTTCCTCTTCCCTCTTGCTGCCTTACACTCACTGTGGCAAAAGCTTGTGCTTTGGTGAGGAAGACCTGAATTCTAGCCTGCTGTGGGGATCCCTTGCTCTGTGATCTTGGGTGAGCCATGGAAGAACCTCTCTGAGCCTCAGGTTCTCCTCACGTAGGATGAGGGATGATAACAACATTTATCTCACGGGCTTGTGCGGTTTGAATGAGTTATGTGCCAGAAAGTGGTTACAGCACACTTGTTATGTAAAGCACACTGGTTATGGTGTGTGGGTGGAGAGGTAAGCAGGGCACAGGTGAGGACACCTCCCAGAGGGCACCGAGGCAGATCTCCTCCTTGCCGTCTGCCTCCGCTGTTTGCAGCTACCAGGAGAAGCCTCCTCAGGGAGCCTGGGCCTTTAAAGCCACACAGGGCAGTTCTCACCCTGTCTTGAAAGTGGTTTTGTATTTCTTTTTTTTCCCCCAGTACCGGGATCAAACTCAGGACCTTGCACTTGCCAGGCAGGCGCAACACGACTGAGCTAAATCCCCGGCCCTTGAGAGTGGTTTTGGTGGAAGGGGTGGAAGGCCTTTGGGAGAGGGCATTGTGAATGGGAAGTACGATACCAAAGTATGATTCTTTCTGAATCGGCTTCCACTCCACCACCTTCTTTCAGATGACTCCCCCCACCTCCCTCCACCTCATACTCATTCTACCCACAGGTGGGTGCTTCTCAGGCTCTTAGGTGCTGTGCCCAGAGACCCCAGCGGCAACTCGGTGCTGAGCTCACCTGCCACAAAGTTCTGGACCAACCGCTCAGCCTCCCTGGCTACAGTGTCTTCTTAGTGCCTAGTGAAAGTCACTTAATGTTTCTTCTCTTTACAGCTCCCATGGTAGGAGCTGGTGCCTGTCTACCCAGAGGTGCCTCTCTGTCCTTGGCAGGTAGGATCTGCTGGCTTGGTCCTGGGGGTCTGTTCTGTCTGCCTGCCTTTTGGCTCCTGGGTGACCCCGAGAGTGGAGACCAGGTGGCTTTCTTTCTGTGGGGAGAGCCATCGTGGTCCTGGGAACTGGGTAAGTGTAGCTGCCCTCCAATGAGACAGTCTAGTACTTTCATCAGGGAGGTTGAAGGAACTTTCAAAGACAGATTTTTAGAAATAGAAGAATCTTAGAGATCAGTATTTCTGATCTCATTTTTAGAATTTGGGCTAGAAGCTAGCTTTCTTGACTTTTGCATTACATCTCTTTCTTTTATTCCATGGAGAAATTGAAATGCCGCCGAGGATTTAGCTCAGTGGTTTTGCTACCTGCTGCGCAAGTGCAAGGACCCGAGTTCGATCCCTGGTACCAAAAAAAAAAAAAAAAAAGCAATGAAATGCCATCTTTGCTACCTGGGGAATAAAATGACCAGTCCTATTTCACCCAGGGAGTACAATGTGGGGAGGCTTGGCTTTCTCAAGCTGCCCAGGTGGCCAGGAGGGAAGGTAGACAGGGAACCCTGGGGGATCAGAGTTCCCATGGCAGTGGGTCTCCTTCCCATTTCCCACTGAGGGAACAGCAGGAGAAGGAGCACTGTCCTGGAGCACAGGAGTGTGGATCACCTGGTCCATCTGCCCAGCGTAGGTTGAAGACAAAGCTGCCAGGGGGCTGCTCAGAGGCCTGGCGGTACCACAGAGGGAAATGGTCCATTGTGAAAATGCTTGCCTCATCTTCAGGTGTCAGGAACTTCCTGAAAGGAGGAGGATTTTTGTAGCTCCCTCAAATCTGGAACATGACCGACCCTTTTTCCATACAAGCTCATCTTGGCAGGGCCAAGAGAGTGATTCCCCCGGGCTTTGACTCAGTGGCAGATGGGTATCAAATATTAGGCCTTAAATTGGTCTTGTCCCCAGCCAGTCCTTCCTTTTCCAGAAGCAAATGATACTGGTCTGATGGCACACTGATAGCTAGAAGAGGCCTTGCTTGGGCTTGTACTAGGAGGGAATATGCAGACCTCTTTGCCTGCAGGGCCTATTTCTTTTGGCTATAGCTTCAGTTCTTTTTGTTTGGTTCACTGACAAGTCTGAGCAAGGAAACTGTATAGTCAGTTCTATCACTTGGATAATGTGGGACATAAATTGCCCCAAAAATGGTTACTGCAAAAGTCATTGCTTCTTGGTTTTTGAGTGTACTGTGGCCTTCCCTTTTTTGAGCAGTCTTACCTGCAAATTATGGTTTTTCGTTCCCTAAAAACACACCAGTCTACAGAAGGGAGTGTTGGTCCAGAGCAGCCGGGGCAGCAGGGGTGGAAGGATAAAAAAGGGCTGTGGATAATCGACAAAGTGGGTCACTGAGGTTGGATTTTGAGAGTGACAGGCTCACATATTCCAGAAGTAGAGCTGTCTTGTTGCACAATTTCTGGGCTGCCAGTCACATTGCAGTCCAGGTGAAGGGAGCCCTCTGGGACCCAGAAGTGCACCTGTGGTCATCACAGGGACTGCAGTCACAGGAGGCGAAGGTCCTGGCCCACCAGAGGAAGGTGTGTCTGTACAGAGATCTGCCTCATCCATCCTTAGAAGCCCTTTAGAGGGACTGGGAGTCATCAAGACAGGCTTTTTCTGTCTTTCTACTACTCGCTGTCAGAGTGAGGGAGTGGGGAAGGGAAGAAGAAGGGGGAGAGATAAGGGAGCGAGTTGGTTTGTTTTTCTAGAAGCCTTGGGTTTGCTTAGCAAGTGTGGATCTGTTGCAGAGTCCTGGAAGAAGCTCAAAAATGGTGCATTGTGGCTTAGTGTGCTTGGATTTAGCAACAGGAGCAGCAAGGGAGCGGGGGGCAAGGATGGTGGGGTAAAGTCTGCCCGTCAGTCCCTTCTGCTGTTCTCCGGTGTCTCGGGCCCTTACCTGTCTCCTGATCTGCAGGGCAGCAGATCCTCCATCCCCTACCCTGGTCTTCTACCCTCCAACTAAAAGGCACCTGGGATGGGGCCCAAGCTGGAGCCTCACAGGCAGAATTCTGCCACATCTGGCTTTTGCTCAGACAGGGTTTCTCGACCTTGGGACCAGGGACAATGGGGGCCTGGAAATCGTTGCAGGGGTTGTCTCATGCATTTTAGGACATTTAGCAGCATTCTTGGCTTCTATCCACTAGATGCCAGTAGCAACTTCCCCATCTCCCCCAGCTGTAACAACCAAGAATGTTGCCAGACATCGCCCAATGTTCCCTGTAGGAAGCAAAGTCACCCCCAGTTGAGAACTGCTGGCTTAGGATCCTTGGCTTCCATAACCATGGAACATGCGGCTGGACATGAATCCTGTCAGATTAGAGTACAAATCCTAACTCCACCCTGAGCTAGGCAGTGAGCTGTCCATAAATGACTCCCATGTACAGGGCTCCAGAGCAGCCCCTTTTCTTGCAGGGTGGGAAAGAGACTGCAAAGGGGAATGACACAGCCACACGATTTAGCCTGTCACCGGAGACTGTCCTTGAGAGGAAAACCTAAGAGTTTCCCTCCTAGCAACTCCTCTAAGTGGAATCTCTGATCAACCTTCCTAGCTTCAAAGTCTTGCTGTTCTCTTTCTAGACCACCTTCTGTTTCCTCCTAGGGACATGTTCAAGACTTGTCTAAGCCAGTGTGAAACAGTTACTTTCCTCATTCTCCCAATTGGTAAATCCCACCCTTTCACCTTCCCTAGATTTTGGGGGCCCTGCATGCTGAGGCCAAATCTCTCTCTGTCCACATGTCACAAGAACACCCTGGAATTCTGTCCTTTCCCATCCTGCAAGGACCCTACTCCTAGAGGTAGCCGGCAGGACTCACCTGTCAGACACCTTCTCGGAGCCCACGAACAAGCTGCTTCGAAGGAGGCCAGCTCGGGTGCCCAGGAATGCCAGGTCCACCCCTTGCTCTGACTCACTGTGAGGTAGACAGAGTGGGAGCAATGAGCACGCAGACGTGGCTACAGTAGGTCCCTGTGGGGGTCTGCAGAGAGCTTGGGGAAAGCCTGGTGCAGGGGGCTTGCTAGGAAGCCTGAGCTTCCTCAGCTCCCAGGAAGTACCTTTCCTTAGCTGCCCCCCTTTGGCCCCTGTCTCTCTGGTGTGTCAGATCTAGCTCCTCATGTGTCCCCTGGCTTTGGGGGAGTTGGTCCTGGAAGGCAGAGGAACCCAGGGAGGCAGATTTTGTCCCAGACCTAAAAGTAGTAACTTCTCATCACCAGCACATCCAAGGTCCTCATGGGTGTTGAGCTTTGCAGGTTAATTTCCTGTGCGACAGGACTGTGAGGGCGAGCACCTCAGAGAAGCCCCACTAGGCTTCACAGCATGGCCAATGGGATTTGCAGAAAGAAAAATCTATTAGCTGGCTACCTTGGAGCTAAGAGTTTCAGTCTCAATACAGGTGATGATGGTGGCAGCAGGAGCTTGAAGAGGACAGCACCAGGGTGGGAGGATATAACTTCTGACTTTGCTAATATTCTTGTCCCTAGCCTCATTTCTGAGAGGCTGTTATCCAGCTCCTCTCAATGCCTCTGTCATTTTTTTATGACGGTACACGGTGGGCAACACCACAGCATCGCTAAGGGTAACATTCATCAAGGCTTGGCAGAGATGGGAGGAGTAGTACCTGGAACGGGGTGAAAACATTTGGTCTTGAGTCTAGAAAGTGGAAGAAAGGGGTCTGGAAACCAGGCATGTGCCCCTCAGCCCCAGGGGTGGAGAGAAGGGCTCCTGCACAGTGTGCCCTGAAATTACCGTGGGGCTCAACCGTCCCAGAGGCCTGAGCTTGAGGAGGCCCTCTGAGTGGTCCCTATGCACATCCAACCCAATTCTCTATTAAAAAGTATAATGAGTACTCTATGCACAACTCAGGGCAACTAGATTATCTTAAAGTCTTAGATAATTCACCAGTAAACATTTTAATTCGTATCATTAAAATGTAAGGAATTTCATTATACCCTTTAAAAAGCCCACAGTTCCTTAATATCATGCTTCAAGTTTTGTTTTGAAAGTTTGGTTGAGGGCCGGGGATGTAGCTCAGGGGTTTCAGTTCCTGCCTCGAAAGCACAAGGTCCCAAGTTTGATCTCCAGTACCAAAAAAAAAAAAGTTTGGTTGTGTCAGAATCTGATCAAGGTCCATGAATGGCTCAGCTTCCTGAGAACAGCCCAGAACGGCCACAGTGTGGGGCAAGGGTGCTCTCTGAGCACCCTCTGGTCCTCTCAGCGGGGAGAGATTTACACAAGTATTTCTGGTGAAAAGATAGCATTTCCTTTTTATTTCTCTAAGAAAAAGTATAACTTGAGTTCAAATTGGTATTTTCTAATTCATTTTTACCATTGTATTTAAATTTTTTTTCTTTAAATTTTGAAATTTGAATATCTTTCCTCTTCTCCAGAAAGTCTTTGCTCTTAAGATATTAACGTAGTTCTATTTGCTCTGTGTATTCTAAATAAGAACTCAATATCATTTCTAGCAATGTTATTACTGAGCACAGTTTCAGATTTTGTTTAATGTTTATAGCTCTAAATCCTCAAGAAAGAACTCCCCTATCTATAGTTAGTCATGAACTTGATACAAAGCTAGATATATATGTTATTGCTTTCAATGTTTAGAGATTACTTTTTAAAATTTAATTTTGTCTTATAATCATATGAAACGTTCACAAGGCTCTCACAACCAAAGTTAGTATGAAAGTAAGGCATATTCTGGAGACTGTTTCTGTATTCATCCCCCTGTTCCTTCAGTCTTCCTGTAGGTAACATTTTTTATTTAGTTTATCACCTATGCGTAACATTTTCTATTTGGTTTATCATTTTATTTAGAAAATATGTATGTGGAAAGAAGAATGTTGATTGCCAGAGGCCAAGAAGAGCAGGGAGGGCAGTTCGGGAAAGGTTGGTCAGAGGTGCTAAGTTACACAGGCAGATAGGAGTCACAAGCTTCACTGCACGCCAGGGTGACCAGAGATCATAGCAAAGTTCTATACAGTTAAAAATGTAACGGCGGGCCGGGGATTTAGCTCAGTGGTGCCGCGCCTGCCTTGCAAGCACAAGTTTGATCCCCGGTACTGAAAAAAAAAATATATAGAAAAGCTTGAATATTTTTGCCATAAGGAAATGATGCATGTTTGAGAAATAGATATGCTTGACTTGATTTAAATATTACAGTGTATACATGCTTTGAAGCATTACATCGTACTCCATCAATCTGTAGTATTTTTATGTATCAGTTAAGAGGAAATTTAAATTTAAAAAGAAAGTGAAGAAAAATATGTGTATTTGTACATACTTATGTATGTATTACGTGTAAATAATTATGAAAATATGTTTATGTTTCTTTTTAGATAAACAGTGGAAGTATTATATACACTTTATTGCTGGAGATAATTTTATGGCAGTATATACAAATATTTCTCAGTTTTTATAGCTGCATAGTATTCCACTGTGTGGATCTACCACAGTTTATTTAACTGGCCTCCTACTGATGAAAAGTTGGGTTGTTGTCAATCTGTTATAAGCGATGCTTTAAGTGAATAGTTCATGTGTACATCTTTTCATATTTTTGCTTTTATGTTTTGGGAAAGATTCCTGTCTCTTTGAGATTGCTGGGTCAAAGTGTAAATGTATGTATAAATTTGCTAAATATCTCACGAACATTACCTGCTGACAAACTTAGATGGTTATCCATTGAGCAAATAAGAAGTACAGTTTTGGTACAGTCTTAATATGTATTTAATATGCATAGCTAGGTTGAGCATTTGTTATATATTTAGGGGCTCTTTGGATTTCTTCTAAGAACTGTCCATATCTCTTGAGCACTTTTCTTGATAGTAGCTGGTCTTTCACTTCTCTACCCTTGAAATTCTTTATTTCTCATGAATATATAATATAGAGATAATAACGCTGTCTGTTTCATAATTGCAAACATTTTTCCATTTGTCGTTACTCTTTTTACTTTGCTTATGTTTTCATTTTTGCCATACAAACATTTTTGTGTGGTTAAATTTGTCCATCATTCCTTTATTGCTTCTGAATTTTGAGTCATTGTTGGGGAAGGTTTCCCCACTCCTAGATTTTAGAGCAACTGGCTCATGTTTTCTTTTAGTACTTATATGATTTCATTTTTTTTTCACATTTAAATCTGAGTCACTTGGACTTTACCCAGGTGTATGGTGTGAGAAAAGAACACAATTATATCATTCTCCATATGGCTCTCCAGCCAGTTATTAAAAAGTCCCTCTCTCCAGCTTGGAACCAACACAGTGCTTTGCCACAGGCTGTCCCCACATGGGTGTGGGTGAGGCTCTGGACTTTCTCCTCTGTCCCCTGTATCTGCCTGTCGTTTCATGTGCCTGGACCACACTCCATAAACTCTAGAGGTTTTGTAATATGCCTTAGTAGCCGGGTGGGGCATCCTCCCTTCATTGCTTTTCTGCTCCACAGATTTTTGACTATTTTTGCTTATTCTTCCAAATGACCTTTATATTCAGTTTATCTGGATGCAGAAAAAGATTGATGGCATTACCATTGGGATTGCATTAAATTTGTAAATCAACTCAGGGAGGGTTAATATCTTTCTGGTATTGTGCCCTCTTATTTAAAAAAGCACTCTATGTCTTTCCATGTGTTCAAGTCTACTTTTGTGTCTTACAAGAATGTTTCATAATTCTCTTTATATAGTTTTTGGACTGTTCTTATAGTATATGCTTTATATATTCTTACAGCCTTCTAACATTTTTATGTTTTATGTCTTGCTGTTTTAAAGAAGATTTTTCATCTAAATATTCTTTTGTCTTTGAATGTTGACATTATAACCTACTACTTTACTAGATTCTCTTACTGGATATGATAGTTTCCCTATTAATTCATTTGAACTTTCCAAGTATATAATCATATTACCTTCATTTACTTATTTATTTTCACTACAGGTGGAACCAAGGCCTCACACATGCTTGGTAAACACTCAACCACTGATCCACACCTCAGCCCTAATCATATTATTTTTAAATAGAGATAAATTTACTCCTTCCTTTCCAGTACACCTTGCCTCTAAGTGCTGTCATGTGTTTAGGTGCACCAATACCCCTGGCTTGTCACCCAAGAGTGGGGAAGTGTCTTGCTTGATCCTATCTTCAGCAGGAGAGCCTCAAGCTCTGTTAAGATATTAGCTTTTAGGCTTAGGTCAATTTTATCAATTTATTAAAAACATGAATGGATATTTGTTCAAGCGCATTTTCTGCATCTATAGAGATGACTATAAAACTTAGCCTTTCAGTTTTAAATTATTTTATATTAATTACCCAGGTCAACTTCTGTAAAGCACACCCTGGTTAAGGACATTTGCTTCTCTATGTTTTGCACCACTAAAAAGCCTCTATAATTCATCTCTGAACTTGGAAAGAGCACGGTGGTACCCCTCCCCTCAGACCTAATGATCAGCCCCCTGCAGAAGAGGCACAGGGGCTCATGTCTGGACCCTGGATTCCAGCTTGGCCGCATATGAGGCACATGACCTTGAACAAGTTGTTTGATCCTGGTTTCCTCATTGGTGAAAGAGAGATGACAGCACCCATATCATATGGTTAATAAGCATTAGGTACTTAAAATGGTGCCTGGCCCTGTTTCTTTCCGTATTTTAGGGTTTATTTCGTAAGGCTCCTACACTGCATGGTTCACAATTGTACTAAAAAGTTATACAGTGCAGTGTCCTTTCCACACCTAGCCCAGTTCCTCATGGTTTTAACCAGGAAAAATCAATGAGAACCTGTCCTAAGCAGCTTCCCACAGGTACCACATGTGTGGATAATATGCGCACATGCACGTATACACTGTGTTCTCTCCCCTCTTGTGCGGAAATGGTAGCATACAATGCATACCCCTTCACACCGTGCACCAGGATAGTGTTACTATAAGATTCTGTGGGAAGACTTATTAGGATATCAGTAATAAGCTAATTTATTGAATGTGCAGGGGAGGCTTGAGATCTTCGTGTGTTGGATCTTCTTATTCAGGAACAAGATATGGCCCACTGTCATCTTTTTTTTTTTTTTTTTTACTGGGGATTGAACTCCGGTCCTTGCGCTTGTGCACCAGGAGGCGAAACCACTGAGCTAAATCCCCGGCCCAGCCCACTGTAATCTTAACTTTATCAACATCACACTGTTCCCCAACACTCATTACCCGCCCTCCCCACGCTGCCACGACACTCATCTTTCTACCTGGCCACTGAACACAGTGACACCAGGGAAAAGCCAGCAGAGGGAGTGAGGGAATCTAAAGGGTTACGAAACACTCCCTTTGCCGGTCTTTGCTTGGTGTCACTCTACATGACCTTCTCTCCTGGAAACTAGGCTCCAAATTACCTAAACTGCCCTCACAGGAGCTCTTGGGTTGATGGGCATCCTTGGGCAGAGTCTAACCCAGAGAGCAGGTCCTTGGAAGGGGGCTGCCCTGGGGTGAGGCCTAGATCTGTGCCTCAGGGGACCTGCACCTGGTGTTTATTCAAAGTGAGGAGCAGGCAGCAGCCCTGGGCTGTGTAGAAGCTTTGCAGAGCCCCACTTTCCAGAGGGCTTGGTGTGAAGGTCGTTCCTGCCCTGTACCTCACTCTACATGTTCCTGTCCTCATCTATGCTGTCTGAAGCCAGAGGACTGGATAGTCTCCTGAGCTGCCAGCCAGGTGCTGGGAGGACTCCTGACTCAGCCAAGGGTTACTGGGGGCCTGAGCAGCAAGCTGCTTTTCCTCCATGGAACCCTCAGCCCCTCCTGGTACGTACTCAGAGATATTGAGAGCCAGCGCTGTCCAGTAGGCTTCCATGGGGGCAGTCACCACTGCGTCAAACAGCACCTCCCGCACCAGCTCCTCATCACCTGGGGGCAAAGTCACAGGAGAGCAAGCCATTTGTTTCCCCTTCTCCAGGGAGCTGCCCAGTGGTGTTTGTGCAGAGGAACTTAAGGACTGAGCTTGGAAAACCCTCACAGGCTATAGGCTCTATGAGGCCATCTGGCCAGACGTTCTTGTTGGAACTTTAGCACACAGACTATCAGCTGTTTGCCCAGGGCCCTGCTAGGTGATGGTAGGGACAGAGCTGACAGCAGGTGGATGCCCTTAACAGTGCTTGGTGGACAGAGCCTCCAAAGGATGTCAGTCCCTGACATGGGGCAGCCTAGGTCACCACAGTTCCCAGTGAGTAGTGTTTAGTTTGGACCTGTGGTGAGGCTGGCCACGCCTTCTCCTCTGAGATTACCCTTGTTCTTCCTAGACCACTCCCGTGTTCCAGGGATGGGCTGTGTGCAGCCCTCCTTTCCTCCCATCTCCTAACCCCCTCCTCTTTGGAAAGCTATAGGGCTCTGGAGGACAAGTCATCCCCATGGCATGGGTGGCACTCACATTCCAGCTCTGGGTCCTCCCCTTTTAGGAAGCGGATCATGGCCTCCAGCTGGCTGAGCTTCCGGTGGTCTGGGTCAATATCTGTGAGGCAGTAGATCCTGGAACCCAGGAGAGTCCGTGTTACCTCAAAAACCCACCTTTCTCCCTCCCATCCTCTATTCCTGCTTACCAGTCACTGGCCAGGGTCAGATCTGGGTGAAGCAAGTCGTGCAGGCCTGGAACCAGAGTGCGCAATTAGGACAATGTCCCTGCCTGGGGTGTCTCCCCGGTGCCCAGAGACAGCTGCCCGGTATGATTCTGTAGGACGGCTGCGTTCTGGTCTTTCTCCTTCACAGCCAGAGGAGGAGCTCAACTGACTGGACATTGACAGGTTTGCATGGAGCAACCTGTGCCCAAATCCCAAATGCTCCTCGGGGCTGGGATGAGCACCACATCCTCAGTGAGCTACCAGCCAGCCAGAGATCATCTTTTCCCTCCTTCTGCTTTCAGGTCATCCCTCGTTTTCCAGGTTGGATTCCAGTCATTATAGACAGGCTACATGCAGCAGCTACATTTAATTCCCCGTAGCATCTCCCTCCGAGGAACTGGTACTTTGAAGCCCGTACTCCCCCCCCACCCCGCCCCGGCTTCACTGGCTCCCTTGGGCCCCACTGAGCTGTGGCCATGAGAAATGAGGGCAGAGGTGGGCCATGTGTGTCCCCTAGCTCTCTGTGCCCCCTGCCCTGCTCAGGGCCTGCACTGATTGCGCTCAGTATTTAATTGTTAATTGAACGAGCAGTTGCTGTACGGCTCCTGCCCAGCACTCAAACATAAACAGGTGCTGCAGTTTTGTTAAATTTGCACTCTCTCTCTTTCTTTCTTTCCCCCTCTCTCTTTTTGGTACTGGGGATCGAACTCTGGTCCGGAATCACTGAGCTAAATCCCCGGCCCAGTTTTGTTAAATTTGTAGGACAAGATGATGGAAAGGCCAGCCGGCATCCGGGAGGAGCCCTTTGAAGGAAGGCTGGACCGACATAGACACAAATAGCTACAGAGTTCAATCTCGGCCTCCAGAGCCCAGCTGACCGCGTGACTTGGCGCCCCGGACCAGAAGTGGGTCTGTTCCCTGGAGTGATGTCACATGGGAATACCTGGGTGGAGGAAGAAGACACAGGGAAGACCAGGGAGTGTGACGGCTTGGGGGGCTTCTGAAGGCAGAGGAGGAGGGGACTCTGATATCCGGCAATCTCTCTGGAAGGGCAACGTGGGGGCGCCAGGTGGGTGTAGGCAGGGACTGCCTGCGGGAGCTCTCTGAAGAGTGGCACCCGTGCTGGGACCTGATGGTGGGTCAGAGCGAGCTGGGAGAAGAGGCGGGGGCTGGAGAGGAGTGCATTTCAGGGGGAGCAGAGCACCCAGGAAGACCTTGGTGGTCAGTCAGGGGGAGTGAGAAGTTCAGAAAGCTGTTAGCAGTGACGTGGTCAGACTCGGCACTTCTAGAAAGATCGCTGGGGCTGATGTTCAGAGAAAGACAGACAGAGCCTACTGGGAGGCCATGCTGGTGGTCCAGGGAAGAGGCGGTGACGGCTGGGGTGGGAGAAGGGTGGAGCAAAGAGCTGCTTTAAAGGGATAGTAAAGGCGGAATGGGGAGAATGTGAGCACTAAATAGAATGGTGGCCACATCTTCCAGGGGCTTCGGGGGACACTTGGGCCCCTGGCTGCCAGTCACGTTCTGTCAAGGTCCCCAGGTAGCTTGAGTGGGGTGGGGCCCCTCCTTGCTATCCACCCCCACTCTCTTTCCTCCCTCTCTCAGGTTCACCCCTATAAGCTCCCTGTTAGGGGACCAGGTTTATCCCCTCAAAATATATGCAGCAGTCCTGACCCCTGGTACCTCTGAATCCGAGCTTCTTTGAAAATAGGGTGTTGGCTGCTGTATTCGAGTTAAGGCGAGGTCACGAGTGGGCCCAGGATCTATGTGTCGGGTGTCCTCCTGGGAGGACAGAGGGGACACAGGCAGACACACCTGAGGGGAGCGGGCGCTGCAGCGATGAAGCGGGAAGGCAACCTCAGCCGAAAGCTGAGGAAGGCCTGGGCCACCAGAGGCTGGAAGAGGCAATGAAAAGTCCTCCCGCAGGGAGCCCGGCCCCCAGAACTGGGAGAGAATACACTTCTGTGTTTGAAGTCACGCATTTTGTGGTGCTTTGTTGTAGAAGCCTGTATGAATAGACGGGCTCCCTCACTCTTTTAGATTTTTATTTGGAGACAGAGTCTGGTAAGTTGCCCAGGCTGGCCTGGGACTTGCGATCTTCCTGCTGCAGCCTGTGGAATAGCTGAGGCTGCAGGTGTGTCCACTGCTCCCTGCTCAATCCCTCACCCTTCCCACCTCCTTTCTACCCTCTGGGTAGTCTTGTGATGAAAAATGCAGTTTTGCAAAGAAATGCATCTCTGGACAGCCCTTCTCTCTAGCTTAGCAAGGCCTCCCAGGATCTGACAACGCAGGGCTGACAGTTCTTTGGCTCTGTTGATGATTGACTGCTGGCAGTCACAGGACACACAGTGCCCTTCTCTTCCAGGGGTGCTGTCTCCCAGGCTGCGTGCACTTAAGCCTGGGACTGCAAGGTGGCCAGTTTGGTCCCACCCAGGACCCTGGGAAAATCCCATCAGCACTTGGCCAACTCACCTTCTTCCACAGATGTGTTTCCCAGAAGGATGCGCTCCCCATGGCCCCTGGACAGCACCATGCCCAAGCTGGAAACAGAGAGAGAGAGAGGGGAAGGCACAGGCCTGGAGCACCACTAGCTTGTGATCAGCCCTTCGTCCTGAGAAAGGTCCTGGGAACACCACACCAAGGACTCCTCACACTGTTTTAATCGAGGCCCATCCTGCACGTCACAGGACCCCCTGACATAAGGAGAGGTCTGTGTGGCCCAGGAGCAGGACAGTCCTTTCCCACCGGCTGAGTACTGCCAGCCTTCTCCTGGTGGAACATCAAGTATGAATCCTTGGAGCTTTAAAAGCTGTAGTGCCTGGGTTCCACCCCAGGAATTTGGAACCACTCGGTTTGCTTGGGGGGTAAGCACGGTAATTTTACAAAACTCCCCGTGTATTCAAATGAACAGTCAGGACAAGGAGACAGGGCTTTGATGAGAAACAAAGTAATTCAGAAGCAAGGACCATTTGTTTCCCAATTTGTGCAAAGCTTAGAGTCAAATATTTGTACAACTGGGGCTGGGGATTTAGCTCAGGGGTTCTGCCACCTGCCTCGAAAGCTCAAGGTCCTGAGTTTGATCCCCGGTACCAAAAAAAAAAAACAAACTCTGTACAACTGAAGAGAACCTAAAAGATGTTCCAATTTGATCCTTTCATCTTATAAAGGCACTGCTTTGCAATTTTTAAGTAGATCATGTCATTTCATCCTCACAGCACTGCCAAGAAATAGCTACCATTATTAGCTCCATTTTATAGATGAAGAATCTACGGCATAGAGAGGTTAAATAACTTAAGGTCCCACAGCCTGTAATTATAATTGGTGGCCTTGGGATTCAAACCAGGAGTTTGGCTGCAGAACTAGTTTGGTTGCAGAACTGCAGAACTGCAGAACTGGTTACACTGGCAAAGCAGGCCTAGACTCATCTGAATGGTGATCTGGGTCTTTTGCTACAAAACTTCCAATATGAGACAATCCATCCCCCAAACCTGAAAGTTGCACCCTGAGTCACCAGTGTTCATGTCCCACCTACCCTCTTTCCTGCTAATAAGGTGAGGGGTCCCTCACCTGAAAGGTGTGTCACTGATGTCCGTGAAGAAGTAGTCATTGGTCAGGAAAAGGACTCGCTTCTGAGAGAGCAGAAAGGAAGTATGCTTGGTGGAGAGGAGAACAGCCACCCGAGTCTCTTCACCTCCTCACCCACCTCCTGGCCACCTCCCTGGCTATCCCACTATGCCCTCTTACTCACACCCATAAGAGGATCATCTCAGGTCCAGAACATTGTGGCCCAGGGTGGGAGTGGTGTTGTCTGGTCTAAGACCAACGTCTGCACCTGCCCTGTCATCATGGTGACCCCACGGTGTGGCTACTGAGCATGTGCAATATGTGACTGGTAAACTAAATATTCAAATTTTAGTTTATTTTGATTTATATGAATTTAAATGATAGCCAGTGTGGCTGGTAGCTATAATATTTGGTGATTCCAGGGTTCCTATGGGGTCAGGATGCTAGGGGTAGGGCTGAAAGCTTTTAGAACATATGCAAACAGTCCACTTACAAGCTTCCCTGCCTAGAGTACAGCCCAGGGAGAATGGAGACACCACAGCCTCTCCACGGCACCCGCCCCCAGCTCCATCGTCCTTTTACATCCTTTTCCTTTGTAAAGCTGTCATCTTTGCAGTTGCCGCTTAATTTGTAGAATCAGCATGTCAGGTGATACATACAGTGGCCAAGGGTACTGGCTGGGCTGGGCACATGGCTTTAGCCCAGCGTAGCCACTCACAAGTTGCATGCTCTAGGGCGAGTTACTTCTCTAAGCATCAGCGTACTTGTTTGTAAGCCAGGGTGAAGGGGAATATCTCACAAGTCAAGTTGCTGTGAAATTGTGTTCTGGGCTCTGAAGCTCTGTGGAATATGCTGTCTCAGATTACAAGATTATGTCAGTATGAAAGCCAAAGCCTGCAGTTGGCCCAGGATCTGTACTATTTTCCTACTTCTGTCTGACTTTTCTTTACTTTGAAAATTGGAGTGAAATGTTGGAAGGGACACAGAGGAAGGGTGTGCCAGGAATGGTTTGCTTTCTAGAGGAAAAGGGCTTTAGAACAAGCCAGGCGCCTGGCTCTCCCACCCTGTCCTCAGTGTCCAGCCAGGCCCTCCTGACCCCTCTGTCACTCAGGTCCCTGAGATCCCCCACCACAGCAGTCATGGTGATGTCTCCGGAGATGTGCGGAGGGAGTTGGGAATCAGCATGGGCGGTAATGACTTGAGAGCCCTGGGAAACAAGATGGGCTGGCTTGAGCATCAGACTTAGAGGTCATCTTTTTTATTTTTTCCTTTTTTTTCAAAATTGAAAAAACGGTGAATCACATAGATCTTAACTGTATCATTCAATTAGTTTTGATTAGTTTGTATATAGCCAAGAAATTACCTCCCCATTAAGATCTGGGATGCTTGCATCCTCTACAATCTCTGCCTAGCCCTTCTAGATCATCTGCGTCCTGTGCTCTAGAGCAAACCCTAGCTCTCAATTCTGTCCTCACAGAGTAACTTGCCTTGTTTTTATGGAATGCACTCCTTTGGTCTGGCTTCTTTTGTGCAGCAACATGTTTTTAAGATCCATTTACATTGCTGTGTATATCAGGAGTTTGTTCTTCACTGTTGTAGTGCTACAATGTATGAACACACCATAGTTGGTTCTATAGCCACCTATGGGTGGATACTTGGGTTGTTTCTAGTTTGGGATTATAGTGGATAAAGCTGCTATAACCACACTGAAACACATTTTATGGACACGTGTTTTCATTTCTCTTCATAAATGAGTAGAAATGGAATTGCTGAGCCATTTGGTAAAATATATGTAGCTTTATTTAAAGAAGCTTGCCAGTTTCCCAATTGTTTTACTATTTTATACTCTCACTACTTGTCCAGTAGAGTTTGAATTTCTCTACATCCATGCCAGCATTTGGTTGTTAAAATTTTAGCCATTTTATAGGGTGGTAAGTGGAATCTTCTAGTTTTAGTTGGCAGTTTTCTGATGACTTACAGTTGTTAAGCATTCTTTTAAGTGCTAAGTAGTCGGGTGCACATCTGTCATTATGATATGGTTGCTCAAGTACCTTGTACATTTTTTTAACCAGATTTTTAGCCTTTTTGTTGTTGCTTTGTAGGAGTTCTTTATGTATTTTTGGGAATATTTGTTTTCATTTTAATTTCCTTGCTTTTTAATTTTCTTACAATTTCTTGTATTTTTCACTTCTTTTGCTGAGCAGAACTTTATACTTTTAAGTAAGTTCAGTTTATTCAATTTTATTTTATATTTAATGCTTTTTGTGTTGTACAAATTTCTTTTTGTATATCCTTTTATTGGTACATTTTAGGTGTACAACATAATGACATTCATCATTGGAGATAGGCACCTTTACCTATTCTCTTGGTTCTTATTTTTCCCCCTTCCCCTGCCTTCCCTGTCCAAAAATTTTTTGCATACCCTCAAGTTGAAAAGTTTTTTCTTATATTTTCTTGTAAAAGCTTTATAGTTTTAAACTTTATATTGAGGGTTGTAATCCACCTCAAACTAATTTTTTAAAATTTTATTTTATTTTTTTACTTAAATTATTTTATTGGAACTTGTACCTTTACATGATGCATCTTGGTTCTTATTTTTTCCCCATTCCTAGCCCTCCCTTCATCCCCTCCACCCTTCCCTATTTACAAAGACTTTGTTTCCATTTTTTCCATTTCTTATCATTTTTCCTTTCCCTTCCCCTCCCACTACCCCTACCCCTTTGGACCTTTTCTTCCTATTTTGCATTATCGATTATTCATTCTAATCATTGGTACATTTTAGGTATACAATATAATGACATTCATCATTGGAAATCTGCACCTTTACATAGTCTCTCTTGGTTCTTATTTTTCACCCTTGCCCAGCCCTCCCTTCAACCCCTCCAGTCCTCCCTATTTACAAAGATTTTGTTCCTATTTTTCCATTTTCTCATATTAATCCCATTCCCTTCTATCCTTTCCCCTAGCCCTCCCACTTCCTTCCCCTTTGTCCCTTTTCTTCCTAGTTCACATTACCTATTATACATTTAGTCCTTATTTACACTTTCAGTTTCTCACACCAGAGAAACTATTCGGTATTTATTCATGTGTGTTCTATTTATTTCACTTAAGAGTATGGCCTCAATGTGCATCCACTTAGCTATAAATGTCTCTAATTTCTCATTTTTTATGACTGAGTGGTACTCCATTTTATAAAAAAACCACATTTTCTTTATCCAGTCTCCAGTTGATGGGTATTTGGGCTGTTTCCAAGTTTTAGCTATTACAAACTGTGCTGCTATGAACATGGGTGCACATATATCACTGTGGTGTGATTCTTTTGATTCTTTGGGGAAGATCCCCAGCAGTGGAATAGCAGGGTCAAATGGGACTTCCAGTCCTAGTTCTTTGAGGTATCTCCATACTGATTTCCACAGTGGTTGCACCAGTCTACACTCCCACCAGCAGTGGAGCAGGGTTCCTCTTTCCCCACAGCCCTGCCAGCATTTGTTATTGGTTGATTTCATGATAGCAGCCATTCTTTCTGGGGTGAGGTGGAATCTCAGCATTGTTTTCATTTGCATCTCTCCAATGACCAGTGATGTTGAACATTTTTTCATGTATTTATTTGCTATTTCTACTTCTTTGTCTGAGAAATGTCCGTTCATTTCAGATGCCCATCTTTCGATTGGGTCTTTAAATTTGGGAGGTCTGATCTTTTTAAGTTCTTTATAGATTCAAGATAGTAGACCTTTGTCTGAGGAAGAGCAGGTGAAGATTTTTTCCCACGTTGTGGGTTGTAAAGACATTATCTTATTGTTTCTGAAGGAGAAGTTAGCCATCATTATTTTCCTCTCTATGATCCATCTTTTTCTTCTAAATTCTTTGAAAAAATTTTAGTTTTCAGTAGCTGATCTATTTTGTGCTCAGATGTGGTTTTCTTTTTATTTTTACTCTGCATAGGGTTTCCTGAAATTATTGAATCAGTAGATTGATGTTTTCACCAAATTCAAGGCTCCCTCAACCATTAGTTTTTCAAATCATCTTTTCTCTTTTCCTTTTGAACTCCGTATTAGCCATCTTTCCATTGCTGTGACCAAATACCTGACATAGAGAACTTAAAGGAGCTTTCAGTCCATGGTCAGCTGGCTCAGAGGCAGAGCCATTATGGAGAAAGGGCATGGCAGAGGAGAGCTGCTCACCTCATGGCTACTGAGAAGCTGAGTGATCAAGAACCAAAGGAGGGGCCGGGGATTTAGCTCAGTGGTTTCGCCACCTGCTGCGCAAGTGCAAGGACCTGAGTTCGATCCCTGGTACCAAAAAAAAAAGAACCAAAGGAAAACATATACCCTTCAAAGGAATATCCTGCAGTGACCTACTTCTTCCAATTAGGCTCTACCTCCTAATATCCCACCTAGCTATAAACTCATCCATGAGCTAAACCATTGATGAGGTTATCACCCTCAAAATCCAGGTGTCTCTTAATCCAACCAACATGACAGTCAAGATAACTGTCACAAGTCAAGAACATACATCACTTGATATTGTCCCACTGGTCACTAAGGTTCCCTCTCACCCTCCTTTCCTTTATTCTTTTCCAGTTCTTTTCCTGTTCTTCAAACTGGGTAATTTCTATTGAGCTATTTTCAAGTTCACTATCCCTTCTCCAATGTGCTTGTAAACCTATCCAGTAAGAATTTATTTCAGTTATTGCATTCTTTGGTTTTAAAAATCTCTATTTGGAAGCACAAGCAAGAAAAGCAAAAATATATAAAAGAGTGTGACTATATATAATTTAAAAGCTTCTGCTCAACAAAATGATAGGTCAACCTATAGATTGAGGGGAAATATTTGCAAACCATATATTTGATAAAGGGTTAGTGTCTGAAATACATAAAGAAGTTATACAATTCAATAGCAAAAGCCCAAATAACCCAATTTAAAATGGGCAAAAGAGCTAAATAGATATTTCTCAGAAGTAGACAGTAAAATGCCAAAAGGTATAGGAAAAGGTGCTCAACATTACTAATTATCCAGGAAGTGCAAATCAAAATCACAATGAGATGTCACTTCACACCTGTTAGAATGCCTTTTATCAAAAGACAGAAAGTAGCAAGTGTTGGTGAGGGTGTGGAAAAGCGGAGCTGTCGGAGAAGATGCAGACTGGTGGGAGGGGATGCACACTGTTAGAAGGGAAATAGATTGATGGTATAGGTTTGTGCCACTATTGTGGAAAACAGTAGGAAGTTTCCTAGAAGAATTAAAAATGGAACTACCATATGACCTTGCAGCCCCTCTGCTGACCATACACCCAAGAGAAACGAAATCACCATCTTCAAAATATCTGCAAAATAGCTCATGTTCATTGCTCTCTTATTCACAATAGTCAAGACATGGAAACAAGCAGTGTCTTTTGATGGATAACTGGATAAATAAATTAGAAGAAAAATATATACCTTATATATGTAATGGACTACTATGGAGCCTTAAAAGGAGATTTTGGCATTTGCAATGACATGGATGAACCTAGAAAGCATTATGCTAAGTGAAATAAGCCAGACACAGAGAGACAAATGCTGCATGATCTCAATAGAATCATGCAGAATCTTAAAAAAAGTGCAAATACATATAAAGAGATAATAAAACATTAATTACTAGGTGGTGACAGATGGGTGGGTGGAAAAGGAGAAAACGTGTAGCTCAAAAGGTCTGAAGTTGTAGGATGAACAAGTCTGTAGTTAATAACATCATATCACAGGCTGATGATTGTCCAAGAGTGTAAATTTTAGGTCTCCTTAGCCCAAAAAAGAAAAAAGGAATATATACATATATTTTTATCTATACTACATATATGATTACATTATTTGTTGGCTACAATAATCATATCATTAGGTATATGAATATGAATACTTTATTTGTATACTGTAAATATATATAGTAAAGTAGGTCTAATGTAAAAAAATGTTCATTCTGTTCTTGTAGTGATTTTGTACCATGTCAAACAGCTCAGCTGGGAGTACATTGTTTCCTGGACTTGATGATCCCTGTGTGGGTCCAAGATGGGTTGCCCAAAGCAAAGTCTGCCAGAGACTTTCAAGTATTCAGTCATTTCACAACAGCACAGGTGACTGTGACCCGGGAGACCTGAGTGATGACAGATATTCCCACAATGTTTTAAGAAAGTTTTCCTTCCTTGGCCTGGACCTGTACTAACCATTGTTTCTACAGAGGAACCAGCTTATCAACTGAGATGCACTACTCAACTGAGAGGGCCACGATGGATGGGCAACTGGAACACACTGATAGTTGGTGGACTTGTAGGAAGAGAAGACACAGAGACAGAGCTGTTGGTGGTGAGAAAAAGCAGCCACGTCAGAGAAGAGTGGCATCATAACAGGCCAGAGCAGGGAAAGGCTCAGTGCCCCTGAGCTGGCCCCATACACAACGTGGGCCAGGAGCTTTTGGGGAAAGAGCAAAGACAGAAAAGATTAAAGAGGGCTAAATGAAATCTAATGGGGTAGAGGGAGTGTACACATCAGTGTTCTAAAATTTTATTTGTATTTGCAGTGTTGGGGCTTCATTCATGCTAGGCAAGGCTCTATCACTGAGCCCAAGATACCAGATTTTAAGACAAAATAGAAATAGTATTTCAAAGACACTTAAGAGAAACTTTAAAGTTAGAGAGTTGAGAATTCAGAGCCAGTGCTTCAAAAAAGACTTAGCCACTAGAGGTTAGGAGGGTGTAGTGTAGAATTGCAATGTATTATCTGGGTGACACCAGGCAAGATTTTGGCTTCTCTGAATGGCCAAAAAATAGGAAGAGGATAGCACTAACCTTGTTAGGTGGTGTTAAATGATTGAATACTTGAAAGTGCTCAGCCCCGTTTCTAATAAGCGTGGGCCACCATTATTAGTACAATTAGTAGTCATTGTAAGACATGAACATCTAATATGCTATGAAATATCTATTACAGTTCTTTCCCTCCTCCTCCCCTTCTCTCCTCCTCCTCTTGTACATCAAAGCACCTGTGTATCAGGAAGTTTTGGTTAAATTAGTAATATGTAGCCTGGATGGTTAGCAGCAATGAATACATTTTGACGGGATAGGTAGATATTTCTGGGAAAGTTCAGACTGCTGGGTCTGGTTAGGACTCTGCCTTGTGACTTGGGGGAGTGTGAAGACAGCATGAGGACACTGGGCCCTGGGAGAAGAGAGTGGAAGACAAACCACACCCACTGAGTTGATGTGTCTGAGGCGTGGCACGGCCACACTGAAATCTGTCTTCAGGTTGCTGAGCTGGGTGTCCCTTGCATATTACAGGTTCCATGATGGGGTAAATGCTCTAGCAGGCCCAGAGCTAAATGGTCTGGATAACAGCCCTCTTGCATGTGAGCAGGAGTCCGGCTCAGGTAAGGATGGGGTGAATGGAAGAAATCTTGGCTTTTTTGGATCAGGAGAAGGAGCAGCTGTCCCAGGTGGCCTGATACCATCCAAATTGCCCATTCTTCCCTTCTCACCCCAGGGCTTATAAAAGGCCACATGGAGGCCACAGCAATCAGATGGGAGTCACAATGAACAGCAGCCCATGGCCCAAATGGGATGCTTTGCTTCCCAGCACTTTCTTGTTTGGCCTCCATGGAGGGCTGGATTTGTGGGAGAACTCGGGTCTAATTGCTGCAGACAGATGCTGTGTTCTCTGAGCCGAGGCAGATGGGCAGCGGGAGGAGGAGGTGGGGGTGGCTGTGTGGGAGGAGGTGACATTTGTAAATATGTCAGGGGACAATGCAAAATCAGTAGATGCAATGGGACCTGCTAAGTGAGGAGATGCACTGGCCTTTTCTAAATGATGTAAAGATAGTAGTGGTATCAACAAGGGTATTGATTCCTGATTCTCTGTGATTACAGTGGGTGAAAATCAGCTACAGGGTATAGCAGGATATTTTCAACCTCTTCTCCCATGACATGTTTTAGCAGAGCTGCTGACAAGTTGCACATTAACTGTCACTTTTCCCCTTCTCATAATAAACAACCAAAGGCCCAAACAGGCAGGCAGGCAGCAAAAGGAAGAAGAGCTGTAGATGACTTGGGCTAGCCTGCCGCACCCACCAGTCTCCAAAGAGCCAAGCGTGGGTGTGAACAGGAGTGTGGCTCCTTGGCCAGGGTTTCCCTGGGGCAGCCACTTCCTTGGCCAGGCCTCTAACCAAGCTCTCTAGGCTACAACAAGCACCCATATAATCTTGCTTTAAGCTAAATCTGAATCAAATATCAACGAAAAGGTTGAAACTTGCCTTCCTAGAACCTCATCCTGGTTCAATATCCAGCTCCTTACCCCTTTGTCCAGAGGAACCTTCACATCCATAGAGAAAGAACCTGTTTCCCCATTGATCATGGCTGTTCTCAGCTTCAAGAGGAAAGAGAATAGTGTTAGTTCCATGGCTCAGACCGGACGATGCAAGGACCTGAACTTTACTGCTCAGATTACAGGGGACCCCTTGGGACACTTGATTCTTCCCTTTTTCCTCCGAGCAGAATACCGGGAGGGAAGAGAGACCTGACTCCAGGTGCCATCTAGTTTATAACTCTGGGTAGTCACCAAGACAATGCTCCAAAGGTGCCTGAGGCATTGGAGGATTCAGATTCATGTTGCTGAGCCCTAATTTCCTCTAAGATATCACATGGAGACTAACACACCATGGAAACTCAAACTCAGTAGTTTAGAGATGTGGATTCATTCTGCCTTATAATTCCTGTGACTTAAGAAGATATATTTACATAGCTGTTAAAAGAATTACACCTTATGGGAATTCTGGCCGGGGTTTGTAATCACTCTGGGATTGAACCACTTTGCCTGGGAAGTACAGAGAAACCTCACAGCCTGCAGCCAGCCATTCATTGGTTTGATACAGAGCTACATAAAGCAACTTCTTATTGCCCTCCTTTTCCCCACTCACGACTCCAGCTTGGTCTTCCCACTCCACTTCAGAGAGGTCCACGCTGTTGTAGTTGGGTTTGGGCTTCAGTTTCTTCCCCTCTCTGTACTGGAGTGGATGGGCAGGAAGGAAAATACCAGGTTAGCATGTGGTCCTACTTCTATTTCCTCTATTACATAAAGCCTTTCATGTTTACAAATGCAATCAAAGAATTTTAGGGATTCCTTAAGCTGTCTGGACCAAACTTCTATCCAACGCACAGCTCTCCTATGCCAACATTTGTGACAGATGGTCTCATGGCCACTGGGTGGATATTTCCCACGATGAGGACCTCCCTGTTTTGTGAGTCAGCTGTCATAGTTTGGACAGCTCTAATTGTTAGAAAGTTCTTCCTCCTACAGACCTGGAATTTGCCTCCCTCTAACTTTTATCTGCTGATCTAGTGCTTTCCTCTGGAGCCACACAATGTGCTCCTCCTGACAACCCTTCAGAGGTTCAAAGGCCCTGTCACTCTTGGGACTGAATTCTCCCAGCCTGAAGTTCACAGTTTGCAGAAGGTTTGGCTCCTTCTGAATCCATGCTGCTTTGTCAGTATCACCAAACAAGGAAATTCAAGGATAAAAATCAACACATCACATGGAATCTGGGCAGTGTGATGTGGGGTGTGATCTGTGAACCAAAGCTTCCTTCTGCTCTAATGGCTGCCTAGGAGTCTGCCGGCTTCCTGGACAGTCGTCCTGCTGTGGCAGCTGAGATGATCAGTCAGTCAGACTTCGGTCTCCCTCCATCCTGTGATGCACTGTTGAATCACATATTCACAGCCATATGTTTGGGAAGAGTATTTTGCAGAGTTTTCTGCACATTTCTAATCAATTTAATCTCATTAGTTTTAGCTCATTTCTTTATGAGAACACTTTGTTGTACTCATTCTCTCACCAACTAGATTAGCCACACCTTGCAGACCCTAAGGCATCTGCCATGTGCATTTTCACCTTGTGGATAGAATTTGTGAATGGGATAGAACCAAGGGCAGATCTGCAGAGCTTAGTAACAACTTGTCTCCAACTTGTCAGCCTTAATTAACATTCTATTATAATTATTTTCTGGCCTTGACCTCCCCCCATGCTAAGACAGATAATCACAAAATTATCTATAATCAAGTCTTCAGTATTTCTCAGGTTTAGGTTAGTAGCCCCATCATAAAAGGAAAGAGGAGGGGCCAGGGATTTAGCTCAGTTGTTCCGCCGCCTGCCTTGCAAGCACAAGGACCTAAGTTCGATCCCCGGTACCAAAAAAAAAAAAAAGAGGGCTTCAAAATACTATCACCGGGGATTTAGCTCAGTGGTTTCGCCACCTGCTGCACAAGTGCAAGGACCAGAGTTCATCCCCGGTACAAAACAAACAAACAAACAAAAACCAAAAACATAAAAGGAAAGAGGATAGCTTATCATTCGGGTAAATTAAAAACCTGTCTACTTTAGTAAAATGAGGCCTCAGCAGATAGATGTTTGCATGGTTGAAGTCCTTGTCCTTGTGTGTTCTGATTCTGAGAGAGTTTTTTTCTTACTGTTTGATCATTTTTCCCCCAGGAAAGCATCATTCTTGGTTCTTGCCCATCTAGGATGTCTGCAGTGCAATCACCACAATGGCACGGACTTCATTTTCCTTTTCTTCTCCCTCATGCTGCACGACGTTCTTGCATGTTGCCTTATTGACGTCCATACTCATTGAACAGCACTGTCCTGCCATCTTTTTTAGGTGCAGTCTGTTTCTCTGGAGTGAGTGCAACACTGCACTGCCATTTCCTAAATCCTGATGCCCCCTGAAGGGTCATATTTAGCGCCTCATATTAAATCCACAATTCCACTGTGTTAGAGGCACTGACACAGGAAGAGTTCAGGCCCATGGTATGACTCACGACCTTCTAATTTATTACTAGGAACAACCTTTAATGTTTTCCTGATAGTATCTACTCTAGAGAGCTCATGACATTAGCCTTGCCACACCTCTTGTTATGTAGTCATGTCCCATGTGGTATTATTCCCTAATTGTTTAATTTGTATAAACTTTACTTTCTTAATTTGACATAAACTTCTGTTCATAGCATTCTTCAAAGCACCATAGGGTCAGGCACACAGTAGAGGCAATTCACAATATGAATTGATTGGTGAAAGCCTTGTATTTATCTGGATGACACAGATGGTGACAGGTGAGTTTCTGATCCGTGCCCTTAATTCTACAAGTGAGCTCAAGGATCAACATCAATATTATTTCTTCTTCAGTGAGGCACTTGCTAGCACTGAGGCTGTCCCCCACTGAAGCCACTGGTCCAGTACTGTGACACATTATGGGTAGAGATGCTTACCCCTCAGAGTCTGAATTGGGAGACAGAGGGGATTGGGCAGTCTCTTGTGTGCTCTGATCTCTCTCTACCATGAACCTTGTAGTTTGCCTAAAATAGCTCAATCGGTTGCCTTGGGGACACTCCATATCTACTTGAACCCAACAGAATGGACTTGGTGTAGACTGGTTTCTACAAATGACATCGAGGGCAAAGAAAATGCCCCAGGGGTGTATTGTCCTGAACTCTCTCTATTACCTGACAGAAGACTGAGGGAGAGTGCTAAGATCCCTCTGGGACTTCAGCTCCCCTACCAATCATTGCACTGAAAGGTGCAGCCATGATGGCCATGGCCAACGCCCATTGCTGTGGCCAGAGAAGGAGAGAGTCCTCCACCTTAGGGCAAAGCTTTCAGGCAGAATGGTGAAACTTTCTTTCTCAGATACCAACTGCTCAGTTGAACTCATGTGAAAATACCCCAAGGCCCTGTATCAAAATGAAGAGCTCTAGAAAGGGGGCAGGCTTACTCAGAAACATCCTAAGACAAATTCATGGGCCTTGTACCACTGACCCTCACCTGTCGTGAGAGGTCCCCTGTCATTTTTATTGTGGGCCCATTGTTCATGCCCCATTCAGGGGTCCCTGGAGTTTTGCTGATACGCTTGTTAAGCTGCAAGAGAAGCAGAGCTACTGAGGCAGTGAGGGGCCTGTGAGTAAATGTCTACTGTGCCTGAATTTGTAATGTCCTCCAAAAGCTCATGTATTGCAAGCATAGTTCCCAGCATGACACTATTAGAGGGTGGTGGAACTTTTAAGGGGTGGGGTCTAGTGGGAGCAAGTTAGGTCACTGGTGGTGTGACTTCAGAGAAGATTCTGGAATTGTGATGTGTTTTTCTCTCTGTCTCTCTTCTCCCCCCACCAATACTATATCCTCCTGCCATAATGTGTTGCTCCACCATCACCAGAAGCCTAAAAGCAATAGGTCAACTGACTATGAATTGAAACCTCCCAAACTGCAAACCAAAATAAGTCTTTCCTCTCTATAAGTTGATTTTCTTAGGTATTTTGTTATAGTAATGGAAAACGAATCCACTATCCTACAGAGCTCTTTAGCTTCAAAACTACAGCCTTAACTTACATGACCTCTGGTGTTCTTATCAATCATTTCACGTATTTTTGTCTTGTCTCTATTACTAGATTATAAACAACTTGAAAACAGGCACCATGACTTAAATGTATTTTTTTCTCATGTTATTTAATGAGTTTTGACTGATTTGTGAACTAGCCCCAAAGCCCATATTATTAGAATCCCAAGGCAAATAAGATTTGTACCTACCAAGGGTCGAAGATCAGGATGTGAGAGGATGTGGCCATTGTTAGTGTTCAGAAAGGCATATCCATGTACCCCAAGCTGCCAGAGTCAGGGATTAAGAGCGTTAGATGGCTGTTTGTATTGGATGACTGGAGTTGGGAAGGGGTTTGTGGCTGCATGATGGTTCAAGATGGCAGCTCACAGCTATGAGATTTTCAGATACAAATGTAACTGAGCCAGCATCATACTTCCACTCATTGATTCTGAAGTCCTTTCCAAATCCTACTGTTTGGAGCAACCGTATCAATGTGTGTCATTCATTACCTGACTCTTTCCCAACACATACTCTAGGGGCTTTGATGATGTCATCTCATTTACTCTCAAAGCTGAACTGTAGGGCATGGAGAAGCAAATTGAGAAACTGAGGCACTGAGCAGACAAATATCTTCTTGAAGCCCACAGAGCAAGTCATAGACAGTGATGGCAAAGGGGCCTGGAGGATAAACTATTGTTGCCATGTTCAACATTACACTTGTATGGACCCCAGATGGAGCAATCCCTTCCTAGTTATGGGCTTGTGTTGGGAGCAATGCTACATAATTCTAGGGAAAAATCATTTGAGTAGGCCTAGTTCTCCTGCCTACAGCCCAGCTAGGACATTCCAGACATAATTGCATTTTGGCCTCTGGTCACAACTGAGACCTCAGTGATCCCCGGACGCTGTAATGCTCCAGGACAAGACCACACCTGTGGGAGACGCCAGGGAGGAACCAAATCTTCATCTGCATAGTTCCTCATTGTTCTTAGATTTCCACTGCCCCCCCAGCCTTTTGTTACACCTTGTTTATCCCAATGTGAAGTACTGAACTCTGCATTTCACTTGTTACATCTGTTTCCCCGTGTACTGAATAAAAGGTGCTGCAAGCTAGGGGGCTTTTGTCTTTGCCCCCCAGAGCAACACCGATCAGACCCAAAGCTCAGCTTCTTCTCGGTCTCATTTTTCTACCTTTCCTGTCATTCGCCGTGTGCTGCCGTGGCTCGCAGGAGACCAGGACTCACTGCAGAGGTTCTGGTAACGTCCCCTTCCCCTGTTCCCTACAGGCTTGGATGCCATTGCTTGGGGAGAGGCTCTTGGGCCTGGTGGGGCAGTACAGGGAGCCTATGATTGCCCCTTTTACAGTCTAGATCCTAAATATCTCCCAAAGGCTTCCATACTAAAGGGCTGATAGGTGGGGCCTACTGGGAAAAAGTTAGGTCATTGGGATTAGGGGTGTCTTTGAAGGGCACACTGGGACTCCAGCTTCTTCCTAACGCTCTCTTCCATGCTGCTATGAGATGAGCAGCTTTGCTCCACCCAAGGTCTTCAGCATGATATGCTGTCTCATCACATGGCCAAAAGCAACAGAGCCAACCAACCATGGACTGACCCTTCTGAAACCACGAGCCAAAATAAATCTTTCCCTCTTTTAAGTTGATTTTCTCAGGTATTTTGTAACACTGATGAGAATCTGACTACCCCCCTACCCCCATCCAAGGTAGGGACTGACCCAGGCTTACCTTGTAGCGGGGTGCCAGCTTCATCAGCTCTCTCAGGGTCACATCGGAGCCCACCACACCCAGGAGAATGCCATGGGATCGCTGGAAGAGAGCCCAGGGGCAAGGGAGGGCAGGCTTCCCTGTGAACCAGGCCAGACTGGCCTCTCGGTCTTTTTAGAGCCTGGATGAGAAAGCCACTTAGGTATCAGGCAGACCTTCCTTGCAGTTAGATTTTAGCTCTCTGAATGAAAATTTAGAACCTAAATGAAAATTTAGGAAAGGCCCTGGGAGCACTCTTAGCTGTTCAGAAGATTAATGCCCAGTATTAATATTTCAGTGGTAATATTTAAATGAAATACAAAGTTGAATAAAATATTAATCTTCACAGCAGAAGCTGAAGTACTGAGATCCTAGGGACTCAGCAACACATGGGGCCAATAAGGAAGCATTTTCTGACCAGAGGAAGGATGAAAGGCTCTAGAAATTCTCTCACCAGAGCCCTTTACAACTAAGTTAGGGTCTTCCCAACCTGGTTTTGCTGGAAGGCTGGCAGAGGCCCCTTCCAGCCTTGTATCCCCAAAGTAGTGGTCCAAGGGCAGAGTGGGGTAACTGAGCCCCAACTGGCTGAGCAGAATCACTAAGGGATGGGAGCCTTTTGAACGTATAGACCTCCAGTCTCACCACCGACCAAAGATTGCAATGTAGGTAGTGTGGGACAGGGTATGGGAGCCTGCATTCAAATCCTCCCAGGGTAGCTTTGATGCTCACCCCAATCAGAAGCAACTGGCCTATAAAGGTGTTCTGGCCCCTGCTGCCACCTCTCAGGGAGTGTCGACTCACCGTTTCATTCTTTTTGCTGAAGACAGGCATGGCCACGGTAGTGAGGAGCATCAAGCTCTGTGTCTTTGAGGTAAGGAGCTGCCAGAGAGGAAAGGGCAGAGGTTGGGGGGAGTCTGAGGGCCCCATTTGTGTGCCCATTGTGCTCAGAGCACAGCGTGGAGGACCGTGGTCATCAATTCAACTATGCGGCAGGAAGAAATCTCAGAATGAGGCTTCCCTTCTCTGCCAAAGGGAGCTGGCAGGAATGCTGGGGGACAGATGACTGAGCAGGATCTCAGGCTGATGACATCGGGCAAAGTCCTGAGCCCACACCCAGCTCCTGAGCACACTCCTCAAACTCTGTCATCTTGACCAGGCCACAGATGAGCCCGAACTGGGGAAAACAGCCCATTCTGTGCCTAGCTAGAAGCAAAGGGGCTTAGCATGGCATGAGCATTTGCAGAAACCTCTGATAGGGATCTGGGGTTGCTACAAACCATAACAAAGGGCAGGTAAGGTGGAAGAAGGACAGTGCTCCAGAGCCACCCTCCAACATAAGCATGTGTGTGAGGGCTCACAGAGTGAAGCAGGGTCACCTCTAATGCTCCCAGGATGGACCCACAGCTCTCTCCTCCCAGAACTCAGAGCCAGAATCAGGCCCCGCCCCAGGGATGGCTCCTTCCACAGCCACCTCATCTCACTGTGCCAGTTCCCTTAGCAGCCTGGACAGGGGCTCCCCGCAAGTGCTCTGCTTTGAAACAAAGATGACAAGTGTGAAAAGTGCATATGCAGATATGCTGTGCAAGCCTGACCTTTGTTCACATCAACTAAAGGAGGTAGCTGAGTCATGGATGTCTCCAGGACCCTTTTTGGAAAAGGAGGAATTTTGGCCATCAGTCTTACTGTACCTCATCTGACTTTTCAGTTTTGAGCTGGGAGGTAAGGCTTTCTGAAAGTGGACCACAATGACATCCTATTGTGCTCTGTGCACAGATATACCTTTGTGGGCGACATGAATGCTCTCAAGGTTCCCTGGATGGTGGATTTGTGGAGTTGTCCGTGGGCAAGCAGCCACCAGGTCTTTGCTGGTCTCCCCTTCCCCATCCTCCTCTTAGGAACCATTCTACACTGGAGTGAGGCACAGGTGCCAAGTGGGGACATCTGTCCACCCAGTGGACTAACAGCCTCAGCTCAGAGGTTCCTGAAGTGGGTCCAGGAGTTGCTGGCCTCAGGGACTCCAAAATCACAGAGAAGCATGCTCTTCCCTTGGGGCCAGCAGTTGATGACAGACCAATAATATGTCCAGGGCATGACCTATTAGCAGAGGCCCCTTTAAAGTCAATTAATGTGATTTAAAATCCCCAATTTGGCAAATAGTTCATAAGTACTAGTAAGAGATAAGCATGCCACTGTCCTTAGATACACAGCAAGTCAGAAGAAAAGCCGAAAAAGTGAGTTTCCAGCCTCCTTTGCCCATTGGAGTCAACCTGCCACAGTGTCCTGGTTAAAGACAGGCAGATTCATGTCAGGAAGACTCCTGAGAAGTGTCCTGTAAAGGGGTGGGGCACAGCCCCCTCCCTTCCCATCTTCCCAATGCCTAGAATGTGATTTCAGTTGACTAGAATTCCACTAGAATTCCACTCTGACCAGGAGGATGAGGGTCGCATCCTAGGGACTGTGAAGGTGGCATTGGAAGAAGCCTGGGTCCCTGATGACCAGTGAGCTCCTCATCAGCTCCAAGATGCCCACCTCTAAACCTCTTTCATGTGAGGAAGAACTACACTTCCATCTTATTTATTTACTTATGGTATCAGGAATCGAACTCAGGGCCTCACACTTGCCAGGCCGGTGCAGTGCCGCTGAGCTACATCCCCAGCCCTTTCCATCTTATTTAAACCAGCATTTTCAGATCTCTCTTACTATCAGTCTGTACATCCTCACTAAAGCAGATGGCTCCATAGTCATGTGATTTGAGAAGTGGCAGGAAGGCCCCCCTTCCCCCCAAATATCTCATCTGACTTCTACCTTACGACAGCGGCTCCTACAGTCTTTTTGAAATGGGGAGACCCCGGGGTGGTGGGGCACCATGATGTGAGCTATTGGTGGGGAAGCTTTCTTCTCAGAAGAGGAGGAAGAGAAGAACAATGAATGAGGTGGCCCTCGGAGTGGAAGGAAAGACGGGCACATTTGAGCAGGGGGCCCTGTCCATGATGGGCAGCCCTGGGCAGGTGTGTGGGGGCCAGGGGTCTGGATGTCTGGGGACAGCACACTGGCAGCAGCCCTCTTAGTGGGCTGAAGGCTGCTGAGGGAAGGAAGGGAAATGTCCTCCCTTCACGACTGTTCCTGAGGAAGTATGATGCTCACCTTCTTTGACCCAGAAAGCTACCTCCTGGTTCCACAGCCACCCTCAGGCCCACCTTGCTGTCCATGTAGGCTTCTGTCCAGATGACGTCGTGGTCATGGTCGATGACCATGGGCCGGCTGAGCACGTGCAGGTATTCCATCACTTTCTCCTGGGCACCAGCCAGCGTGGAGATCTGTGTGTAGTAGCCTGGGGGAGGCCGTGGGGTGGGGCTGCAGAGGGGACCTCCACTCAGAGTCCCTGGGTAGCTCAGCTCACACTCCTCTCTGGGATCCCAGGGCCACAGGTACCTGCCTCCCGGGGGTTCTGTCTCATCCTCAGGGTGGCTGGAGGCCCGTGGGAGAAGAAGGCCCACCTACCTCAGCCTGGGAGACATCCTAGGGGCCCTCCTAGCCCAAGCTCCCCAGAGGAGCAGCAGGGAGCTCGACGGCCACAGCAGCACTCCTCATAAGCCTGTAGTGTCACTCAGCCCTAGGTTCCGCTTTCAGGGAAGATCTGAGCAGTGGTTCTTGTCCTCCTCTAAACCCAGCCTCCTCATTTCCCCAACCATGACCATTGTCTTCCCTCAGGCGGGGGGCCGGGCACTGCTTCCTCCTCTTCACTGTACCCATAGTGCTTTTTAAAACGGCAACTGGCTTCTAAGTGAATGAAGGCTTAGTACAGGTTCACCTCTCTGGCCTCATTGTCTCTCACAAAACATTCACTTCACAGGCCAGTAAAACAGAATAGCTTTCCATTCCCAGCAATGGCCCTGGCCTCAGACCCTCTGAGCATGCTGTTCCCTCTGTCTGGAATCCTTCCCTGCCACCCCAAAATGGGGAAAGTGCCTCTCCACGGCTCCGGCGGTGCCCTGCCCAGCCTGTGCCTCCCGTACAAACCTGTGTTCAGTGCCTGCGGTCACTAGGGACACTGTCCCACCTGTGTGCAGGCTTGGGCTGCAAGGTGCCACGCCCGTACCTCACGTACCTTTGTTGTTGCAGGCAATCCACTTGAGGCGGTCAGCAAAAGTCACTTCTCTCCCAATGAGGTAAGTGAAGACCCGGACCTAACCCATGAGACACAGATTGACTCAGCAACCACATTAATGCGGCCCCCTCTTTATGTGAGGCTTAGTTGTCCGTCAGCCACACCTTGGGTTTTGAGTTCTCCACTCTTACCCACCCCTCCTTTTTCTTCTGGTACTGGGGACTGAATCTTGTGCCTTTGCACTGAGCTATATCCTCAGCCCTTTAAAAACATTTTTTTTTGAGACAAGGTGTCACTAAGTGGATGAGTTGCCCAGGCTAGGCTTGAACTTGTGTTCCTCCTGCCTCAGCCTCCCAGAGTGCTGGGACTGCAGGCTTGTATCATGCCTGCTTGTGCCCCCTTTTACTCAGAAAAGACCCTGAGGGCTGAGCAGCAATGTGACTTGCCCACGGCCATGGTGGAGCAGGTTCAAGGCCAGGCAGCCTGGCAGTTCTTATGTCTCCAAACCATGTTCTGGTCCTTCACCTTGAAGCTCCTCACGGCAGTTCTCTGGGCCCAAAGTCACCATAGTTTTAGGACACCCAATTGGGACATGTCTGAATTTATGAACGGCTCTAATGGGAAAGGACTTTGAACCTGAGGGTGCCCCATTGTTGTTCTCTATGGCAGTGGGAGTCACCTTGTGGTCTGGCCAGTTGTACTTCTCAAACACTGGCTCATAGTCCTCCACTGCCCCGTCAGTGATCAGCATGATGGCCTGGTTGCAGAGACTTCCTTGCCCAGCCCCTTGGAACTGTGTGAGACAGAGGAGGACATGGTCGTGACAGGCCGTGACTGCCCACCCTCCACCTTGGCCCTTTCTCCTACTCTCTTAGCCCTCCAGGCTTCACAGCTGCAGGTACCTGCTTCAGGATCTGGAAGGCCTCAATCAGGGCTTGGTCCACGACCCCCATGCCTTTGACCACCAGCTCATCCACCAACTGTTTGAAATGCTGTCAGGGTAAACGTTAGATGGGGCTCAGTGGATGGAGTAGCCAGGGACCTTGAGTATCTGGCTAACTGAGGAGGCTGATTAGAGCTAATGCCAGAGGATATGATTGCAGGACCCCTGCTCACAATGCAGCTAATCCCATGGACTGGACCCCTAAAACAGATGTTTCTCAGATGTCCCCAAGGGAAATAGAGGGAGTGTGAATGGCCTGGTACAAATCCACGTCCCCCACTGGAAGGAAGCACCAAGTATGCTGCCAACCAGAGGGAGAAGGACAGTCCAGGGATGGAGGTGAGGGACGACCTCAGCATTCAGCCCTTAAGTACCAGAGCTGAGGGTCAAGTGGAAGCTAAACCTAAACTCTGATCACAGACAGACATGCAAATTTTCCCCTTAAAAATTGTTACCCTGTCTTCTAATTTTTTTTTTTTTTTTTTTAACCAGAGAAAAAGACTCAACCCAATGGATTTCAATTTGTCCTCCACTGGGGAAGCTCCTCTTGAAGGCTGACATGGAGGAAACGCCAACTGGGATGCTATGTGGGAGGCTGAGCCCTGGCTCCTCCGCAGGAGAAAGCCAATCTGAGTGAGCAAGATCCTGCAGATGTGAGGTCACCTTGCTCACTGGAGCTCAGATAAGGAGCTGCACGTTGATCAGGGTGGGTTCCTGGTGTCTGCAGTGTAACTGATGACTTGCTTTACTCCTCCAAGTGCCATGGGCATAGCAAAAGGGACCAGGAAGTAGGCTGCATGGATGCCATTCCTGTCATGACAGGGGCATCAAGCCACAGCAGACACTCACCTCTCGGTTGTCTCGGTCTGCCTGGACAAGGATGCCTTTAAAACAGGGCTCGATGTAATGGACATAGTCATTGTACTGTGGTTGCAGCAAGAGGAGGGAGAGAACAGACAGATCAGCATGTAAAGTCAGGTCCTGCGGGCGGAGGGCTCAGGCACCTCCCAGTATGCACTGAGGTGCCTGTGCATTATCAGCTTGGGGTACGCTGTGCCTTTTGCAGTTTTTCTGAGCAGACAGAACAGCAAGGCCTTGGCTCTAAAAATCCTCCCTCATCCCCTGGTCTTGGTGCCTTTCCTCGGGCTGCCCAAGTGACCCCTCAGAACACACGGAGACCTTGCTGTTATAGGAGAAGGCCTGTGCCCTTTGTTCCCGAGATCAGCAAGGAGCCCTCTACCTGAGTCCCATAGCCTTCCACCTGCAGGCTCAACCCAGGCAGGCCTGTGTATGGGTTAGAAACTGTTCTCTCTCTCTCTCTTCCCAGTATATTACTAATTTGCCCAGGCCAGCCAGCCTGCCTTGAACTTGCAGTCTTGCTGCCTCAGTCTCCCGAGTGGCTGCTACAATAGGCATGTACCACTGCACCAGACTAGAAACGGCTCTCTGCCCTGCATAGATGAAGAAGACCTGGCAGCTTTCCACAGGGGATGGGAATAGGGAGGGAAATGACTTATTACTTCCCCTTTTTCTTAATCACCCTTCTTCCCCATCAACACTAGAAAACAAATCTTCAGGGGTCCGTAGTCCACCTTCTGCCTGAAGAAGAAAGGTGACAAGGGGATGTGGTGGTGACAACATGGAAGAGCTGCACGAGTGTTAGCAGTGAGGGCTTCTCTTTGGGGCTGTTGCCCACCAGTTGGGAGGCTGGGCAGGGAGCGGGGGGAGAAGGACCAGGAAGGCTCCGAGGGCGCACATTGTCCCCTTCTTGTGGAGTGTGGAACCTGTGTTCTGTGGCTGTCCTGTGGCAGCTGCAGGTCTGGGGACAGGGACAGACCCCAGGGGAGCAGCTCAGGGGCTGGGGGCCATTCTCAGGACCCCCAGCACAATCATTTTGAAGTTAAATAACTTTGCCTTGATATTCCACTACTAGCGAAGTAAATTCCACAAAGGACAGGAAACGCTAGCTATGGGGCGTACTGGTGGAAGAGGTCTTCAGGTCAGGTGGTCTCACAAGGACACCTCAAGGTGGCTGTCCCCTCCTTTTTATTGCTTTTAAAAGCATCCTCCTAATTTGTGTCCCTGTTTCTTTCTTTTTGTTCCTTCTTTCTCGCATGTGTTTGGATTGGGCTGGGATAAAGGGACTGGGAGTAGGTCCAGGGATCATCCATCCCATGGCAGCAAGGAGAGGCTGCTTAGCGATAGTGTGAGCTGAGAGCACATGGTGGAGGATGAGGCAGGTGTCACTCAGGCCAGTGGTTCTTCCAGCTGTATTGGGTGCAGACTCTTCTGAGAAACTGACAAAAGAGATGGGCTTGGGAAAATGGACCCGCATCCTTTACATGTACTTTCAGACCTCTTGAAGCCCATCCTTAGGCAGACTATGGATCCTTGGTGAAGAGCCCCAGGTTTAGAGGAAAGAATCACCCTCCAGGAGGAGGCATCCGCTGGCTGTAAGAATGGGTCATCCTGATGCAGATGGAGGAAAGGCTCTTTAGGGAAGCAAGGGCTACTCTAGAGCAGGAAGGCACACCTACCGCAATGATATTGACGAAGTCATTCTCTCCCAGGGTGTCCAAGATGGTAGTGATGGTGTGCTTGGCAATAGCCATTCTCCACCCCTTCATGCTGCCACTCATGTCTACCAAAATCACTATATCCTTGGGAGAAGTAGCAGCTTGTATGTACCTTTAGCAGAAAGAAAGGGACAGATCAAAGATGGGAAACCAGAACAACCACTTGGTCATGAGCCTCCAGTTATTTGTACAGTATTTCTATTCTGGCCCAAGTGCACCCCAAATTCAGGTCAGTGACCCCTCTGTGCTGGGTTTTATCATGTTGCATAAACACTGGGCACTTCTGAAGCCACTGGGGTGGAAATAATGGAGAATATGTCCACCTAATGGGCCTGGTCAAGCCTGGGGGTAACCCTTGCCCTTTTTATTTCGACTAGCTGGGGTTCCTGAGGGGCTAGCAGAAGGACAGGAGAGAGATGCATTCCAACCTCAGCTTCTGCTACAAATCTGCCAGAACAAGGGTGTTGGGGAGAGGAGAGGCTGAGAGAGGGTTGATGTGGAGGCAGCTCAGTGTCTTGGATGGAGGTGTGGGTAGAGAAAGACAATATGATCCATCCAGGAGCAAATGCAGATGTGGGCGGAGGGTGCAGCTGGTGACTCTTCCTACTCTCGTGTTGGATTAAGGTCTGTGCATCCAAACCCTGGGGCAGTGGGAGAGAAGGAAGCAGGCAAGGCAGAACCCAAGCTGTGAGACACATGCCGGCACTGAGGCATTTTTCCCTATGAGCTCTTACCAGCTGCGGTTCCGGCAGTCAAAGGCAATGACTCCATTCTTATCAGGTGTCCATTTTATACCTGGGTAATAAAAGGTGGTTCTTTCACTCACCTGAGCCCCCGGGTGGATGCTAGCTCCCAGAATAGCCATGACCCCCAGGGTAGGACCTGCTTTGGACTGTTAGACACACCCTGAAAATTGAGGCAAGAAGGGCACGTGTGTTCTTTTCAAGCACATGTGAGGTATTTATAAAACGTGATGACGTACTAGGCTACTAGAATAAATCTCCGTTAATTTCACACAGAACCATACACATGTGCTCTCTGATCACAATGCAGTTGAGGTAGACCTCTAGAATGAGGAGATAAATATAAAGTTTATACATGTTTTGCAATTTTAAAACATACTTTTAAATAAATTATCACTGAAGAAATCAAAAGGAAACTTAAAAATACTATTTATAAGTAAATGGCAACTAAAACACTACTAAGACAGCACAACTACAGGCAACAAAAAAAACAAATTGGATGTCACAATTAAAAACTTCTGTGCATCAAAGGGCATAATCAATAGAGTGAAAAGAGAACCCAGAGAATTGGAGCAAATATTTACAAATTATATATCTACCTGATAAGATTGATAACCAGAATATATAAAGAATTCCTGTAACTCAAGAACAGCAAAACAAAACAAACTGACTTAAAAATGGATCAAGAACTTGAATAGACATTTTCCAAAGGAAATATACCAATGACCAATAAACACATGAAAAGATGTTCAGCATCATCAGTCATTAGGGGACTGTGAATGAAAATCATGATGAAACACCACTTCATACCCATTAAGAAGGCTAATATTAAAAATAAAGCAGACAAGGGCTGGGATGTAGCTTACTGGTGCTGCACCTGTCTAGCAAGTCAAGGTCCTGAGTTCAATTCCTGGTACCAAAAAAAAACCCAAAACCAAAACCAAAACCCCAAACCCAAAAAACAGCAACAAAGCAAACAAAAAGCAGCCAACAAGTTGAAAATAAGAAGAAAAGACCCAGCAAATAACAATCCAGAGAGGATGTGGAGAGACTGGAACTTTTGTACATTGCTGATGGGAATGTAAAATGGAGCAGCTGCTGTGGAAAACAGTATGGCAGTTCCTCTGAAGATTATATGACAAATATCATATGATCTAGCAATTCTCCTCTTGAGAATATACTCAAAAGAATTGAAATCAGAGTCTCAAAGAGTTACTTACATATCCATGTTCATAGCATTATTCACAATAGTCAAAGGATGGAAACAACTCAAATGTGCATTGATAGAGGAATGAAACAAAATGCAGTGCACACATACAATAGAATGTTATTCTGACACAGGCTACAACATGGATGAGTCTTGAGGGAGGTGTATTAAGTAAAATATATCAATCACAAAATGGCAAATAATGTGTAATTCCACCTTTGCAAGGTAGTTAAAATCATAGTATAATGATGACTGCCAGGGGTTGGGAGAAGGGAAAGAGAATTATTGTTGTGGTGATGTTTGCACAACAAGCAGTGCATACTTTTTGAAAATGCACTTAAATATTTAATGAATAGTAAATTTTATGTTATATGCATTTTACCACAATTAAAAATAAAAGTTAGAAAAAACTCATTGCCAATCAAAACTTGTGAAATGCAACAAAAGTGAAATTTCTATTGACATGATATAGCCTTAATACTTATTTTAGAAACAAATAAAAGCTAGAAATTAAAGTAAGTATCCATTTAAGAAGTTAGGAGGGGGTCCAGGGATTTAGCTCAGTGGTTCTGCCACCTGCCTCACAAGCAGAAGGACCCGAGTTCGATCCTCTGTACCAAAAAAAAAAAAAAAAAAAGGAAGTAAGGAGGGAGAGCAACAGAATAAATCCAAAGAAATGAAAAAGAAAACATAAAAACATTAGCTCTAAGGTAGATAAAATAAAAAACAAACAATAGAGAACAACCAACAAAGACAAAGATGATATCTGAAAAGACTATAGAAAAACCAAGGGGAAATTAAGAAAAAAAGTATAATATAATATGTTAAAAGGGACATAATTATAGATTGTATTAAAATAATAGGAAAGTAATAAATAAAGTATATAAATTTGAAAGCTCAGGTGAAATGGATGCACCTGAATAAAAGTATTGCATTAAATTTTAAGAAGAAATAGAAAGCCACATTAGTCTTGCAAATGTTAAATATATTGAAGTGGTAATTTTATATTCCCATAAAGAAATACCAGGCCTATATATTTTTATAGATGACTTCTATCAAGCTTTCAAGGGAGAGATCTTTCTAATTTTATTAAAATCATTCCAGAAACCAAAGAAAATATTTCTCAATTTATTTTGAAATAAAATAATTTACTTTGAAAATATCAACAGGAAAGAAAATTACAAGATGATTTCACTTATATAGATGTAAAAATACTAAAAATATTAGTAAAACCAAATCTAGCAATGTCTACAAGGATTTGCAGCCTGCAAGGGAAGACTTTGATGGTAAATTGCAGTTAATTTCTGTCAATTTCAGCTCTTATCCCAGTAGTAGCTACCCACCTCCCACCCCAGCCTGGGTAGGCAGCTGTGCTTGTATTCTGAAGCCTCTTGCACACAGCTTGCTGGAGCCGAGGAGACGAAAAGGACCCTGCCATCCAAATACAGAGAATCTGTGCTCTGACTGCTGACTGACACTTCTGATTCCAGAGGTGCAGATTAAAAGGTCGCTGGCCATTTTTTTTGCACCTGCCCTCATTGCTGCAAGCCTTTTCCCCTCTAACAGAAATACTTCCAGGGCATTTAAAGGGCAGGTGCTCCCCCTTTCCCCCATTCACTTTCCTATTTCTCCCCTTGGGAGCCAGGCATTAAAGACTAGAACATTTTAAAAACAGCTGCATATATGGGGAAAACTATAAAGTGACTACATATGCCCAGGAAGTCTCAGAGAAGACTTGAGAAGATTTTAAGGTTATTCTTCAGGGTGATCTTTGGCACAGAGACATACAATAATCAAAAAAGAAAAAGAAAAACAAAAGCAATAGCAAACACTGGCAAATCCTGGAGAACAGAGAAGGTCCAATTTCCAGGATTACCACACTATGAGATTTAAATCTCCAGTTTTTAATATAAAAATCACAAAGCATATGAAGAAGTAGGATAAATATGGCCCTCTCAAGAGAAACAAATAAATGTACAGAAAATGTCTCAAAAAAAAAATACCAGGTGCAGGTCTATACATCAAAGAGGTCTTCAAGAATTCCAAGAACTAAAAGAAGATATGAAGAAATTTGTGAACAAAATGGAAATATCAACAAAGAGACAGAAAACCTAAAAAGAAATTTAAAAAAAGAAATTTTGGAGTTGGAAATACAGCAACTAACATGTAAAATTCATAGGAAGGATTCAAAGGTAGATGGTACAGACAAGAAAGAGAATCAGTGAAATTTAAAATAGGACAATGAAAATTATTGAGTCTGAGAGGAAGAAAGAAAAATAATAGAAAAGTGAACAGAGCCTAAGAAACCTGTGAGACTCCATCAACTGACCACCAAGCCAAGCAACATGTGCACTGGGGAGTCCCAGCAGGAGAAGAGAGATGATTTCAAGAGCTAAATGCTGAAAACTCCCCAAATTTGATGAAACATACAAACATCCTAGAAGCTCAACAAACTCCAAGTAAGATGAATTCAAAGAGACAAATACAAAGATACATTATAGTCAAATTTTCAAAAGGCAATGACAAAGAGGGGATGTTAAAAGCAGCAGAGATAATACAAAGATCATCAATAAGAAAAGCAGTAGATTTCTCATCAGAATTTTGGAGGCTAGAAGTCAGTGGACATATATCGTCAAAGTGCAGAAAGAAAGAAAGAAAGAAGAAAGAAAGAAAGAAAAAAAAAAGAAAAGGAAGGAAGGAAGAACAGAAGAAACTGTCAACCAAGAATCCTATTTCTTTCTGGCAAAACCTGTCCTTAAGAAATAGGGAGAAATTAAGACATCCCCAGACAAAACAAATACCAAAGGAGCTGTTCTACTGTTCCTGCCCTGTAAGATGTGCTCAAGGGAGTCCTGCAGGAGAAATAGGGTGCTAAACAGTGACTTGAAGCTGTATGAAGAGAGAAAGATAACAATGAAGGGAAATGCATGGGCAATTATACAAAGCTACTTTTATTGCAGCAATGATTTGAACTCTTTTTTTTTTGTTGTTTTCTGCATGATTTAAGAGACTAATACATTAAGAAAACAATTATTAGTCTCAAGCTAGTATTATTGCAAATTTGGTAACTGCACACTTCGTTTTCTATATAATTTAAGAGACTAATTCATTTAAAAGAATGATTATGTTTTGGGGCACACACTGCATAAAGACATAATTTTGTGATATCAACAACCAAAAGAGGTGGAGCTGGAGCTGTAAAGGAACATATATTATTGAAGTTAATCTAGTAGACACTCACATTTTACTGTTAAAAAGATGTTAAATGGACTCTCCCTAGTAACCACAAATAAAATGGTTATAGAATACATACAAAAGAAAATGATAATGGAATTTAAACATTTTACTAAAAATTTCAAATAAACACAAAATAAATCAGTAATTCAGGAAATGAAGGACCGGAAAAGTTATAAGGAAGAAATGGAAAATCTGTAGTGGCCTATAACTAGTAAGGAGATCGAGTAAGAAAAAGTATATATCCCAATAAAGGAAAGCCCTAGATCTGATGGCTTTGCTGATGGAAGCTACCAAACATTTAAAGAGCTAATATCAGTTTTCATTTTTTTTAAATTGAAGAGGAGGGAATATTTCTTAAATTACTCTATAAGGTGAGCATTACCTTAATACCAAAACCAGGCAAAGATTTGATAAGGAAATAAAACTATAGTCTAATATCTCATATAAATATTGATGCAAAAATCCTCAACAAAATACAAGAAAACCAAATTTGGTAGCATATTTAAAGAATTGTACCAAGTGGAATTTATACTGGAATGGAAAGATTTTTTTCAACATACAAAAATTGATCAGTGTAAAACACCACATTAACAGAATGAAGGACAAAAACTCACATGATAAATGCAGATGAATTAGCAAAAGCATTTGTCAAAATTCAACACCCTTCCATGATAACAAGTCTCAACAAACCAGCAATAGAAGGAAACTACTTCAACATAATAAAAGCCATATACTGAAAAACCCACAGCCAACATCCCACTCACAGGTGAAAAACTGAAAGCTTTTCCTGTAAGATCAGGCATAAAATAAGTAATCCCACTTTTGCCACTTCAACATACTACCCAAAGTTATAGCAAGAGGAATAAGGCAAGAAAAAGGAAAAGAAACAAAAAGCATCCAAAATGGAAAGGAAGATGTAAAATTAGCGCTGTTCACAGATGATATGTTTTATATGTAAAAATCTCTAAAGTTTCTGAGCAAAAGAACTGTTAGACTGAATAAATGAATTCAGTAAAATAGCAAGATAAAAAAGAAAATCAGCTGAATTTTTATTCTTTAACAATGAAAGAAAATTTCCAAAACAATTACATTTACAATAGCATCAAAAATAAAATTAACCAAGGAGGTGAAAATTTTGTACAATAAAAACTACAAAAAATTGCTGAAAGAAATTAAAGACAGAAATAAATGGGAACACATCTCCCAGTGTCAGGACCACACAAAATGGTCTACTGATTCATTCAGTAGCTTACTGATGCAATCTCTATCCAAGTCTCATTGATATTTCTTGCAGAAATAGAAAAACTCATCTGAAAATTCATATGAAATTTCAAGGGATCCCAAATAAACCAGACAATCTTGAAAAATAAGAGTAAAGCTAGAGAGCCATACTTCCTGGTTTTCAAACTAACTACAGTGCTACAATAATCACAACAGTGTGTCACCAGTATATGGACGGACATATACAGCCATGAGCTAGAATAGAGAGCCTGAAAATAAACCTTTGCAAATATAATCAAATGATCTTTGAACATTCAATGAAAAAATGACAGTATTTTTCAACAAATGGTGCAGGGAAAACTGGGTATCCATAGGCAAAGAAAAAAAAGGAAAAGAAGTTAGATCTTTATCTAGCACCATACAGAAAAATTAACTGACAGTGGGTAAAAGGCTTAAGCATAAGGCCTACAACTCTAAAGCTCTTGGTGGAAACATAGGGAAAAATTTCATGACACAGGACACGCTAATGATTTTTTTGGGTATGACACCAAAGACCTAGGCAACAAAAAATACAAAAATTGGACTCCATAAAAATTTTTAAATTTGTCCACCAACAGATAATGTTTAAGGGAAAAAGCTCACAGGAGAACATATTTGCAAATTATACATATGGGGGGTTTCTGGGAATCAAATCCAGGGGTGTTCTACTACTATGCTACATCTCTGTTTCTTTTTTAAAATTCTCATTTTGAGCTAAGTTGCCCAGGCGAACTTGAACTTTCAGTCCTCCTGCCTCAGCCTCCCTAGTCCCTGGGATTACAGATATGTGCTACCATGCCTGGGTGCAATGATATATTTCACAAGACATTAATATTTGAAACATGTAGACAATGCCTGCCAGTGAACAATAATAACAAGCAACTCAATTAAATTGGACAAAGAACCTGAATAGACATTTATTCAAAGAAGATATACACATGACCAATAAGCACATGAAAAGACATTCAACAATACTAATCATTAAGGAAATGCAAACCAAAACCGCAATGAGGTACCATCTCACATCCATTAAGATAACCACTATATATAAAAACAAACAAACAAAATAGCAAGTGTTGGCACGGATATGGAGAAATTGGAATGCTGTGCACTATTGGTGGTAAAATGTAAAATGGTACAACCTTGTAGGAAACGGTAGGGCAGGTCTTCAAAAATGTAAATTAGAATTGCCATATGGTCCAGCAATTCCACTTTTAGATATACACCCCAAAGAATCCCAGGTCTCAAAGGATATTTGCACACTCATGTGCTTGGTATTATTAACAATAGCTAAAAGATGGAAAACAACACAATGTCTATAAACAAAATGTAGTATGCACATACAATGGAATATCACTCAGGTTTAAAAAGGAAGGGAATTCGGATATACCAAATGGATGAATCTTCAGGGGATTATTTAAGTAAGTCAATCACAAAAAGACCAAAAAAATGTATACAAATGATTCCATTTCTGCGAGGGTACACAGGGCAGACAAAATCATAGAGACAGAAAATAGAATGGTAGTTGCCAGTGGTAGTGTTGGGGAAGGAAGAATGGGGAATTACTGTTTGGTGGGTGTAGAGTTTCAGTTTTGCAAGAGTTTTGGAGCTAGATGGTGGTGGGGATGATTACATTTAATACTTCTGAAGGGCATCATTAAAACTGAGGAAGCTAGTGCATTTTGTCACATGTAATTTTATCAAAAACATTGAAAAACACATGTGTGTATAAATGTAAGATAAAACTGAACAAGTAAGTGAAAAAAATCCAAATATACTGAGGTTGAAGTTCAGGATAGCTGTTGCCTTACCAGTGTGGAGGGAAGGGCAAAGGGCAGGATAGACAAGGGGGACATGGGGAGATATAAATTACTGGCCATATTCTGGGTCTTTTGATAAATCAAATTAATATAGATGGACATAACCTAAAAACCATGGTCAATCCAATACTGTCTACCTGAGGGTAGATATGAATATATAAATTAGGAATGAGTCTGAGAAATGGCCCCTCTTTTCAAACCCTGAAGAGCTCACACCCGGATTGTGTTGTTTGAATCTGATTTGGCATCTCTGGAAGCCCTGGTGTGACAAGGCTATTTACAGGAATTCTACCCTGGAGAAGGCAAGAGGGGTGTGAATGGTCTTTAAGCATTTGAAGGGCTGCTACACAGAAGAGAAATAAATATTTATTCAGATTGCAGAGAACAGAAATAGAACTAGCAGCTAATTATGAATTTTGGAGCATGCTAATGATGGCAACGGTATGAGTTCTTTTACTTCAACGGGGAGATTGCCTTTTCCAGCCTTTGTCAAAAGAGAAGTCTCTTAGGGCCTTCCAGTTTCTGGTTTCAGAGAAGTGGGGCAAAATTAAGACTTTCTGAACAGTGTGTTAAAATATAAAAGTGGGTTGGGATGCAATATGAAAATGAATTTATTCTAAATGAGAAGTAAAAAGACATAGAATTCTTGTAAAATTTATGGTTGATGTTCTATTTTTTGTTTTTATTGGTAGACACAAAGCTTTCTTCACTCTATTGCTGGGTTGGCCACTAATCACATAGTAACTTGTGGTATTTCCTATATGGCTGTTGAACATTCCTGGTGTGTATGGCTCATTTTTCCAATTAGGATGTAAATTTCTCGACATAAAGGATTGTCTTATATCCTTTGCACATTCCACAGTGCTTTTCATAGGACAGGAGCTCAGTGTGGGTATTGGAGTTCTGATTACCATGGTGTTTGCTGGTTGCATTCATTCACTCCACAGTTCTTTATGGAATATGTGCTTTGTTTGTGAGGAGGCTGGAAATGTAGACTAGAGATGCCTTTGGATAGGAGGGTTAGTTTCATTTCTTGGAGGCTGAGTGCTGGGGTTTATCTTCAATAACCCGTTCCCTGATTTCCAGAAAAAAAGCCCAGTAGATCATGGAGATGGCACTCAGTGTGCTCACCTGGATAGATCCTGAAGAACCCAGTTGAGCTGCCAAAATATTGCCAGGTCAGTGTAGGGTCTCTCTGAAAGTTCTCCACAAAAACAGGGTTCAATGCCTCAGACATGTAGACTCCATTTAAAATGTCTGGATCTGAAGTGTGAGACGATAAAAGGAATTTTAGGAGAAATCAAGCAAAAAGTAAAAGTGATCAAATGTTCACATGCTAAACACACACATGTGCATACACACATACTGCAGTGATACAGTTTAGAACTTCTTTCTATATCTCACGTGAAAAGTCACACTCACATCCTTTAAACCAGAAACATCGAGTTTTCTCCCAGCCTATGTGCTGTGCTTTTCATGTGTCCCTCAAAAATTCATGTGTTGGAAGCTTGGCCCCCAGTGTGGCAAGGTGAGAGGTGCTAGAGGCTAGTGGGAGGTGCTGGGGCACTAACCTGGGAAGAAATTTTTGTATTTCTTATGGGATCCTGGATAGTTCTGAGAGGTTGTTATATAAGCACACACCTGGCTCCTCTACACTCTGGCTTCCCATCTTGCTGTGTGATCCCACTATGATGTTATTCACCATGTTGTGATGTAACCAGGGGACCCTCCCCAGAGCCAGTGCTATGCTATTTGAAAATTCAGGCTTCCAAATGGTGAGCCAAGTCCCTTTTCCTTATAAGTTACTCAGCCTCAGGTATTTTGTCATATCATGAAAAACAGACTAACAAACACACCATGATGGTGTGAAATAATTTCTTTTCTCATCCTCTGTCAAGGAGGCTGGAGAGACAATGTATGGCCCTGCTTCTCAGGGAAATGGAGACAAAGTCATGAAAACCCTCCATTGTCGCCACCCCACCGACAACTGCCCAATGGTCAGAGAGGGGTGACCTTTGTTGTACACATTGGTGGGCAGCTGCACACTGCTGATGGAGGTGTTCACTCTCAGGTTGCTGAAGTGTGCGTTGGGCTCCAGGATGAATTCAGCTCCCAGCTCCACAAAGTTGCCTTTCTCATCTTTCTCATTGATCAGGACTGAGTTGTAGTAGTCAAACTGTGGATGGCAGGGAACGAGCCCAACAGAGACAGAGACATAGGGATGTGCAGAGTGAGAGAGAGAGAAAGGGATAGTGCGCATCAAAGGAGTCTGCTGTAAAAGGAGGGACAGGATAGACTGGGTATCCACACATGCTCTGCTGGGTGGAGAATCCAGACAAAGGTTGGGTTGATTTGGGGTCAACAGGTGTCCAGATAATTGGAGCAAAGGGCTCATTAGGTTGGATTTTGCTGTAAGCTGTCCTGATTATTGCTTTGGTTCTCCACACTTTAGCATGTGTGGACACAGCCAGAGCTGGAGATGGAGATGAGAAGACACTCAAGAAGAGGTGAGGAGACACAGAGCCTCATCAGTACTGCCTCTTCCTCCCAGGGAAGAGTCCTGGGGACCCAGGCAATACCCAGGAGTCTCTGGGCCTAGGTCCGAGGCTGCAGTTTCTGTATCCCACTCCACAGGGCAGGAGTCTTCTCTCTGCCTCTTATGGGCAGTGGTGGAGGATCCACCTTGATAACTACCCTTGGAGTCATAAGCAGGTCTCCTTCCCATTCCCTCCATGCTACAGGGCCCACCCTGTGTCACTGCCACACATTGTGCCGCTCCCAGCACCATCTCACAGCCCTGTGGCCAGCGTGAGCCTTCTAAAGCACATGTCTAGCTGTGTCTCCCCCTACTCCAATCCTTCCATACTTATCATTCTTTAAGCAGAAAGCTCAAATGCTGGTTTTGGCATGCAAGGCTCCCACAATATTTCTCAACACCTCTCCAAGGCCACCTTCTGCTTCACCACCCTCTGGCCACACAGAACCTTCCACTCACTGTATCCTCAACGAGCCTTGTGTTTTCTTATTTCTGTTCCTTCTCCTTTCCCTAATCCTAAGGACCCTTCTCCATGCCTTGACTGCCTAAATCCCAGCAGCCCAAGGCCCAGCCCTCGAGCCACGCTGTCTGCAGGTGTTTCTGCACTCCTCCCCTTTCCAGTCCACATTCCCAGAATGCTCAGTCCACCCGTTCGTGTGAGCTTGGTACCCACCTTCCATGGGAGTTACTTGGTCTGTGAACTTCTTGAAGTCAAGAGTCTGTCTCACTCCTGAGGCCAGCTCATGGCTTTGCCCATGGGGTTGGGGTGCATAGTCCATGATTACAGAACGCGTGGATTACCATTCTGTACCCCAACCCCATATCCATACTCAGGCCCCCGATACAGTTGCCCTGGGTAGGTGCTGGGGAAGCACTCATCAAACCCTCCCAGCACCAGTTCTAGAAGAGCACTTACCACCAGGGATGCATTGAATTCATGATTCAGGTCAGCCTCCTCAGCAGCCTCCACGAGACTCTGAGAGAAGGGAATGCAAAGGGGAGGAAGAATGGGTAAAGGGGGCCACAGGTTTGAAGTCAGTTGAACAGACATTACGTGACCCAGCAACTCCTCTCCTAGCTGCATAACTCAGAGTGAAGTTCCTGTGCTCCTCCCTGCTCTCCTTACTCCCAGCCCCTTTGGCTGTGAAGACCCATCTGTATCATCCACAGGTACTCCGAGGGCCTCCCAGACAGCAGAGGTGCTTACACAAATGCTCAAGTGACTCTGTCACTGGACATCCACCACCCTGGCAGGGTGGGGTAAGAAGGGAATGTGTTCTCTTCCCTGCTAAGAAGCACCTACTCTGGATGCTGGCAGGGACTTGGCTGGTACAAACCAGTAGACACAGCCTCCCACTGCTCCCAGCCAGGAATCGGACCATCCAAAACCAGCATGGTTATTGAAAGGACTCTTAAGACCAGTCTTACTCTCCAAGGAGCCAGGAGAGGAGGCGGGGCGGGGGCGGGAGGCGTTTGGCAAACCTTGACAGCCTTCACTTTCCTTCTCAGCATGTTCTCCATGTCCTCTGAGAACTTCCTCACCAGCTCCAGGCCATCCACCTCCTTGATCTTCAGACTGGGTTCCACATCCTTGTATTTCTGTTCAGTGTGACATAGGAGAGATGGGCACTCGTTGTCTTGAACTGGGATGCTGGCACCTGACTATACATGGCTCCATTCTCAGCAAGCACATGCACACATGCAGAGCCTTGTTTTCCCCACTGGGGGCAAGGACAGGCCCTCTGCTCTTTCCATAACCTCCCAAGCAATAATGATAGCTGCCTCTTTCGGATTGCCCTGTTTCAGGGACTCTAGCCACATTGCAGTTAATGTCTTTGCTGGAGAGTAGACCAACACTCCAAATCAATAAACTTGACCAAAGCTAACAACCAGTGAGCAGTGCAGCCTGGATGGGGCCAGAGCTCCACAACTTCCATGTGCACACTTTTCAGAGTCCCACTGTTTCCTGACACCTGCTCACATCCACAGTGAGCCCACCTGAAGCATTTGTTCCCCCATCTCTAGTGTGCTAGAAAATGCACAGTGCTTTCAAGGCACCCCTGTTCAATGCCAGGGAGCCCAGGAGAGCCAGGTCTACTTCACTCCTACTGCTTGTGTGTATCACAAATGTCTGTTGACACAGCTCTGCAACCTAATGGTCCTGTGACCTTAGGCAAGGCACTCAGTTTCCTTGTCTGCAAGATGTGACATTTCCAATAGCTGTAGAATATGTTCTACAGTGCAGTGACTAAAGATTGCCTTTACCCAACACAGCCACATAATTACTGCCTTGTCTTTCTCACTTGGGGTTGGAGGGTGCAAAGGAGAAATCAAATAAGCTGGTGTTTGCAACTTAGGGGTGTACTGTGAGTGCAGGCTGAGTCTCAGCTCTCGCGAGGGCAGTGGCTCTGGACAGGGTGAGCTCCTCTCACGCACCTGCTTCAGCAGGAAGACCTGGGGTTGTGGGGAGAGGAGCCAAGGGAGGGCAGCGGTGTGGTCACGTGCAGGCAGAAAAGCTGAGATTTGACATCATTTATAAGATGGAAGAGATGCCTCGTGGAGTTGTGCTGAGAATTAATCATGAATATAAAGCTCTTAGCAAGTGGTAATAATAGAGAAGGGCAAGCTATTATTAAACTGCTCTGGGAGTTGTAACTACCAGAGAAAAATGAAGTTGGGTGTTATCTGGTACAAGGACAGGACAGCCACGAATCTGCACGTAAAGTACTCAATAAACAAGGGGAGGAGGTGCTGGAGCACCAGCCCTTCCACTTCTTGCTGGGAGCTCAGGCCTGGGTTCAGGCCTTTGCTGGGTGTGCCTGGAGGACCTGGGACCAGAGGTGAGGGCAGTTGTCCCCACACAGATGGCCACCAGCTGGCCACCAACCTGCTTCTACCCAGGATCTGCACTGTCCCTTGAGGTTCTGCTGGCTCTTCTCGAATGTCCCCTCCCCACTGTGGGAGTCAGGCCTGCGTCTCAGCCTTTCTGCTCCCTCCGTCCCTTCTCTTCACATGCCCCAGTCTTTTGCAGGTCTAATGCCATCTTGGCTTCCTGAGGACCTGAACCGACAACACTCTTGACTTTGTCACTGTGCTAGTCCTACTAACTGACTCTGAGGTAAAAGCATCATTCGCCTCCCCGGGCCTCAGTTTCTACAACTGAAAATGAGTGGATTGGGTAAGATGGTCTCAAAGCCCTCACAGACATTCCGGGACTCTAATTTTCTACCAGAAAGGAGACCTGGGGTGACTGTTGGGTGTGGAACACTAACCTTCTGCAGCAAGAGGGAGCCCGAGTATTTGGTGACGGTGTTGTACAAGTCCCTGCCAAAGGTGTCTGCCCACAGTTTCACCCTTCGAGGGAGGAAAGCATACTTATGAACATGTGCAGACATGGGTGGGGACACACACAGAGGCACACAGATACATGCACGTGCAAAGGAAGTCTACACACAGGCACCCACTGCGCACACACACAGACATGCAGAGATGCATTACGATACATATAGAAATCCACACATGCACAGGGGCACCCATACATACATGCACACTCACAGATACCCAGAGGCACACACAGAACACTCCTGTCCCTTCTGTTCTGGCTGCAGACTGTTCTGGCAGGGAGCAGTTGGAGAGCCTGCCAGGGACTGTAGCCACACACTGCGGTTTAGTGAGCCCGTAGCTGGGTCTCCTGCTGAGATCATGGGGCTGATGAGCCAGGAACCAGGCCAGAGCTCAGAGTCCAAGGACTCTGGCCTTTGAGTGGAGCAAGGAGTGAGAGAGACGGTGGGCAGAGTAGGCAGGGAGGGAACAGGAACTCTCTGGGAACAGCTACAAGTCTCCAGGAGCTGTTCACACTGTTTCGCTCTTTAGGGTCACCAGGGACCACTGGCCTTCTGCTGAACCCCAGGGACAGCATGGGAAGGGGCAGGAGGAGGCTCCAAGTGGCCACTGCAGAAGCTGAGAGCAGGGCTGGCTGGGAGGGCAGGTGGAGGCCTCCCCTCAGCCTTGTGTGGGCAGCCCAGTGAGGACCCTGGAGCTCTCACCCAGCTCCCAGAAGTGCACTGCAATTCCCCCATGGTTGGCGCATAGAGTTTTGGGGTGTCCTGGGGCCCCGGGATGGGTGGATAGGATACTGTCTGTGGCTCCCCAGATGGAGCAACTGTAACGTGCCTGCATGGCCATGTGTAGGTCAGCATTCTCCCAGTTGCTCTATCAGTATTTCTTGAGGTCTTATCGTGTATCTGGCATTGTGCACAGCCTGGAACCACACCACAGTGCAGCATGATGCATGCTTGAAAGTGGCTGGTGAAGCCAAGGGAGGGATAGTGGTGGTGAGGGAAGGCTTCCTCAGGGAAGTGGGGTCTGAGTTCCAGGTCAGAGTATGGTAGAAGTTAGCCCCTCGGAAAGATTAGGAAGAGAATTCTAGGCACGGAGTACAGAATTGCTCAGAGGAGTCAAAAATGTCTTCCATGTTTCCAGCTTGAGCCATTGAGCTCATGGTGATATTATCAGACAGAATTAAGACTATCAGGAAAAGTAGTTTGAGGGGCGTGGAAGGTGTTGAGTGTAGCTTGGGTGATGTTGAATGTGAGGTTCCTATTACAGGGCTGCTGAGTTCCATTGGGCAGGATGTGCACTGCACAACTCTAGAATGCATCAAATCATATATTTTGAACGACACAAGCCTGAATTTAAAACATTCCATGATGTTCAGGAAGATGTGTCTGTAGGCTTTGGGTATGTCAGTCTGACGGGTAGAGAGAGGGCTGCAAGTCATGAGTATCTAGCTAGGGGCTGAATTTCTGGGGTCAGAGTGGCACTCTCAAGGAGAGTGTGCACATGAGCAGATCTGTGGATGCAGACAAACACTTGGGGCAGCAGCAGTTTCAGGGCCGTGCCGATGGAAAGGAGTACTTGAAAAAGACAGCGAGAACTCAGGAGTCCACAGGAAACTGGGAGAGAGTGCAAGGTCACAAAAGATTCAGGGGTCAGGGAGCTGCAACGCAAAAGGTGCAGGGGATGAGACAAGAATGTCTGCTGGGCTGGGCAACAGGAGGTTTCAGGTGACCTTGACAAGGACAGATTTGGGAGAGCAGGGGCTGAGTGGGAAGCTGCACGTGAGACGTGGAAGGGTCCGAGGGATGGGGAAGGCTGAGCAGAAGGATCCAGTAGGAGAGACAGTGTGAAGACTGGGGGAGGAGCCCTGGGGTCAGGACCTGGGAGAAGGCAGGATGGAAGGCGCAGGAGGCACTGCAGGGCAGGCCGTCTCAGCCTGCTCCGAGGTTGCTGTGCAGATGGCAGCTCTGAGGCCTCCTGCACGGAGATCTGGATTCCAGCCATCTGTCCCTGGCCCCCAGCCATTCCTGGAGCTTGCTGTCTCCTATCAGGTGGCCTGTGCTCTGGGATGCAGACTGTTCTCAGCATCTCCTTTAGCAACACATGGTTTCACAGGCCAGCAGCAGGTGTCCCAGTGAAGCAAGGCTAGGCTGGCCTGTTACTTGCCTCGTGATCTGGGGGAGTCATCTGACCTCCCTGAGCCTCTGTTTTCACAATTGCATAACAGAAATGATGTTATCCACTTCACTAAACTGCTGTGCAGACTAAGGCACTGGGCACCATGTCAGGCATAGATCAAAAGCAACACGCCCAATCCACCACTCCCCAAAGCTAAACACCGCGTTGTTTGGGCTCCCCCAGCCTCCTTTGCTAAGACATGTAGTTGGCAGCTGGCTGTGCAGTAGCCTTGCTATCTTGCTGGGCTCGAGGGGCTGCTCTTAGTTTTGGACTGAGCAGGTAGCACCTGCAGTATAGAATGTGCTGCTCCCTAGATGGATTAGAAATTTCTTTTCTAGGAGCACCAGGGCCTAAGACTGAAAAACATCCTGGAGATTTTGCACAGTAGTTTATACCAAGGTGTGTATGGCTGATACTAGATTCCTTTCTGGAGCTGTTCTCAATGGTGAGGTATAAAATTAAGGCCTGGAGGAGGCAGAAATGTATAGAAAAGGATAATGAGGCCACTGAAATCCAGTTTTACCTAGTCCTTGGACAAGCTACCTCCTCTTTGCATGAATCATTCCAAAGGTTTAGAACTGCTTTACCCTTTCAGAATGTGAAAATACAAATTTCCTAGCAAGTCCTATGGGGAGCCGTGATGATCAACTTCAGAACCAAAGTAGCCCCCGCCAAGCAACCTCATCACAGTGAATGCCCTGGAGAGAGCATCCACCCTGCAGGCGCTGGACATGCAGACTGTCACGCCAGCAAGGAGAGAGAGCCCTAGAGATCATTCTGCTTGAAGCTATCAGGCTCCAGGGAGGGGGCAGGCAGGACTCCAAACCGAGAAGAGACTATGGGAAGAAGGAGGTTGAGGTAGAGAAGGTCTTTACAGCAAGGCAGTGGGCAGTCATCGCTGGCAGGGAAGAGCCCAGAAGGGCAGAAGAGAGGATGGAGATCTGCCTGGGGCACAAAGGGAAAAGCATAGAAAATTTTCATGGGAGGAAGAGAGGGGGTTGGACTTGATGCTTACGTTTCCAGAGGAATCTTGGTCTGACCCCATGTGGGGGCCAGGGAGGTGCTGGACAGCAGCAGCCACAGGATGACCACAGTCTTCTGCAGGCAGGCCCTGGCCCATGGCCACTGGTGGCAGGGGGCCCCAGGGCCGGGGGAGCTGGGATTTGGGAGGAGCTCGAGCATGGTGTACCCGCTGGGCTCAGGGAAAAGGAAGGAGCAGCCCCAGCCCACGGAGTCTCTTGCCTGTCACCCAGGTCCCTGGGATGTCCAGAGCCTTCTGCCTGTGGGGTCCCAGCAAGCCTGGGGTCCTCAGCCTCTCATCAGGGTCCCGCAGCACCAGCTAGCCCCCGACAGTAGGTGGGAGACAGTGGGACAGGCTGGGACAGAATGAGCCCCGCTAATCCATCAGCTTCTCCTCTAATCCTTGACTGACAGCAAAGGAGGGGCTGGCAGGAGGTTCGAGGTGACCTCAGTGGGATTACCCTGATTCCAGCTCTTCTTGTGCTGGCCAAGCACACATGCCTGCTTTAAAGAGGCAGACCCAGGCCCATACAATAGCCCTGGGGCCTAGGGAAAAAGGGTACTGCTACCCTGAGCAGAGAACAGCGGCAGCTGAGTTTGCACAATGCTCTGATTGAAGGAGACCATATAAAACCCTGTCTTTAACTTAGAGCAGCCCTGGGAGGAAAGTGGCAACAACCCCGATTTGCAGGGTCCTCAAGGCTTGGGGAGGTGGTGGGCAGGGTTGGGAGTGTGGCTTAGGGTTCTGGGCGTGGGGGCTTTGGGCCAATTGACGGATAAACCAAAAGTCTGTGAGCCCATGCGCCAATTCCCACGTGCACAATTCTCTGTGAGATGTTTCCTGTGACATTGATGGTACTTCTAGGCATGGACTCCTTCCTCTCTCCCCAGGGTTCCTAGCCAGATATTTTTATAAAATTTGCACAAGTAAGAAAATTGAGCCACAATAGGTTAAGGATTCTGTCTTTTCACATCCTGACTTATCCTCTGTCAGACTCTCTCTTGGCCGGCAGCATGTTGGAGTGGCTGTGAGCATTTGGAGGATGCAGCTCATGGGGGAAGTTGAACTGGGGAAACATTTCATTGGGGCTTAGCAGAACATATTTAGGTCACTCATGGTCACTTTCTCTTATAGACAAGTCCTATCTAGCCGTCCTGGGTGTGAGGGCATTTGGGGACACACATCACCCACAGGACATGGGGACAGGCAGGTGCTGCTGGGAGGAGGCATTGCAGAGTGGATATGACCTGTAGGACTTGCCACTGGCAGCAGGTAGCAGGGCAGAGGAAATAAGGCTCCCAGTGCACTGAGACACAGCCCTAGATGGCAAGAAATCCTTTCAAAGGTAAAGATTCAGTCGTCAGCAGAGGATTTGCTTCTCATGAAGGCCTGGCCAAGACAGGCATTAGCTCTCCTGTTAGGAAACTAGTTGAGATTGAATGTTATAATTATGAACATGTTACACATTGGTCTCTTTTCTTACCGGAGTATACAAAACAGAAGTGATCAAATTTCTTGTGATTGTGGGGCGCAGGCACGCCCAGGGTCTCTGCACGTATGGCCACACATCCTGTGCACCCCAAGTATCAGACGCAGTGTGACTGCTGCATCTCATCGTGAGGAAATCTGGTGGCTCCAGCAAAATGGTATGCAAAGTTGCCACCGACGCAGTAAAAGGCTTGAAGAAGCAGTGTTCAAGTGACAAAACTCCTACACACATTCATCAATAAGTCAATGTTGTAGTATCAGAAATCTGGTTACACAGTTATGTGGCTCAACTCAGCATGGTAGCAGTTTTCAAATGCATTTGAATGGTTCCTGTGAAGGTTTTCATTTCAGATTAATATTATATAATAATAACATGTTCCAGGGTGACAGATTATACAAATTTAGCAAAAATACTGCAGAGATATGTTGGACAGCTTTAAATAAAAGAATATGCAACGTTTCTAGGCATTGCGATTTTTGTGGTATTTATTGGCTCCTTAAAATTCAAAATTTGGAATGATTTTTAAAATTCTAAACAGATCTTCACCTTCTTCCAATTTTTCAATCATGGCAAAATACATATACAATTTGCCAGCGAGACCATTTTTAAGTGTGTAATGCAGTATTATTAAATAGATTCATAATGGTATAAAACCACCACCGCTGTGCATCTCCAAAATGCTTTTCATCTTGTAAAACTCAAACTCCATACCAGTTAAACAATAACTCCTCATTCTCCTTTCCTAACCCTGCCGCTGGCAGCCACCATTCTTCTTTCTGTCTCCTTGATTTTGACTGCTGTATCTCACGTAAAGGAAATCATACTGTATTTGCCCTTTGTATTTGGTTACTTTCCTGAGCAGAACATCTTTCAAGTTCATGCACAGTACAGCACATGTCAGAGTTCTCTTCCTTTTTAGCGCTGTAGAACATTCCATTCTATGTACAGACCGCATTTTGCCTACCCATTCACCCCTCAATGGAGACTTGGCTCAGCACCACTCTGGTTTAAGCCACCTTGGGTCCCTCCCTGGATTACGGCTCCACCCCTTGCGCCTCTGGAAGCTCCTCGGTGTGACCACCTCCTTGAAGCCTAGTGCCCTGGAAAGAGGAATGAGAACCAGGCACCTCCGCTGGCCGTGTCCCCCAGCCCAACACCACTGCTCCCCTCGTCAGGAGGCTACCTCTTCCTCCTTTTCTCCCCTTAGGCTCCAGTAACTGCTTCCTTCTCTTGCCTTGCAGGGTGATAACAGCTCAGCTGCTCTTCATCCCTAGGTCACTGCTACAACTTCCCTTCAGTCCTAACTGTCCAAGGAGTTCCTCTAAAAGTCAGCTTTGCTGGAATTATCCTGTTAGTAGGGTCCCACATATTTTTTCCTGCCTCTGTCTGACCGCTGGTCTACCTACCCCATCATCTTTTTTCTTTCTTCTCTCTCTCTCTTTTTTCTTTTTTTTTTGGCCATACTGAGAATTTGGCCACCACTGAACTATATCCCAATTCCTACTCTGTTTTTTTGTTTTTGTTTTTTTTTGGTACCGGGGATTGAACTCAGGACCTTGCACTTGCAAGGCAGGCGCCAGAACCACTGAGCTAAATCCCCAGCCCTCCTACTCTATTTTTTAATGCAACAACTGAGGGACCCTTTGAAAATGTAAGACCTGTCACTCCTCTGCTCAGAAGCCCCAAGGGCTGACCTACAGAAGCCCCAAGGGCTGACTTACAGGAAAAGCAGATTTTTTTTGTTTTTTTACAAATTCCTACAGCAGCTAGACCTGGCTTCCTCCCTGCCTGACCAGGCCTCCTGTTACCTGCCCTTCGCCCCAGGTCACCATCCCGATGGCTCTTGGCTGCTCCAGGGCACATCAGGGATGCTCCGCTGCAGGACCATGACATGACAGCCCGAGTTCCCTCTGTGGCTCTGCCTGTACTTCTTTTCCCTGGATGACCAGCTCCTTCATTTCTTTCAGGTGTCTGCCAGTTGGGATCTTAGTCTGTTTTCTGTTGCTATAACATAATACCCGAGACTGGTTAATCTATAAAGAATAGAGGTTTGTTTCGTCTCATGGTTCTGAAGCCTGGGAAGTCCAAGCACACAGTCCTGGCATCTGCTCAGCCTTGCACCACTTCAACTCACGGCAGAAAGCAGGAGGGCAAGTAGGGGTGTGGAGAAAAGACAAAACACAAGGGGTGACCTTGCTTTTAACACTCATTCATAGGTAAGCAATCCAGTCCTGTAAGAGTGAGGACTCAACTCCAAGAAACTTCATGACCTGTTCATGAGTCTCCACCCACACGGCCCAAACACCCTACCAGCCCCCACCTCCATGCCAAGCTGAAGCCTGTGCTGTGGTGGCAACACATCATTTTCAAGCCAGAGCTGAGTCTCTGAAGGAAGAGCCCTGCCTGTGAGAAATTCACGAAGAATTTGCTAGAGGGACTATTTACAGCAGTGTGACCAGCGAACAGGGAGACCACTGGGACCCTGCAGTACCCAGGGCTGGAAACAATGAGGAGTCAACCTCAAGGCCTAAAGGGAAGGGAAAAGCACTGGATCCTGTGAGAGGAGGAGACAGGCCATATGGAAGGGACTGTGGCCTCTGTCCAGGAATGGAGACCCCAATGGAAGAGGCTGGAGGAGTAAAGACCCTACTATAGCTTGGGTCTGAATGACCTCCATAGGCTTAATTGCCAGCCTGTGGTGCTACTGGGAAGTGGTGGAATCTTTAAGGGGTGAGGCTTAGAGGGAAGAAGTTAGGTTACCGGGGGTGTGGCCCGGAAGGGAATATTGGTGCCCACCCTCCCTCCTCTCTCTCTCTCTCCTTCCTGGCTGATATAAGGTGGACCACTCTCTCTGCTACCTGTTCCTACCAGGATGCGCTGCCTTGCCACAGTGCAAAAACAACAGGCCAAGTGAGCATGGACTGAAACCTGCAAAACTGTGATCTAAAATAAACCTTTCCTCCTGTTAAGTTGATTAAAGCTATTTTGTCACACTGATAGTGCGATGACCAACATGGTGCCCATCCACTCACTACCACCCTTCTGCTCTGCTCTCCAGCGGTGCCCCCAACCTGCGCTGGTTGGTCACCCAGGAACCCTTTGATGTGGCCTCTCAGGGCAGCCTTGGGTGCATAAGGAGGAGGAGTGGAAGATTCCAGCATCAGGCCTTTACCCAAAGAAGCTCCATTTATGATAAAAATGTTCTTGAATTAGGGTGGTGATGGTGTACAACTCAGTGAATATTCTAAAAACCACTTAATTGAACACTTTAATATGATGAATTTCATAGTAGGTAAATTACATCTCTATTTAAAAACTTTTTTCAAAAGTCACATTTTTAGTGAGTTAAGCTCTCCCTGACCACAAGATCTAAAATTTTACCCACTCCCAGCATTGTTTTTTCTCCCTAGGGTTATCTGTTATGGCATAGGGGATATTTTACGTAAGTCTTGGTGGTGGGGCTCCACCACCAGTCTAACCTCCATAAGAGCACAGGGACTGTGGCCTGTTTTACTCTCGCTGTGTTCCTAGCCCCTCCTGGGTCATGCACAGCCCAGCACAAGCAGGTATGCATGGGGCATGAACCAGTGACTGCGAGGACAGTGACTCTGGCTGCAGATGAAGGGGAGGCCTCAGGCCATGTCTTGCCTGCCCCACTCCAGGGCCTTTGAACAGGTG